GGTACGGCCATACACTCAACTCGTGGCGAAGACCACGGTACGGTGCCACTGCGGAGGTCGACGGCCATTTGTCAGTGAGGAGAGCTTGGCGCACTGCACATAGCGTCTCGTCCTGGGCTGTCTTGGCGGCTATCTTGCGTCGTTGATCAGGTAGTAGACCGTCAGCACAGGAGATCGCTTGCACGACCAGGAAACTGGTGTCTGCCGGTTCGGTCGGGAAACGTGACAGGGCATCGGCTAGCACGTTGAACTTGCCAGGGCGGAACTGGACTTGGTAGTGAAGGTCTTGCACCTTCAGGATGAGCCGTTGCACCCGTACACTGGCGGCTGACAAGTTGTATGCACGGTCGAACACTTGCAGAAGTGGCTTGTGATCCGACAACACTGTCACGGAAAGGCCGGTGATGAAACTGCGGAAACGCTGCAGGCCCCAGACTATCGCCAGTGCCTCTCTCTCGATCGTAGCGTAGCGGGTTTCTGGTCCAGTCAGTTTACGACTAGCATAGTACACGGGACGCCACTCGTCACCGTCGTGCTTCTGCATGAGGACGGCTCCTAGACCCGTACCAGAGGCGTCGACTTCAACGCGCGTCGGCAGGGTAGGGTTGAAGAGTGCCAGCACGGGCTCGGTTGCAAGGTGTTGTCGCACAGCGGCGGCTGCCTGTGTACATGCTGGAGTCCAGTCCCAGTTTCCAGCGAGCAGAGCTGTCAACGGAGCAAGCAGGTCAGCCAGGTTAGGCACGAACTTAGCTAGGTACGTGGTGAGGCCAAGAAAAGAGCGCAGTTGCGAGACGTTCTCCGGATCAGCCATCTCGTGGAGTGACTTGACCTTGTCCTCACCTGGTCGGACGCCGGAAGCTGAGACTCGATGGCCCAAGAAGGTCAGCTCCGTGACACTGAATGCACACTTCTTGCCGTTGAGCGTGACACAGTTCGCCTTGAGTGCTGCTTTCACCGCTGCTAGTCGCTTGTCATGCTCCTGTTGAGAAGGAGCAAAGACGAGGATGTCATCCAGGTAAATGAGCACACCCTCAATCGAGCCCAGGATCTGCTCCATCTTCCTCTGGAAGAGCTCAGGACCGCTTGACACGCCAGATGGTAATCGGCGGAACCGGTAGTGCCCCAATGGGGAGGCGATCACAAATGCATGGTGGCAGTCTGGAGTTAGTTCCAGCTGCGAGTACCCAGACTTCAAATCTAACTTCGAGAATACCGTTGCACCGGACACCTGCGCCAGGAGGTCGTCGGTGGTTGGCAACTGCACACCAGGCCGGCGTACAGCGGAGTTGACTTGTCGCAAGTCGACACACCACCGGACCGTCTTGTCCGGCTTCATCACCGGGACAAGGGGAGAAACGAAATCAGTGGCCTGCACTTCACTAACGGTCTCGACCACACCCTGTTCCGTCCATGCCTGCAGTTGTTCTCGTAATGAGGGGAGCAAGGCCGGAGCCACTCGCCGAGCTGACTGCTGGATCGCTGGTTGACTGGAATCCAAGTGAATCGTCACCGGTCCACGCATAGCTGGGAGCGACGCCAACTCCTCGGTGTCGGCATGAATGCTGATGCCAGCGACAGGTGGTGCCAACAATCCTAATGCAAGTGACACACCTTCGCCCAGGAGCGCCGGCACTGGCTGCTTGGAGTCGTCAACAACAAAGATAGTCTCTTGTACAGTGAACTGGTTGTACGTGATGCACGCCTCGAAAACACCAACAGGTTTGAGCTGAGACGTTCCTACCGGACGCAATGGGCAGGGCGATGACGATAGCCGATACTCGCTCGGTACTTGTGACTGAGGCAGGACCGTCACCATGCTGGCCGAATCCACGCGCATAGCCCTTTGGTGCTTGCCATCTAGCACTACCGATCGTAGTGGAAGCACAAATCCAGTTTTCCCGGACCAGACGCTGAAACATTCCGCATCGTCGTCGTCATCGCTGTCATCCATTTCCGCAAGTTTCGGTGAAGACACCTGACTTCTGGACGATGGCGTTGCTGCTGGTCGGGACTCATTTGCCATGGCCAGGCTGGCCGTCATCCCTGGCTTCGTGCCCAGGTACTGGCCTTTCGGCTTGGGCTTCGCTGCGCCGGAACGGCAAACTTGCCCGAAATGCCCTTTCCGTCCACACTGGCTGCACACGGCGTCGGCCGCCGGACAGTGCCGCTTTCCCGGTGGATGCGTCGCTCCGCAGTACCCACAAGCGGGGTTACTGGTGTAGGGAAGGCTGGGTCGGCCTTGTGTCTGGGGAGCGGCGTAGCTGACCTCGACTTCCTTGGCTGGCGTCTCGCGCGCCAACACAACTGCTTGAGCTCGCTTGGCTGCAGCCGTCAGGTCCTTGCCTCCCTCTTGTAACACACTCTTCCGGGCCGCTTTCACAGACAGGCCACGTGCAAACAAATGTACGGCGACTGTGCCGAGTACATCTTTTAGGTCAGCTCCTGGAGTGAGATTGCATACTCTCAGCTCTTTCTCAATTCGGACCCGAAACGCCTGAATCGATTCCCCAGGCTGCTGCTCAATGGAGAACAGTTCAGCAAGCCTGGCATCCGTGCTACGCTGGCTTCCAAAATACTCATCGAAGAGCCCAATTAGTTCCGCGAACGGGTCGTCTGCCTCAGGGTTCGTGGGAAATTTCTGCCACAAATAGTAGCTTGCATTTTCTCCTAGATTCACTGCCGCGGCCAGGCACTGCTTCTTCTTGTTGGTCACCTCGTGGAGCTGGAAGCCGATGTCCAGTTGACTTCTCCACGTCTGGTAATGGTCATGGCCGAGTTCGTGATCTAAGTCCAGCTTGACAGATACGCGGACTTTCGATGCCATTGTTGTCGCCGTCGTCAGTCAGATTTTCGGAACGAGTGCCAAATCCTGTTCACTGCGCCAATGTTGAGTCGGGCTCGCTCGTTCGCAGACTGTTAGACAACAACTGGATGGGTTCTGAGATATCTCTTACTTAGACTATCATGATCTCAGACAATACTACAAGACAATATCAAAAGGGAAAACCACTCGAAAAACCATCTCCGCCATTCCAACTCTCTCTCTCCAGAACTCTCTCAGCACAAACTCACCACTCACTCAAAGTATGGACAAGCCCGCGCAAAGCAATAAACACGTGACACGCAGATACCGCGCGACACTAAAACACAGCTAACAGTGCACTACATGTAGGTAGTGACAACAATGCAAAGTCAGATACATGGCGACTGATATCATGCAGATCAGTAGCAGTTCAGTTAGTTGAGGTCGAACCTCAACAGCCTTTCCACCCTCTTTCTCTCTCAAATTGCCGAAAAGTCGAGTATCTCGCTCGAGCGCTTTCAAAACTTTTCTCTTGGTTTCACGTCCCAAATCGTGGAACCACACGAGGATCGACATGAGTTTCTTCCAAAAACGCAAACTCTTCGCGTATTTGTACTATTCGCACAATGTTACATAAATCGCAACGAACGACGCCATATTGATAAGTGCCTGCACGTGAACAGCCGTGGGGGGTAGCTTCAACAACATACAACATTATCACAGACACAACTACTCACGTTGTCAGCCTCTCTTCAAATTCACCATGGATGCGTCCAGTTCTATCTTCATTGATACACTGTGATAGTCGGAAGTAGGTACCCTGAGGGGATCGGTGGTCGCCCAAGGATTGGGGTACTACAACGGCTTCTCGTGTTGAACACATGCTGATTGCACTGACAAAGGCACAACAGCGGAATGAGTGACTGTACGTCTGTGAATTCAGTTACTATACCAATAGACAGCTGAGGTCAAAAGTCATCCTGAATGAGGTGACGGCCACACCGTGCGTGTCGAAAGTGGAAAGACGCTCCTGTCATTGTGTGGTTTGTGGACAGACTTGGATCCTGGATGACCAGCAGCTGCAGCAAAACACAGGACCATCACCACGAAAATCATAACAAGGTAATTCCTGGAGGCAATCTCCAGGCTTCTCTCAATATCCAAAGGAGACATACGACTCTTGTCAGAAAGCCACTACAACAGCTTGAAAACACTCAAAGACAGTGAGCCAGCGAACATGAATGAATAAAAAGGCAAAACCTCAGAAATTGTGAATGATGAAAACGCACTGAAAACAAGGAAAGTGACTTACTTCGATGGTTATTTACCAGATGAATGTTCCTCGTATGGATCTGGCTCTTGTGGAATCAGCCGCACCGTGGAACCATGTGTTTGATGCCACAAGCGACGGCTACCTGCTCCTCACTGACCAGCCTCCATGACGGGGTGTAACGTCACCAAAAGTACGAAATTGGAATGTGCTGTTGCTTTTATCGAAAGGTCTATGTGGTGGAGATTGTTTCTAGCTTTCCGCTCGTCTACTGTATAAGTACAAATTTTCGGTCACGAAATCTTTCGTTATTTCACTCCACCAGCAGACTTTTTACGTACTAAATTTCGTTTTTGGTCGAGGTCTGTCACCCCGAACGTTCAGAAAAAATCCTTAGTTATTTCATGCCCCCTAACGAATGTAGCGAAAGTTAATTCCAAATGAAAATTTGTACTTACTGTATAGCAGGAAATTTTCGGACGGAATTTATATTCGGACGATTTCGTACACGGCCTCTTTTGTACTAAAATTAATTCTGTACTAAAAATTTGTTCCTGTGAAGTTATGTACGCTATACATGCGTACCGCATGCAAACACGTGCATCTGGCATGCAGCACTGTACGAAAATAAAATCCGTACAAAAGGTCGAAATTCGGCTTTGTCCGAAAATATTTCCGTTCGAAAATTTCCTGCTATACAGTATACAGTAATTCTTTTCGACATAGTATTTTGTGTTTCATATATTTTCTCAGTGGTGGAAATACGTGCAACCCACAGACCATGGATGCACACATTATGGACTGTGCATTGACGTCACATTGGAGTGTGAATTGTGTTTTATGATCTCTGTGTGTGTGTGTGTGTGTGCGTGCGTGCATATACATGTGTGTGTGCATGTGTGTCTGCGTGTGCACGTTTGGCTGTAGGAGCTCGGGTGGTGCTAATATCACACGACAACGAGCGCGCTTCTCCTTCCGAAAAAAACGCTCTCCATGGGACACGAGCGTAGACGGCACGTCTGGGAAGACACGCAGACAGCCGTCTATGAAATGGGCAAGGCCGGCTAGTGATCTTTTCATGAAACCCAACGCGGTGGCCACAGCAGCTGATCTAGAAGCTGTCGAGATGGGCCAATCAGGACAAGTCAAGGAAAGCAGTCTAGTCGCAGACACAGCAGCAGAACCGAGGTATGCCGGTGACGCTGCGCCTAACACGGCCGCGGAGGCTGCTGCACCTGTCTATGAGACTGCAAGCGATGACACTACTGCTCCTGGAAGACAACACCAAACGTCGGTGTCTTTCGTCAACAAGCCTGCAGCCCTGAACCTGTAGAACACACTAGGAAGTAGCAGCAGCAGCACTAGCAATAGCAATAGCAGCAGTGACTAGCCGTGAAAGTTTACTAGGTCTACTTTGAAAACCTTGAACGTTTAGGCGCCCCTATGCATGGACTGCTTCTTGAGCAGGCCGTATTGACTTGTATTCACACATGCATGTATGTGTGTGTGTGTGTGTGTTTCATAGCTGGCACACACACACACACACACACACACACACACACACACACACACACACACACACACACCTAGTGACCAGGTGTGCTGTGCATGCAACACAGGGACAACAGTATAGGCACACAAAGAATTCTTTCTCTCGATGTCCAGATACAGTTGTAGATGTGTAGAGAATTTCATCCCATGGCTATCTTGACACGGCATTCTAGCTACTTACTGTAGAGTGTAGTGTGTGTACGTCGTTATCTAGTCTCCAGTACATTCTGTTTAGGACACATACTACCTCCCCCCCCCCCCCCCCCCCCCGTACATGTCCCACTTACTGTATACATTCAGATGCTGTTTTCATTTCCCCTCTTTTCTCTTTTCTGTGAATGCTATGTTCATGCATGCTTTATGCTCTTGCTACATAAAGACGAGTGTCACTTTTAGTTACCCTGGGCCGAGGTGATGTGGCAGTCAAAATAATGCATATGCATCCGTGTCTCATCAGTTCTGTTGACTGGTTCGGTTGTCAAATATACACAAGACACAATCCAAAGCTCAACCGCATGACTAAAAAACGACAAGAAATAATGGAAGCGCGAAACCTGGCACAGAGAAGGGATCGAGGCAAGGGTGACTCTGGGGTAGTGGTACTAATAAAACACAGTCGGAGGAGAAAATAAGACACAACAAAGGACGAACGGCACAAAAGTTGGCGTTAGTAAAAGTGAATGTCCATTATAAATTTATTACATTGACAAGAAACTACTTAAGTTTTTAGTCTGCAATGAAGGGAATGAAAGGGCCAATGCAAGCGTTTCTACATTGCAAACAGAAGGAAGCGGAACAGCAAAATCAAGCACAGATTGCCACGTATACGTGCAGATAGCATTAAAAATTGGAACGCATACAACAGTGAGGTCTCTCAACAATGCAAACCAAACCTATTTCTTATGGGGTACCGGTTTGATGTTGTCGGCGTTGCGCCGTCGTAGTGTCATGCGCATCTGCGGGGCTATCACACCGCTGCTGTTGATGATACTTGTGCTACTGGCCGTGCTACTGCTCATGATGCTGCTGCTGCTGCTGGCACCACCGCTAGTGCTGCTCGATCTGCTGCTCCTACTACCGGTTGGTGCAGGGGCAATAGCACTGGACAGGGATGATACACCAGCGACGGTTGGTACGGGCAGTTTCGAAGACGTGCGGGTCGTCGTGCGCGCAGATTTCTTCTGCTTTGCAGCGGACGAAGCCGGTAGCCCGCCCACTCGAGATGGAGAGTCCGCTACAAGTTTGACAGGTGTGCTGCTGGCTGGGGGCAATTGTGTGAAGTCATTATCTTTTGCCTGCTGATCTGGTGCTACGGTTGGTACAACAGAGCTACAAGCAGAATGAAAAAGAAGAAAGAGATGCCAGCATGCAAAGAAGCAGCAGTATATTAGTGAAATCTTAGAATCGTGCACAAGTTAACTCGATCAAAGGTGGGGTTTGGCCCAAAATTAACTGTGGCCTTTCCGTCTTTCCTCCCATCGCTTTAGGAGCTGCATGTGTGCCTTGATCCATAGAGGGCGGTGGCGTTCCTACGGATGCGGAAAGCTCGGCCTCCAGCCGAGTCTCACGCGAACAGTGAATCCCCCCCCCCCCCCCCCGTCTAAACACAAAGTATTGCACGGGGTAACAGTACCCTAACTGTCACACCAATGCTCTGACTAGACATGGCACAGGACGTCTCATCCCTCTACAAGGGGTCAAACCTCCTTCATACATCTAGCAACGAAGCAAGTTGGTTCAAAATGGAATGTGGCTCTAGAATCTAACATCAAGCCGAGTGTAAAACATCCCACCATGCCATGTGCCTTGCAATGCAGAACTCTACACTTGTAATCATAGATACACTCAAGCACACACGCACACACACGCACACACACACGCATAGAGCAAAGCACTGTACTTCTTTCCAGGTGCATGTTTACTAGCATCAGAGGTACACAAGCACCAACTTACCGCCGAGTACGTCTACTGCCAGCGCTCTTTGGCGGTGTTGTAGGCACAGATGGCAGTGGTTCACTGGCCGGTTCAGAAAAAAGCGATTGCTCTGAAACAAGCTCTGGCCCATTGTCCATTGATTCAGCCGGTGGCGGAGCCACTGCTGCCGGGGCGGTGCTGGTAGAGGTCACAGCAGCGGTCAGCTTTAGGCTCCGTGCTGAGGTGAGATGGGGTGATGCAGGAGCAGCCGCAGCAGCAGCAGCCGTTGCTGACGCAACCAATTGGTCTTGTGGCAAAGTGAATCTACTGGCCGGCGTTGAGGTTCCGCGAGACCTAGTCCACGGAGGAGAAAACAGAATATCAGGACCGGGTTTGGACGCTGAAGATACTCTAGACTTCCTGGTCGCAGAAGTGACTCCCCACTCGGCAGATTTTGTTGCTCTAGTGTTGGGAGGTGTGAACTGGAATGTGGGATTAATATCATCACTAACTGAAGACGATGCCGTCATGCCTTCTGCGGAGGCCGCCGATGGAGTAACGGGAGCTGGTGCTATGCTAGCCGAGGTAGGGAAAGAGCGACGGGGCGAACGCCGTAGCGATGCCGTTGGAGACGTAGCAACAGGGCGATGAGGGCTAGTTTTGGTCAAGTTGAGCGAGTGCAGTACCCTACCTGGGGAGACAGGTTTACTACGATGGGTCGGTGAACTTGCAGTCGTCGATCTTGTCGGAGATCGAGCTGGAGAAGAGGTGGGCGATGCTGCTGAAGAACTTCCCTGGGTGGCGCTAGGACGAATGGGAGAGCGCTGCGCCGGAGGTGCTACAAGACTGCTTGTTGCTGCAACAGCACCAGGCACTGATTCACTGGCGTCGTCGTCGTCCATCATCTCAGACCTCTGCTCTTCTTCGGTCGTGGACCTATCAGAACGATCAGAGCCAGTTGCCCGTGTCAACGAAGTCATTAAAGCCGAGACATTGTTCCTTGCAACATCACTGCCGGAGCCAGTAGCAGCACCTGCAGCAGCAGTCTCCTGCGTCTTGCGTGAACGGCTAGATCGGCGCACCACAACCTTTGTCCCTTGCGACGCTACTCGTCTCGGAGACTGCTGACGAGTGGCACGTCTCGATGCTAGCCAATCGTCGTTATCATCCACAGAACTCTTGGCAGAGTCTTCGCTGACTGAAGACGACTTTGAGGCAGGGGAAGCTGATGGCGACGAGGTGGCTGGTTCTGCTGCCTCCTCCTCATCATGCTGTGACGGCGATGCTGCTGGCGATGCCAATGCTGCATTCCCCTGAGATGTGAGCGGGGAAGCAGAGGGAGACCTCCGCTGGCCATACGGAGACAATGTGGTCGGCTGCAAGCAAAAAGGAAGTAACAAGACATACACTACTCTCGACAAGAACCTGGCAAACACACAGTTCATGTAGAGTTTAAACTCTACAATCTACATGTAAAAGTACTGCGAGAGCGACCCAGCACATGCACTCCTTTTTGCTCGTGTTTTAGAGTGGAGTGGAGGAGCGAGCACAGGCTGTAAGTCATACAACACGGACAGTAAAGCTACCTGAATCCGGATACCTCTAATCCGGCCATGTCGGTCTACCGGACACCTTTCTGATCCATCTAGAGACGCTAAATGGCTTTTCACTGTTCGTCTTCAAATTCACCGGAAAGGCAGCTTAGAGAGCGCTGTGTGGGCAGGCGTGTATTGACCGCCATTTCGCCAGGTGTGTTTTAACCACCATTTCTCTACCATAATAATTATACTGATGCCGCATTGGAGTCTTCATATCATTCTACCATACTGCCCGGTGCGAGAATAACAACACTTCCAGCAATATTATATATCTGCTGTCAGCATACACACACGTGCACATGTGCGTACACACACACGCACGCACACACACACACACACACACACACACGCATGCACACACACACTAAGCCACATGTCAAACGTGGCTAGGGCTGAACATGTTCGGATAGGGGAAGCAAGCAAACTTACAGATGAAGTGAAATCTTCCTCCGCACTCAAGAAATCCCTGGGTTGACACAGGAAACAATAAGTCGCGGAGGAGATTAGGACAGAAAAAATTAATGTCCATACAGTGCCAGCAGCGTGCCAAACCGTGAAATAAAAAAATCCGTCCCAACATTTCATGTCATACTGTGTCTACATGCAGTACACCGTGCTGTGATTGACATAGCGGAAGCAGTACAAACTCACAGGCAGCAGCAGCAGCAGCAGCAGCAGCAGCAGCAGGAGAAGCTCTCACACAGCAGCACACTTACTCCGCATCATCGTCGTCATCACTTTCATCCATTGGCGTGGACATTGCAGTAGCAGCAGCAGCAGCAGTACTACTAGCAACACGTGCGTGATGTGATAGGGCAGACGAAGCAGCAGCTACAATTCCTGACGAACTTTGAGTGCGATCATCCAACGCTGACTTTCCACTGGTTATAAAAAACAAACAAACGAAATAAATTTCACAACTCCACGAAACAAACTTCGCGACTTTTTTTATTCACACCCTATGGGAGTTACTGTGCTCAAATAAACTTGGTTCCGTGGAACAAAAACTTCACAAGGACGAGTGTACACTTTTTTCCAAGCATGTACACCGTAAAGTACCGCAAGAGCGCCCTACCTTGATTTTGCAGCCAGGAAAAGGAAATTGTACGACAGAGTGTAACTAAGTTTGCACGGTGTGAGAACCTTAACATGCTAAGTGTTGTGCGCAGCTTATGTCCGCTTGAAGGTAAACCGAGTACGCATAGAAACCGAGTATGCATAGACTGAGCAAAGAGCAATGTGTGTACAAGGTAGGTGTCGTATGACCTACAGACAGGCCACCACCTCCACAACACGATCACGAAAGGGACGTGGTGGCGGGGTGCTCTGGCAGTACTTCACGGTATACAAAGATGGCAAAGTTTGAGTCTCCTTGGAATCAAGATCATTTGTTTCCTTAGAGCACAATTCAGCAGAATGGACAGTTCAATAAAGTCAGAAAGGAAAAGGACATATGAAAACGAGTTAAGAGTAACTCTCCACCACCGTAACTAGATACTATATACAGTCAGAAAGTGCAACAACTAGGCACAAAACTGACAGAGTACTGAGACATTCGACGTCCTGACACCTAGCTTCAACACATCTCCGTAGCGCTAACCGACAGCCTTCCAACTTGGAAGGTTCAAGGTTATGGAAAGACCAAAGAGGGGAAGGCAAGCGCAACGAAAACGAGCACAAGCTACAGTCCCAACGGAACAAAGAATGTCGATTGTCACTGGACGATGACGAGACCAGTAGGCTTTGTCAAATCGCCTACTGGTCTCGTCATCGTCCAGTGACAATCGACATTCTTTGTTCCGTTGGGACTGTAGCTTGTGCTCGTTTTCGTTGCGCTTGCCTTCCCCTCTTTGGTCTTTCCATAACCTTGAACCTTCCAAGTTGGAAGGCTGTCGGTTAGCGCTACGGAGATGTGTTGAAGCTAGGTGTCAGGACGTCGAATGTCTCAGTACTCTGTCAGTTTTGTGCCTAGTTGTTGCACTTTCTGACTGTATATAGTATCTAGTTACAGTGGTGGAGAGTTACTCTTAACTCGTTTTCATATGTCCTTTTCCTTTCTACTTTTATTATTGGCTCAATACCCGAGTTTCAATAAAGTCAAGAAGTGTTTTTGCTACCAGAGGAAGCACACATGACTACACACTACATACACGTCATACACATGCATGTCTCACAGGCAAAAGGAATAGAACACGAAGTCACTCATTCAAAGAGAGAAAGTAGACGAGTAGAGATGCACATCGCAGCGGCGGCATAAACAACACTGTCTTACATTGTCGGCCTGCTCCTTGACAGAAGTCCGCCATCATATTCATCGTCTTCAACATCAACATCTTCTCCTTGCTCCTCAGCATTATTGTACTGTGCCTTTGGCGAATCTGAAGCTCCTTGCTCCTTCTCAGCATCATCTTCCTCTTCCTCTTCATCCTCGTCCTCTACTCCGGCGAATCGGATGCGCCGAGGTGTTTCCGCTTTGCTCTGCTCGGCTCTACGACGAGGCTTGGCTACGGAGACAACAGGGAACAAGAACAACATGCCCACACACAGCAGTGGCCATAGTGAGGGTTGAGATGCAAGCAACACACACACACTGTAGTCCTGTACACAGTCATGGTGTGTTCGGGGAAGGGGGTTGCTGACTGCTTACTTCGCAAGTGCAGGAAAATTATTGATTTTTGTCTTTGATCACTTGTCCATTGCAAAATTATCAACGGGTATTGTAGAACGGTGAATTGGGGGGACTGACCAAACAAGTTTCGAATTTGCGGACAATTAGAAAAGTTTTTAAATAGTTGGTACAATACACCAACTGTTAGAGGCCATCCATATATTATACGGACGACCCCTAAAATACATGACAAATAACTGCGCACAGAAGAAAAGGGCAGCACCAGAGGCGCGCACGCACATGCACACCCACCCATAAACACCCACACACACAAAGTTTCTCCACTTTACCTGGCCTGCCAACAACAGACGGCGGTGTTGCCAAGTGGAATTCCTCTCCAATCAAACCTGCACGCACGAACGCACACACAAACACACGTGCACAGACATGAGCACACCCCCACACAGGCACATCTGCCTAACAAGCTAGAATAGTTTTCACCCTGCTGTAAGTAGTGCTCTATGACTATGTACTTGCCACTCAAACTCTCCTTATCCCGTTATGGGATTGTTCCACCAACTGAGCAGTCCTATGACTGTACATGTGCTGGGTGTTCATCCACAGATGATATATCTTATGGCTGCATGTACAATATACACAGTATACATGTGTGCAACTCAAATGTGAGTTCCCAGTTATGAGCAGCTCCCAGTCATGGACGGGGTACAGTTACATGAAGGCCAGGCACGGGGACAACAACAGCAACAGCAACAACAGCAGCAGCAGCAACAACAGCAACAACAGCAGCAGCAGCAACAACAGCAGCAGCAGCAACAACAGCAGCAGCAACAACAGCAGCAGCAACAACAGCAGCAGCAGCAACAACAGCAGCAGCAGCAACAACAGCAGCAGCAGCAACAGCAGCAGCAGCAACAGCAACAACAGCAGCAGCAGCAACAGCAACAACAGCAGCAGCAGCAACCAACAGCAACAGCAGCAGCAGCAACAGCAGCAGCAGCAGCAGCAGCAGCAGCAGCAGCAGCAGCAGCAACAGCAGCAGCAGCAGCAGCAACAGCAGCAGCAGCAGCAACAGGAGCAGCAGCAGCAACACTACGCGTGTGCATGTATATGCAATGACTCACGAGAAAGGGGCAGCTGACGGTGTGCCAGCAAATCGGCTTGTTCCCGGTCTGATCGGGGCGGTGAGCGGGGTGGTGATAATGTTACAGAACTTGCACGTTCCTGTGGACTGACATGGCGAACCTACAAAGCCAATGCCATATGGTCAGAGCAGGACAATGATACATGACACAAACCGAGCAGCAACGAATTTCACGGTTCGCATGAGACTCAGTTAGGCTGAGTTTTCCACTCTCAAGGATCAATGCGCAGATGCAGCTCCTAAAGTGCTGGGAGGTGAGTACAATCATGACTTTTGTAGATCGAATCCAACACCAAAGTGCTGGCAACTGACACTAACAGACATTCTGTGGGTGGTTGTGGAAGTGCCAGCTGACAGTTCACTCCATGACACCGCACTGAATGTACACTCTCGGCCAACTAGCACAACTCGCAGTGTCACATCACACTATGCTCGTGGCTGACTGGCACAGCTTGTAGTGTTACACTACGCTACCTACGCCCATGGCCGATTAACACTACTTGCTGTATACACACTACATTCTTGGCTGACTAGTACAGCTTGCAATGTCACACCACAATGGAATGGAACGAGTGAAACGGATCGAGAGCATTCAGAAGTTGGTAATGTTGCAAAGGCTACTTCAGTAATAAGAGAAAAGAAAAGAAAGGAAAAAGAGGTGCCTATCGTACTCGTACACACCTTCAGTATTGAGTGCGGTGTCGATGGTATGGTGCTGAGTGAAGCATCACCCGGACCAGTGGGTATTTCCAAAGGCTACACACAAAGTATGCAGTGCACACACCCACACACACACACACACACATCATCATCAATATTACTATAGTTTATTGTACCTGATATGAAAGATTTCATCAATAAATCTTTCCATGCTACAGCCATTCGATAAGACTGTTTCCAAGTATGCCCTGTGTTTATTTTAAAGAGTCCACGCCAAACTCCCAGCCTGGTTTTTACTTTCAACACTTCAGCCCCTGCTAAAAGTTACTACATCAGCAGTTGACTGTCCCAGGTATGCACCCTGTGTTGCACCTGGAACAGTAAATTGACCTTGCGGCTCACCTTCAATATGGAGCCAGGCGAAATCATGGCACTCCGAGAAGCAAAGCTGTGTTGCACTGGTGTCTGAGAGGTGACAGAGAGGAGAGGTAACAGGCAGTAAACACACATTACACTACAAAGTAACAATGCCATGTAATAGAACACATGCTATAAGTGTGTACTTCATAGTAATTATATTACAGCATGGACCTTGCATGGAATAAGCAGCACATTATATAAGAAGTGTGCACATGTTCTAGCCTTGGCATAACAGACAAGGTCACATCACACCACTACACTGCACAGGACTGTAGTTCGGATATGCGATACGCATCACCGCAGATACAACCACAACAACAAAAGAGACTTACACCCAGGTTGACACTGCCAGGCCGAGGAACAGTACTCATGTCCATGAATGACCTACACAACACCAAACACCAAGCACACACACACAACAAACACAAACACACACACAATAATTAGAGAGTTACAAGCGACACGTCAAGAGAAGCCACATGACATTATTGTATACCCAGACTGCTTACACCCGAACCTTGGCATGCCTGAGAAACACAACACAATGGCTAGATACAGTACAGTAAACATAGAGAGTCTCAACACCTACCCAGCGGTCGATGGAACTTGCCATGATGCACTAATGGCCGACGCAGCAGCAACGTGTGGTCCCAGGTTATCCATAGACACCTACAGCAAGAACACACATGGACAAGACGACGACACACACAGAAGAACATCACCAATGCAAGAACACATATGGACACACACGGACAAGATTACACACACAGAAGAACATCACCAATGCAGCAGTGACGGCGACACAGTGCCACGCACACAACGGGGATAAGAAATATACAGTACACGCACATGCACACTGTAGCAGCAGCATCAGGAACCGGAGCAGCACTGTTATAAAAATAGGTTCATGCACTGTGCTTCATGCTTGCTACAACACAGACAATAATCAATACCAGAAAGCCTGCAACAAAGCTACACATTACTATTGCCCAAACCCAGGGCCTTATTTAAAAAATTCATTGGTGCGGCCCAGAGAGCGTGAAGAGTGTGATGAAGATGAATGGATATAAATTCAGGGCCAATGGGTTTACATAATAATTATTAAGTGATGCCAACAGAATACATTGTACTGTAGCTAGCATATGTAGTGATGAGGACATTTCCCATGACTGTTGACTTACATCAGCAAGCTGTGGCGGCTCTTCATCAGCAAGGTTAACAACTGGTGATGCGCACAACAGAGGAGCTGGGTCACTGTAGAGCAACAGCACACAGCACACAGTTACACACGGGCTGCCTTACATCCGCAAAACAAAGGGTATGCCTAACGAGAGGTACAACCTCGAAGTACTGTGCAAGACAAACCAAACTGAACGTGTGTGTGTGTGTGTGTGTGTGTGTGTGTGTGTGTGTGTGTGTGTGTGTGTGTGTGAGAGAGAGAGAGAGAGAGAGAGAGAGAGAGAGAGAGAGAGAGAGAGAGAGAGAGAGAGAGAGAGAGAGAGAGAGAGAGAGAGTAAGCGTGTGTGGAGATGACTTACATAAGCCGTGACTTGTGAGAGTTGATCCTGGGTGTTCCAATAAAGGGAGAGGCTTGCACACCGGTAGGTTTCCTGTGTGCGTGTAGTACAGACAGCGATAAGACAATGATAGCACGCACGCACACGCACACACACACGCACGCACACACACACACACACACACACAGCATAACACCAGCATCTACATGTACATTGGAGAGAAGTGCTTACCATGCTAACATGACAAGGCCAACAAAGTGAAGTCAAGAGTGATCATTATGACTGTAGACTCCTTCAGATCGGAGATGATAAAATCAGCATGCTACCCAGACTGTATACATGTACGTACAATACTCAGGTAGCAAGCAACATGAATGCCCGAAAAAACCCAGATGATTCAACTTGAGGACAGGAAAAGCGGGCCCACAGCACTAGGGCCGGAGTACACAGAACGCAAGTCCTTACCGTTTCTTGAAAGGTGTCGCCTCCACAACCGGCTCAGCTCTGTGTGCACAAAGCAGCAACACAGGACATACAAGTGACAAGAACAAGAACACAGCACGTCAACACAGAGCAACAGCATGTATGTGTGTGTTGGGGCCACGTCTAACCGACCACCACAGCAAGCTAGCCAAAGCTACTGTGCTAGTGCCACAGCCTAGTGATGCTGGTAACACACCATGCCTAGTGATGCTGGTACATGTAACACACCATGCCTAGTGATGCTGGTAACACACCATGCATAGTGATGCTGGTACATGTAACACACCATGCCTAGTGATGCTGGTAACACACCATGCATAGTGATGCTGGTACATGTAACACACCATGCCTAGTGATGCTGGTAACACACCATGCATAGTGATGCTGGTACATGTAACACACCATGCCTAGTGATGCTGGTAACACACCATGCCTAGTGAATGTAACACACCATGCCTCAGTGAATGTAACACACCATGCCTAGTGATGCCTAGTGATTAGGCCTACTAGTGATGCTGGTACATGTAACACACCATGCTGGTACATACCGTGCCTCGGTGATCTTCTGCATTGCCATAGTAATCAGGTGTGCCTCGGTCAGAGGCTTGCCACTAGCGGATGACTGCGAGATAGTCATGGACAGCGGGACAGGACAAATGTCTACAGGAGAGGCAACATACACACACAGACACAGACAGACACAAACACAGACACACACAGACACACACAGACACACATACATGTATACTATAACGTCTATAAGTATACAGCTAAGCAAGTATCAAGGAATGCATAGAACCTACACAAACAAATGCGCACACCATGACATACCGGTAAGAATAGGTGAATAGCATTCTCCACCTTTGTGAGTGTTCACAGCCAATGATACTACACACACTGAAAACTTAGTACAACACAACAAACACAATAGTATTACCTGCCGATTTGGACTTTGACGGCATTCGAGTTTGGTCAGTGGCCAGCTGGTGTTGCACCAGGGGCAATGCCTTACAATAGCCTTGGACTATGGCTTCTCGCACAATGGCTCTGTCACGTGCTTCCGAATCAGCCTACAACAGCAACAGACAGAGAAAGCAATGTTCATGACACGCACACATGCACATGTATGAGCACACGGTGATCACACTAGGGAGGTTTCGCTCTACGTAATTACGTATGGAAATCCGTATGTCGTACGCGCCGGGGAGCGAGGGCAACTTTCATACGTAAATCTCTCTACGGATTTCCGTAGGAAAGCTCTTTCCTACGTTGGGTCCTCCGTAGGACTTTTTGAAATATTTGTTCGCATTTTCCGCATTTGTCCATGGCAACATTCAAGCCGCGCGAAACACAAGGTACACACACCGTATACGCGTACACCACGTGCAAAATATCATGGAAAACGCGGTTTCGCGGTTCATGGTGCATGCAGTGGGCGCATGCAGCCAACGCGTCTCCAAAGCAACAACGCATGTTGAGCAGTCGTGGAGAAATCACGTAGAGCGAAACCCAACAGCTCTGATTTTTACGTATGAAATTTCCGTGCAGTTCATACGTTATTTTCATACGTAATTCCGTAGAGCGAAACCTCCCTACTATCACCACAGGCAGAACAATAATGACACCAACCATGGCAGTGAGTGATTAGTACTGATTACACATGACTCTGACAGGGACTTATCTGCTATATGCCAGTACTCGTACATGTACAGCTAAAATGCCAGTACATGTACTGCTAGATGCTCAGTCAAAGTCACCATAGAGGTGCAGCTGCCCAACAGCTGAATAGATGACATAGAATGCACAGATCGCCAAGCACGAAAAGCAAACACTAGCGCATTTGGCAGCACTTACATAGTCCGAGATGGCTAGCAGCTTGTCATTGAGGCGGATTGCTTCCACGTAGCGAGCACGTTGCAGGTAAAACATCACTAGGAGTTCGGTCAATGGCGCAGAGTCAGAATTTTCTAGGAACTCAACCCAGACATGCTGCAGTAGTTCACATGTGCAAGCATACAGCACAACATAGATTTAGGGATATCAGCGAACGCACTGCGCAGCCCATCTGCGCAGGTCAGCCTGGCCCATCTACGCGCGGCCGACAAGAAAACTCATGAACATTTTCATTTTTTTGCAAAATAAATCGTGCGAAGAAGATGCATGGACTGGCTGAAAACTAGGCTGAGGAAAAGTAGCATCCAGAGACTCTCCAACAAATTCATGGTCCATCGCTTCTGACAATGGCAGCGAATACATCAGGGAGCTGATTGCAGCAACTCTCTACCAAGCGCGACGCTGGTTACTCACCAGGGCAGGGCGCTTCCATCGCGCAAGAAATGGCCGCGAGCGAGAAATGCAAGTCCGATTTTGGAACGATCCAACCAGGGTAATCCCTTGAAAATTGGCCTGAACACCTCTCATACTGGTGTTTCACGATGTGCAAACTTTCAGAGAACATGGTGAGTACGTGGGTCCTCCGTATCGCGTATGATTTGAATGGTCGCGGGGACAGAAGAACAGTAATTTTACAACTCCCAGCGGTGCAAACAGACCGCGGCCATGTTTTCTCTGTCGGCCGCGATCGCGTTCAAAAAATCGATGACGCAATGCATGCGCAGAGGCCTGCGCAGTGCGTTCGCTGACATCCCTAATGTCATGAGAGAAGAACTAGTCAAAACAGAACAGAAAAGATTGCCTGCTCAGAACTGATTGGCATGGGTTCTTTAGTCTTGCTGTGTGTGTGTGTGTGTGTGTGTGTGTGTGTGGTGCGTGTGTTGTTGCTGTTGTCAGTACCATGCACAGACCTACCTCTTCATCATCCGTCAGTGGGAGTTGCGAGAGTTTGTGAAGTAAGCGATGAGACTGGCAGCAGTCCAGCATGTGAGTGAACAGATCGGTCTCACCCGGTGCGGACGCACGACGCTGAACAAGATGGACACGCACACACACAAATACATGGTAAGTTATTAGTAACTCAAGGATGAGAGTATGAGTGCAGCCTGTTGTGTGTGGCGGTAATGAACGAGTACTGTACTCTGCTACATGCATTTCCAACACTGGAACACAGCTACATGTAGCAGGGTTCTAGCCAAAGGAGGGCGGGTGCATTTCGCAAGGCAAGACAACGTTGGAAAATGGAAAAAATGAATTACAGTGTAACTGTTTCCCCAGCCCCCCCCCCCCCCCCACACACACTTTGACCTGGCTACAACCCTGATGTAGCAGGTAAGCACAGATGGTGATATCATAGGGCATGGCTTCATGCTGGGTTGGGACCAACACCGATAATCAACACCAGCAATACTAGCCATGAGAATAACACAATAACACGGTATCAGTGAACATGGCCACTGTGTATGCATCCATTATAGCCACTGGACCGTGCAATAAACTACACCAACCAATACACACATTACACAGACCTCAACCAAGACATACTTACTTGGTAATCAAAGGCTTCCGCTACAAGTCTGCATGATACAACATGTGCACACACACACACACACACACACACACACACACACACACACACACACACACACACACAACTACTACTATGATACAGCTACCCTAAACGGGTCACGCCGCCCTCCACCCAAGCATGAGCACTATGAGGGGCAGTGGCAAATAAAGAGAATCAGCTAGCAGAACTGGCAAAACAGATGAAACAATGGAGCAGAACGGACGACTGCTGTACTGTAACAACAACCTGACAGCTACAGTGACAACGACTGAAAATGTACAGGAAAAAAATTCAAAATAACACGTCACGAAAAAACACTGTCCACGAAAGAATCCACCAAGCAAAAGGAGTGTGGGCATCCGAAATCCCACCAGGACTCCACTAGCAGTTCTTCCACGTTGACGATGTAAGCGGCAGGGCAAGGCCTCACAAATCCGACAGACTTCCACAACGCTTGACCAGTGCACTCATGACGACGAAAGATTGAAGTTTCAATTCCCACCATTCCGCCATTGGGACCTTCCTCTCCGCACTCGCTCGTCCACTCCACTGAAAACAACGAGTTGTTCCAGCACTCCACCAGCCAATCCGCAATTCCCACCACTGCATTCTTCGAGCTTAGATTCTTCACAGCACTCGAGGGACAGCTACTCCACTGCGAGTGGTGGACCACGGCCGACGCAGCAGTGACAATATCAAAGTAAATTGTCCTGCAAGCTATATCGCGATTCCGCGCTCCAATCATGCAGCACTACCTTGGCAGTGTGCGAGGGTGCTCCAGGGTCGACTCTGGCTACGCCAGAGTCGCCCTGGGCAGGCAGAAAACTTGGGAGAAAGCCAAGAACACGGAGCTCAGAAAGTGTAACCTGCTCCCAAGGAGCACCCACCCACACACACACACACGCACGCACTGACACCAGCAAACACGGAGAGCTTTGATAACAAATGAACAGACTGGCAACAGAGCTAAGCACTGGCGCGCGTACACACAAACTTCACAACTTCCAGTGGCATTGCACAGCGCACAGCAAGAAAGCACAGTGTACAACAGAGTGTATATACTGGTACAGGGTGTCAGGTTCCCACTGATGGCATACACACACACACACACACACACACACACACACACACACACACACACACACACACACACACACACACACACACACACACACACACATATACACACACGCACACACACACGCGCGCGCACACACGCACACACACAAATGTGTGGTGCCTTGAGCAACATCTTACCCATTAGAAATAAGTGTGTCCAGTGAAAGATGAATATGCTGAACATTGGCCCTGGAAACAGGGACTCGTTGCAAATAAATAGCAGCTAATTTCGATTGGCCTGCAGGGCAAAGCAGAACATTGTTGAAAAAGCAGACACAAGTCACCAAAGGACATTGGCCACTGAATTACATGTACAAAGTGAACTTTCTCTTGCAGCATGTCACACATTCAATGATTTTCAAAGTACAAAATAGAATACCGCATTTTACCGGTTGTAAGTCGACCCCGGTTATAGGTCGACCCCCGTATCCAGAAGTCTCAATTCTGCATTTTAAAGTTTTCACCCAACGAAGCACTACTAACCATTCCCTGCTACTAACACATCAACAAATCATGTAAACATTCCTTATTGGAGGGTATAACGTCCCAATCCTTCAAAAAGGCCAATAAACGAGCAAAAATGTGTACACATGGGGCACTTGTGCATGCAGTGCAGGTCATTTTTTGTAAGATAATGATAGTTCCCGGTTATAAGTCGAATCCCGGTTGTAAGTCGACCCCCCTCCCTTTCTCCTTCTATTTTTAGTCGTAAAAGGTCGACTTACAACCGGAAAAATACGGTAAGCATGTAGTCAGCGCCAGTCATACAGGCATGCCATGTGACATCATTGTGCATATCCAGGCGACATCATGTGTATATCAAGCTGACATCATTGTGCATATTCGGATGACATCATTGTGTATATCCCGGTGACATCATGTGTACATCCGAGCAAAGTGGAAAGATACATACATGTACACAGGCCCGTCCAAGTCATAAACACTGATCATCAGTGACCTCGTCAAAAAGTAGCCGGAGCCAGAGGGTAATGGTAGCAGCAGCACCAGCAGCAGCAGCATCCCGTATAGGCGCACAACAAACTGCTACACGTACTTCAAAGAGCATTCTAACCTAATGTTCCCACTCAGACTCACCAGCAAATAAGAAAGCTTGAAGAATATGATGCTCCTGGCCTGGAATTAGAGAGACCTTTGACCCAGGCTGCGTCAAGAGATTCAATGCAAGCTATGGCACAAAGAAGACATGAAACAACTACGGTGTCATCACGCTGGTACTACAACGTACTCCTAGAAAAACAGAAACTGGAGCCAGAAAGGCGTGTACATGAACTGAAACCCGGTGTACCCGGACTACACATCTCAAGCAGGCAACTGATCAGCAACACCATACGCACGTACACGCAACAGAGACACCAAGAAGTGACCTACTCGCATGTAGGCACCGAAGGCAATGCGATTTCAGACAGAGAGGTGCAACATGCACTTACATCAAAGTCGCGTCTGTCCAAGGCCCAGAGACCGCGCAAAACAGACACCGCCTGGCTGTCCATGCCGAATGCTTGAGCATAGCGCTGTGCTAATGTCAACTGCACACACACAATAACCACATCACAATACGCCGAAGTCCAAAGAACACGTCAATTATTGTATCTGAGATTCTAAGTACCTCAGAAAGATTTAGACAAAAAGATGAGCAGGCAGATACACACACACGCACGTATGGTTGAAATACTTCACAGACTACTATTGAAACATGGCCCAATGCAAACCAAACAGGTAAAGCTACGTGGATCTGCCGAGAGAGAGGGGGGGGGGGGGGCGTTTGTGTTTGTGAGTGAACACAGCTTACCCAGGCATCCTTGTCAAGGTCATCGCTCGAAGGAGCAAAGATGAGAGCAATGTCCAGCAGCAAATAAAATATCTTTGAGCACCAAGTCAAGGCAACAACACATGCTATGAAAACAAAACTGAAGTTTGCATAGACTTCGAGCATCACTGTAATAAATATTGCGGCAGAGCTTAGTTGCACAACCCACAATACAGTCATTCACTGAAAATACACATGTCATGATGACATTGTGGCCAACCCACAGGTGGCAATCACACGCGTGCGCGCACACCCACGCCCACATGCACACACACCACACACGCACACACATACACACGTGCGCACAACATGTTACTGCCAAGTACTGCAAGTACACCAGGATACGACAAAGCTGTGCACTTGAGCAGGCACTTGGCGGACGACAAAGAAAATGTTAAGCAGCGCCTGCAAGCACGCACAAAGGAGGCAAACAGAACTATCAATTGCAAGAACTAATGTAGAAAAGGAATGCCATGCAATACAAGTTCACACACGCTACAAGGTAAAATACACCAAGATAGCGGCAAACAGTCCAAAGACAGGGGCCTGGGCTATGCACAGTCTGCACATCACATACGAGCATAGAAGTTACTGTGAAAGTGAAGTATGGGCCATTGCCATCCTAACACAAGGAATACAACTCATTATTTTTATTAATTTATTTTTTACAAAAAAAACGCACACCATTTGACGGCACAACGCAGCAAGACTGCCGGCGATGAGACATATGGAATGGCAGGAGTGCATTATCTACGCTATGCAACGCACAACACAACAGTGCATACATCAACACAACACAATGGCATCATAACAGCAAATACTATGCAATAATACAATACACAAAACCGATTGAGCCTTAACTCCTGAGCTTTACGTCACCACTGCTAATTTATCAGACGGCCAGCACGCTTACAAGGCTCATACACTGCTGTAGTGAACTCACATGGAAGTTTGGTGGAGGATAACTGCCCGTGCCACTGGCCACTGCTCCCCATATCGAGTCAATGGGACCTTGCCAGCGCTCCAGTAAGAGATCAATCATCAGCAACTGCTGTCCACTTCACAGAACAGAGCAAACAAACAAACAGAACAACTTCAGTTGGAGCCGCACAACAATGACAATTAGTCAAAAGTCTGAAACGACCATCAGATAAGTACATGTATGCAGTTTCCTCGGAGACAAGAATGCCATAGTACTAAGAAGAAGAAGGACAGATAAGTATGCAGTTCTCCTATGGCTATGATCAATGAGCGATATCCGAAACAGGGACTACTTTTTCTTATAAGCCCAGCTCTGGGATGGGTCAGGATTGAAATAGCCAGAACACAGGGTGTGTGACTTAGCCAGGCCAGCTGAAGGTAGCAAGCTAATCACACCTGACACCCGTCGTCCACTCTATCTACTTCAGTACAACCCAACACATCCATGATGCGGCAGGCCGTGGGGACATGCATGATAGCTCAAAACTCCAAAAGCAGCCACTCAGCAAAACCATCCAGACAACACCGAATGAGAACGGTAGGAGCCTCTCCACCTCAATACACGCCAACCACTCAACCCATGCACGCATGCATACTGTGCAGATATATCAACACTTGATTTGACTAACGAAGAGCTACTCAGGGCGCGTTTGGTTGGTACGAACTAGAACAGGATTCACCAGAACAGCGCGTTTGGTTGGGACTGCACCTGTTCTGGGTCGGCCAGAACATGTTCTGCTTGCTCCGGCCTCGAGGCCGGAGCAGACCGAGCAGTTTCACTTTTTCACAGTGAAACCTGGCGGGAACACCAATTTTGTTCCCAAATGATCACGTGCATACGCTTTTGGGTTGGACTCGTCGCACCGTACAAAGTGACCATGGTGATCCATACACATTTTGAAGAATGCACTAAGTTTGGCACATTTTTCCACAAAAATGTGCTCTGTTTCTGGAGTAGCGTTTGGTTGGCATGAGGCTGCTCCATGTGCACCAGCTGTTCGATCCTGTTCTAGATCGTACCAACCAAACGCACCCTCAGTCTCAACACACATACTAATTGGTCTCCATGCTGCAAAAACTTATTGTGCTTCACCAATTTTTTGGGCATGGCTCATCCCCAGAGTGAAACAGTAAAACTGAGGGCGAACCGCCAAGAAACAGAGTAGATAAACTGTGAAATGCAGTGGAACAGTGATAAGATGAGAAATGTACGTGAGAAATGTTTCAGCTAAGGTGCGGGCGTTAAATGTAGGAGCCCTGGTATGCTGGTGATAGTGCTGGGAGAGGGGAGGGTGAGAAGTAACAGTTTCAGCTGTGTTTGCATGGATACGAGAGTGTGAAATAGAAGGCCCTCCCCAGGCCTCTCCACACCCACACAGCTGAAACATTTCTCAAGTACATTCATCGTCTCGTCACTACTCCATTTCACAGTTCATCTACCGTATTTTCCCCAATATAAGTCGCACCTTTTCACACTAAACTTCAAGGGGGTGGGATGGGGATGCGACTTACAATCGAGTGTGACATCCTGCCTACATGACTATAATGAAACATGGCCCAAAACTGAAAAGGGGGTGCAACCTATAATCGAGTGTGCCTTATAATCGGGGAAAGACGGTACTACATTCCTTGGTTCCTAGCTATGGTATTTTAGTCTGAGGATGGGCCATGCTGGAAACGTTGGGGACTGAGTAGTAAATTTCGCGCCAGAGACCCATTAGCACGTGTGTGTGTGTGTGTGTGTGTGTGTGTGTGTGTGTGTGTGTGTGTGTGTGTGTGTGTGTGTGTGTGTGTGTGTGTGTGTGTGTGTGTGTGTGTGTGTGTGTGTGTGTGTGTGTGTGTGTGTGTGTGTGTGTGTGTGGTGTGTGCGCGCACGCGTGTGTGTGTGTGTGTGTGTGTGTGTGTGTGTGAATTTTTTAGAAAAGTAACGAAGAGTTGGCAGACAACAACCAACGCCAACGCCTCAGAAGGAATCTTTCTTACTTGCTAGCCAAGGCTTCTTGGCACTGGTGATGGATTTGAAGCAGTGTCTCGTAGGGGTACACAAAACTGGACCGTGGCACACAGATACATGAAGATGATGATGAATGTCAGTACTCAAGCATGTATACATGACTGTACAAGGCATTCTGACTGATCAACAATGAAGACACTAGGGCAACTCAGCTCAATACAGTACAATACAATAATAAGATGAGAGAGGATCAACAGAAAACAGTCAGTATCCACCGTGAACCAACCAGGACTGCATGGATTTGAGCAAAAATGGTTGAACAAATACCGCACACGTACACTATTAACACGAATACTGAGCTATACATTGAATATGCTTACCCAACTCCATCATCATCGGGCTCTACCAGAGGAGAGTTGAACGAAAACCAGACAAGGACACACGCGTGCACATACACGGAAACACACAAACACAAACACACAATAATAATTACATTGTCAAATACGCACACGGGTCACAACATATTTATCCCCAGCCCCAAGGCAAGACCCCAAGCAGCATTAGCCTTTTACTGTATAAGCAGAAATATTCGTCTGGAATTTAATTTCGTCTTTTTCGTCCAAGGAACTTTTGGACTAAATTAAGTGCCGGACTAATGTCGATTTGTCCAGCTTTTCTATACACTATTATGATCCATGGACGAAATTTTCAACCGGACGAACTCCCTTTCTTTGGAGTTGGACGAAATTTTTGACCGACGAAATTTTCTGCCTCTACAGTACTACAGAGAGAAACAGAAGTAGCTGTAGTGGCAAGGCAGGGGGCATCAGTGTAGGAGATAAATGCAAAAGAATCACCTTCCAGCACTAAAGCACAGACGCATAGAGAAAATATTTGCAGCACTTACCACTAACTTCAGGTAACAGTTTATGTGCCGCAAGCCATACCATGGTAAGTGCGTGCTAGCGATTGACATAGAGATACATACAACACACACAACATGGTCAGCATTAGAGAGAAAGACAAGGACACCTGTGAGGACAACCAGTAGGACTCTAGCAAGCTGTGTACTTGCCGAGTAAAGAAGAGAATAAAACACAATAGACAGTGAGTACTAAACAAGAAATTAAAAAGAACCAGCGCAAGGAAGCGGGCGGTGGCAATATTCGTACGGACAACACACAGCTGCTGGCTTGCCGACCATCAGCAGACAAACTAAACACACGCTATCCATGCTCACACAAGCACAACCCAGCTCAATGGACATCATACTGTACCAGGCCACTGTAGCATAGATGCTTACCTGGCTCAGCAGAGAGCAGGCCTCATACGTGTCATTCAGAGACTTCAGACCTGGATCAACACAAATCATATTTTGCAGGCTATGTTGCTAAACCCTTGCACTAATATTTACACATATCAATAAGAAACTTGCATATTACAAACTTCAAAGTGTACGGTACATGTGCAGGTTTGATAGCCAGGACAAATTTAGGGTAAATCCCAAGCAATACTTGTGTTGGTCATTGAGAAACGCAGCGACAACTGCAACAATCTACAGCCAACCCACTTGACCCCAATTTGTGCAAGGAACATGCGCGCGCACACACACACACACACACACACACACACACACGTACCTTCCTGAGTGGTTGAGCTAGGCGCTTTGTCTATAAGCACCCGGTACAGCGTGGTGAGGTGCTGCAGACACACGGCATGGAAGTCGATGGCTGTCAACTGGCGCTGAGATAGCTGACCAGAGCCATCCAGTAGGGGAAGACCTGAACAAAGAGGAGAACGTGCACATGATACGTACACATTCACACACAACCAGCACATGTGCAGGAAGTTGTAGCAAGCACTAGTTGAATAAGGGCAATGGCGCTGCTGGTACTCGTAAAGGAACACATACACAAGGCATGACAGTGTGTTGGGCATATGATGTACAGCGCATTTTAAAACTAGGGGCTATGCCATTGCACATTCTCGAATACATGTGCAAATCTATTACGAGATTTGTTCAAAATGTTCTTCGGGACTTAGCTCAGATGAGCACACCAGTTTCCTCACACAACTGCCCAAGCAATTGGATAACAAAAGCCCAGCCTGAAAAAATTCATGTGCAAAGTGATCACAAACTTCAAGTGGTGCATGTACATGTATATGTGTACTAGGTAGTAGATGCAGGCCTGACATTCACTGTTGTTGTTGCTGGCTAGGTCTTTCGAAATGCATTGCATACTAGCATACTGCATACAGGCACAAAAGTACAAACCACACACATATGAACACTCTCCTGCTGCCAGCTGGAGACTGAGGAAAAATCATTGGCAACGCGTGAACTAACGGTACGTACTCAAATCGTCGATGGACTGCTTGTGGTTACGAATCTCTGTCAGTGCCCAGTCAGCTAGCATGCGCAGAGACACCCCGCTACGACTCAATGCTGCCCAAGCAAAACACACACACACACACACGTACGCACGCACACACACACACACACACACACACACACACACACACACGCACACACACACACAGCATGTCAGTCCAAGCAAGTACATGTACATGGAATAGTAAACACTGCAGTAGAACTGGCAGCTAGCAGTAGCAACAGACACATGACATAGTCTACACCACTGTCTGTAGTACACCCAGCAGCTATCTAAAGCACCTCAACATAGCAACAAGCAAGTCATCTAATTCAGTGCACATGCGACACATTACGCGCCAAAGAATAGTGGCCATGCACACACCACACGGCTGCTGAAACCAGGGGGGATCAGGTTTCACCTGCATGTGCAGTCACAATAAACCCGAGACATCTCAGTGCAACAACAAATCTCACACAGTGGGACGGAGACGACAAAACTGGCCACAATCCTACATGGCAAATTGGCAATAGGCAACAGTTCTGGAGCAACATACCGCCTGTAGCTAGCGTGGTAGCACATGATACCAGGAAGCTGGGTGCATTAAACTGCAGAGCGATGCCAAGCAATCCTGTCCGCTGCACCTGTACATATCAGGTGAGATATTGGAAGTCAGCAAGGGCAAGTACATGTACATATACTTCAAATAATCTCACTATTGCAAGCACGCATGTCTGCCAAGGTGTCAAGTGTTAGATGAACAATCACAGAAGAGAAAGAGAGAAAGGGGGGGGGGGGAGAGAGAGAGAGAGAGAGAGAGAGAGAGAGAGAGAGAGAGAGAGAGAGAGAGAGAGAGAGAGAGACACACACACACACACGCACACACATACACACGCACACACAGCTTACATGAATATCCTGCATGAGGGGATTGTCAACCAACATGCCTTGAAGCAGACCAGCTTGCCAGCTTAGGCCGATATACTGCGCGGGGTCAATCAGAGCCGCAGCACCATGCTTGCACATCTCATCCAGAACCTAGAAGAGCAAAAACGAGTTACAGACTCACATCAATAAGATGCAACACATGCCATAGATCACAGGGCAGAGACCAACAAGACAGGATGAGAGCTGGTTTACGAGCACCGTTCACGGTACTGCTGAAGATTCGACCCAGCAAAGCAAGCCCCCAACAGACATGTCCAAACTGATCTGATCGGTTCATGCACATACATGTACTATGCAAAGGATGAAAAGTTATTTCCTGCTTACTTCTTGCTGGAGACTCAGGAAGCGGCATCGAACAACAGAGGTCGCTGTTAAGCACTTTGCAGCTACAGACACAGACAGGAGAAAGCAAAAGCAGGAACAGGTACATACACTAATAACTAACACAATCAGCCACAGCACACCAAGTGATGATCGCTGCAGATAAATCCGATGCTTGAGCATGATACCGTGACAGCAGCTTTGTTTTCATCTCTTGCAAACTTGGGGGCAGTTACACTACAGACAGTTTCTCGGAAACCACTCGACTAAATGTTGGTAAAACCACACTGCTGTACGAGTGGGCCCTGGAATTTTCATTTTCATTGCCAGCCCTAGCCTCAGAACACACCATCTTCATAACCTTTGAAAAGAAAACGAGAGCATCTCTGCCACATTCCTAACAGCAGGTAAAAATGCAGCAATTCAAACCAAATGTGGTTATACAAGTACAACTTTACACAGAACAACAATGGCAAGCAAAGTTAGTTTGTCGCTACTCTGAGTTTCATGCTGTAACGCAATCATCAAGTAAAACTCTTTTTTTAAGGATGCTGGCCCTTCTGTCTATACTTACAGAAGGACACAGCGGATGGCCAGTAGAAGTTATCTGGCAGTGGGTGTGGGCCGAGACAACAGCGTGACAGGGAGGGAAGGTCAATCATGGTGTGCTGAACAAACGAAACAACACGGAAGAAACACCAGAGCGTAAGTCACCATGCACACTTCAGTCTCACAACACCAAACACAAAAGAAGAGGCAGATCAGAAAGACAACACACATATTCCGCACATAAAGAGTCAAATACACAGCACTATCACTCTCAGTCTATCAGCATCCCCTGGATTGGCCAGCACATACCAATCTGTACTTGGCCTAACACCAGCAGCCAGCACATTCCAATCTGTAATTGCCCAAACAGCAGTAGCCAAAACATTCAAATCTACACTTCGAAGTACTTCACTTGCCCACACACCAGTGCCCAGCATATTCAAATCTGTAGTTGCCTACACACCAGTAGCCAGCACATTCACATCTGTACTTGGACTAACAGCAGTGGCCAGCACATTCACATCTGTACTTGGCCTAACAGCAGTAGCCAGCACATTCACATCAGTACTTGGCCTAACAGCAGTAGCCAGCACATTCACATCAGTACTTGGCCTAACAGCAGTAGCCAGCACATTCACATCAGTACTTGGCCTAACAGCAGTAGCCAGCACATTCACATCAGTACTTGGCCTAACAGCAGTAGCCAGTACTCACCAGAACAGCATCAGGGCTGCTACCCAGGACAGGATTCAGAGACATGAATGTAAAGTATGGACATATCCCGGACAAACCACTCGCTCTTGAGTTCCTAAAGACAGAACGGACAGAAAAGGCATGAACCCTGAACGTCGTACAGATGAGGAGTCAGCAAAGCAACAAGAAATAGCCAGCAGCAAAGTAAAGTACACACAGCGTTTCACAGGATAGATCCTAGAACTAGTACTTGATAGCAGAAGTAGCAACATGCCGGACTGTACCTTATCTCCGGCGGCATTTGGGCGTTGTACCAGTGGTTGATATCGAAGATACCAAGGAAAGTGTCCGGTGGTGATGTGTGGTCTCGGGGCGAACATTCCCACACGCACATCATCATAGTCATGTCCCGGATACGCACATCTAACAATGAAATCATGATGACAACAACGACGACGACGACGACAACAACAACAAGAGGATGCAAAGGATGAGACATCAAGAGAAAGGATTGTGAACTTGTGATCATGCATCAGTCCCTACAAATACACCCTACTCCTGTGTACAAAACAACAACCTCGAGAAGACACACACGCTGGAGACAAGGGCAGCGCCACTTACTGTCATCTTCGCTGGGCAGCCGAGGCCCACCAGGTCGGTTTTCACCTGCACAATAACACGACACAGCACAAGGCGCAGCAATCAGGCATGAAATCAGCACTGGCGGTACGCTTAGCTCATGACAACAGCGGTAATCAGTAATTACAACCAGGCAGAACATCATACAGGTCGTAACAGAACAGAAGCCCTGACAAAATCTAAACCACAACATGTACCACGGCTAATAAAAGATGCAACACAAATGCAGACCTGGGCCTGCACCCTGGTTGCACACAAATGACATAAATACTAAATAGCTGCGTGCCAAGTCGGCCGAGATGAGTGACGAGGAGAAAAACATACCGAGGGAGGCCAGCGCTATCACACGCGACGTGAGGCCAGACTCAGACGCAGGGAGATTGACAGATGGTGAAACCAGGTGATGGAAAAACCGGCAATTCATGCCAGTCAAACCCTAAAGGAAGCACAATCAAACGGCAAAAAAACAATGAGATCCACAGCACCATAAACATCATTGCATTGCAGTCACTGCATGATGCAACTGCAACAGTACGCAAAGCACATCATGCTAGACGTGGTGGTGTACGAGTGCCTTCTGATGCACATCGGGACTATCCACACAGGCACAGCCTTGCTGTAACAAGCAACGTCGTACATGCTTCCTGAACGCTCTTCTCGCAATGTGAGTGGGGGAGTTTGTCAATGAAAGAACAATAGCCTCCAAAAAGGTACATTCCCTAAAAGCACCATTGTTACTGATTGCCAGGAAAGGAAAGGTTGACAAGAAGTCAATTAAAAATACCAATTGTGTCATTACCTGGTATTGAGATGGGCCACCTTCATCTGGCGAGCTTTTCGACGAGAAGAAGAGCTGGTACATGGTAAGAGTTGCTGGTAGTCTTTGCCTAAATGCAAACAGAAAAAGCCACACAATAGCACCAGCACGCAGACAGCAATATGAACTGCCTCCCAAGCCCTCCCCATCTCGATGTGCTCACGCTTTTGGCACTCACACAAACTGCAAAGCACTGGACTATGATGGCTGCAGTACTGCCGGACGCCGAAGAATGGAGCACCGAAGAATGAACAGCCTAGAGTTTAACCAAGCACAGCATACCAAAGTAGACGAGGCGACTCCACTGTGCATAGACTGTAGTACATGAAAAAAAGAACGGTCTAGGGACTGTATATGAATTTTTCGAGTGCGGATGCAGTTTTAGGAGCTCCGCTCCTATCAGCCTTTCCGAGTCTGTAACTGTAACCTACAGGAGCTGTGACTTGTACTGCGGACTATGGCCACCAATGAGCATGTCGACCTGGCCCTTCTGACGTTCGACTGTCTACAAAACCTGGCCACCCGGACTGGCATCCCGAAAGCGGACTCCTTCTCACGGCCCGACCTGGTGGGAGCGCTCCGGAAGGAGGGGATTGGGTCCCACCCCATCCTGGAAGGTATGACCGGTATAGGACATGTCACGACTGCTTTTGCCGCATTGTCCTCGACAATAATGGACCTGAATAAAGAAATAGTGGCAATTAGGGTGGGAAGAGATGATGAAATTGCTTCCTTGAAGCTTGAAATTCAACAGCTGAGGCGGGAAATGGCTGACCTGCGAGATACTACCGTACACACACAGCACGCCATGCCACACCAGTACAGCGACGTAGTACTAGGAACCGCCACACAAACTGCAAGTGCACGTGCGAGGCTCAGCACCACAACGGGCAGGTCTGTACAAACGTACGGTACACACGCCGGCAGTGGCAGCCTGCCAGGAGAAACGCGTGTGCCACAACCCAACACTACTACAAGTCGTAGTTCCAGCCCCGCAGCAGGCGTGCATGCATCCCGTAGGTCCAGCACTACTCCAAGTCGTAGCTCCAGCCCCGCAGCAGGCCTGGATGCATCCCGTAGGTCCACCGATACTGAACAACAAGTACATGAATGGCAGGAACACCAGGGCAGACGCACTCGAGCCGCCCAGAGACAAAGGCACGCGGCAGATACTAGTAGTCAGTCCCAGCTAGCTCAAAGCATAACAAGGCGGGTGGAAACATCCCGCTACACCAAGCCGGCTCGTGATAGCGAGCCGGCAGTAGACCTCACGGCATCACCCCGGGCCAAACGCAAAGTGTTTTACGTTGGCAACGTGCAGCCACACTGCTCCGCATCATCAATTGCTGAATGGTGCTCTGCCCGAGGAGTGCAGATTCAGGAAGGTGTCATATTTGCATCCAAGCACTTCAGAACTGCCTACGCACGGGTGACCGTCGAGGCAGCTGATGAGAACACAGTCGGTGACAAAGGGTTCTGGCCGGATGCTCTTTCGCACACGGTTAGGCCCTGGCGTTTTGCCGCGGACAGTTTTGACACCAGCAATGCCAACCAGGCAAACAACGTCCTCTCCCCAGGCTCAGCATGATGGCGCGACCACAGCTGAATCCACTGGCTCGGCCCTACTTCCCCCCTTGCCAGGGTAAACTGACCTTGCTTTCCGTAAATTGCCGCTCAATCGTTAACAAATCTGCCGAACTGTCTGTCATTGCTGATTTCAACAAACCTGATGTCATCTGTCTAAATGAAACATGGCTAAATCCAAGCATAGCGCTCACCATCTCCGGTTATACCACATTTCGTCGCGACCGACCACCTCATGATAACAAATCCGGTACGGCAACCAGAGGATATGGTGGAGTTGCGATTCTTGTCCGGCAAAATCGCTTCGGAAGAGTCCAAGTTCGCGACGACCTTGCTCGTCCGACCTGTGAATCCGTATGGGTTGAGCTTCACCCAATCTTAGGCTCCCCGACACCCATCCTCGTCTGCTGTACCTACCGTCCGCCCTCAGTCAAAACCACGGAAATAGACCACTTCTGTGATATGCTAGCTAGTGCTTTGGTAACCGTTCCCATGTCATCGTACCATGTCATAATGGCTGGGGACTTCAACAGTAAGCACAAACGGTGGTGCCCATCGGATTTAACGTGTCCTGCTGGGGCGTCACTTTTTCGCACCCTTACCTGCTTCGGTTTGGATCAGCTGGTGCAGAGTCCAACGCACACAACATCTTCCGGAACACAGTCATGTCTAGACCTTGTCTTCACGAACCAACCCCTGCTGGCGACGGACGTTCACACAGCTTGCGCTCTTGGCTCCTCGGACCATCTCATGGTTTCATGCCAGTTCGCCGTCTCATTGCCCTCGGATCCAGACCTGCCACTTCCTTCTCGCAAACCGTTCCCATATCGCTTCCGTCGAGTTCCCTCTCAGTGCTGGGACTCTATGAACGCTGATTTCTCCTGCCACGACTGGTCGTTTCTGCAACCAGAAGGCTCTCCAACTGTTGACGCCGCGGTAGATCACTTTGCAGCCGTCCTTGAACGAGGGTTCCAACAGCACCTCTCTAACTTTGCTATCGGCTACAACAACCGGAAACATTCCAACCCAACATCCTCGACATCTAGTCCCCCATGGGTGACACGGTCTCTCGTATCTGAAGTGAAGCGCAAGCGTGATCTTTTCAGCATCTACAAGAAATTCCCAACGCCGGTTAACCGGGAGGCTTACCGAGTTCAACGCAACTTCGTCAAGCACCTTTCTCGTACCTCACACCGCTCCTTTCTAAACTCTCTTTCTGCAACACTCTCCTCCCCCGATCGCCCATCACTCCACCAATTCATTCGCAACCAGTGCCGCGGGACCTCCCGCGCGCCAATCCAGTACCTGACGGACTCCCATGGCAACCGCCAGCACGATGTGAAGGCGATTGCAGACACACTGAACAAGCAGTTTGTTTCATCCGGCATTCCGGAAGATCCGAATTGGGTCATTCCATCGCTGTCCCCAGCCCCTGAACTTAGCGCACCACTCACACGCGTCGTTACCACGACTGCTACCGTCTGTAAGCACCTCAAACTCCTGAAGAATTGTAAGTCCCCTGGCGAAGATGGCATACCCAATGAGGTTCTCAAATGGCTTGCGCCATCTCTGTCCTATCCCTTGTGCCTGCTCTTTAACATGTCATATCGTACAGGAGTATTTTCGTCCGTCTGGAAATCTGCTGTTATCGTCCCGATCTATAAGAAAGGCCAACGCTCTCAGGCTGGCAACTACAGACCAATCTCTCTCCTTCCCGCTGTGTCCAAGGTCTGTGAACGTATTTTCTTTGAGTCTCTGTACTGCCACGTCACCCCAGCGCTTTCACCATCTCAATCCGGTTTCTGCCGTGGAGACTCCACAACTTTCCAACTAACACGTCTAGTACAAGACATCTACACCCAGCGGAACCTCAGGCGGCATGTTGGCATCGTGTTCTTTGACCTAGCGAAAGCTTTCGACACCGTCTGGCATCGTGGTCTGCTTGCAAAGCTAGAGTCCATCTTCTTGGTACACGGTCCAGCCCTGCAATGGCTCTCATCCTATCTTTCCTGCCGCCACCAGACTGTCAGAGTATCTACCTCCCTATCAGACCCATTACTAGTCGTGTCTGGGGTACCCCAGGGGTCCATACTTGGGCCGCTCCTATTTCTACTGTACGTTAATGACTTGCCAGCCCTTGTACCAAATGTAAGTCTTTTTGCTGACGACACTGCTCTGATGTGCTCCGACAGCTCGGCAGACAACCTCACGGCCTCCATGCAGTCCGGGGTCAACGCTACAGTAACATGGATGGAAACCTGGAAACTGAAGCCTAACCTCGCCAAAACCGAGGCCATGTTCTTCTCTCCCTCGCCCCCCACTCAACTTCTGTATTTTCCTGGTCTAAATAGTACACCTATTAAAGTTGTTAACGAGCACAAGCACCTGGGCGTTATTCTCGACCGCCAACTCTCCTGGTCTCCACAAGTCCAGTCTGTGTGCAAGCGTGCGAGTGCGTCCTTAGGTATGCTACAACCCCACTGCCAACACTTGAATGATAACTGCAGAAAATTGTTCTTTAAGTCGTACATTTTGCCTATATTTGACTATTGCGATATAGCTTGGTGCGGGTTGTCTCAGACTTTACTCCACAGACTGGAGGTACATCAACGCTTGCTTCTGAAAATTCTGTTTCGAAAAGACCAAACATTTGCCTCCCTTTGTCTTTATAAACTTGCTTCCACGCACCCTCTTCTTGCCCGACATCAGCAGCATCTTTGTATCCTTGTGCAAAAAATCTTCCTAGCCCAAGTCCCGAAACATATTGCCAAGTACAACTGGTTTGTTACCACTAGACCAACACGCAATGCCTTATCACTGCCCCGAGCTAGTTCCTCTCTGTTTTTGAAATCCCCTTTCTTCTCAGCATACTCCCTTTGGTCTAACCTGCCTACTAGCAGCAAGACATGCCAGGATATCAGGAAATTCACAGTCCAGCTTTCCACACTGTCTCATCCGAAGTGATCCCATGTATTATTAATGTGCCTCCCTTTCTTTTTCTCTCCCTATCTCCTTTCCCTCTCTGACAGCTTCTTTCTTTTTTTCCCTTTTAGCTTGCCGTGGTTGGCTATCACCTGACCTCTCATGTTTATTGGCAGTCTTCGGACGGGCCAGGAGATGTTGAATAAATAAATAAGGCTTCCCCCCCCCCCCCCCCCCCCCCGTTCTTCAGCGACCGACAGTACCGTGCACCAAGTAAGCGCCCAGGGGATCTACTCAAGATCAGTCAAGAGCATTGGCAGAATGCTGCTAGTCTCCTGGAAACACACATACATCTCCCCTGTATTATGATCTATGACCTACAAGCAACGTCCATTGTAGCTCAGTGACCTGCTTTGCACAATAGCTTGTTGAGAATCTTACAATAGGGAATACACCCAGGTATACAATACAAGTCCACAGGAATAAGACAACAGATGCTTGCAATATTGTCGTCGACAATCCCTTACTTTGGTGATTCTTCCGATGCAGCCCAGAGGAAGAAGCATGGCAAGGGATCGTTCTCAGGCTCCTGTATAAAAAATAAGTCATTTGATCAAAAGAAGATAAACACAACCCCATTAAGTTAAATATACCAACGGTGCATGGCCTTGACTGAAATGGGTAACACGAGGAAGCGTCCGAAACACCTACTTGTATACGTACTTCCAATCGGACACCCCACTGGCTGCTTGGATGAATGATAAGCATACATCGAAAGGGGACAATTGGAAAAGACAGAATGGGCTTGAATTTTTTTAATGTACAACCTCCAAATAAAGGTGCATACCCAATGAAAGCACAAGTTGGTGGGACTAGGGAGGTTGAACAGATAAATCACATCTACTAGACTTTTAAAAGCAGGAACTCCACTAGAGTAGACTAGCTGTTAGGCTAGCAGTACTAGACTACAAAGTAGAACTTCAGGATATACAACAAAGAAACTTCGGTGCTTTGAAAAGGAAAGCAAAGACATGCTAGATGGAATACATGGTGCCCAGATCAACTCACAAGGAAGGCAAAGTGGGTAACAGGAGCGTTGACTTCGATGGTGCTGCCAAGCCTGAACAGAGAAACAGTACACAGAAACTACATGTAGGCTGACAGAAACCAATTTAACACAGTGCACATCTATTTTTTTAGGAAGCGAAGAGCCAAACATGGATATTTCAAATCAACAAAAAGAAAGCAAGAGACGAAATGCTACTTAGAGCTTTAAAGAAGAGAGAGGTTGAAGTTTAGAGTTTACACTTAGGGCATGTTCGATTGGTAAGGATCGAGATCGGGATCCAGATCTCAGATCCTTCAGATTCAACTGAACACTTTATTTTGGACCTTGACTGTTGACTCACAAACCACCCAAAAGGGTGAACGTCGTACTCATCGCCTCCGTCGTACAAAAAGTCAACAAGCTCTATCTCCATCCACGTGTGCGTACCACAATGTGTACAAAAAAGATTTTTACCCGCCATATACGCACAAAGGTCACATTTGGATCCGTTGGATCCGAAGGATCCGGATCCGGATTCGACCAATCGAAAGGGTGCGAATCCAGTGGATCCGGTGGATCGGGATCCCGATCCTACCCATCGAACATGCCCTTAGCAACGGTCAAAGTGGACAAAATTACACTCACATCAAGCTGAGACTGCCAAGGTCAAACAGCTGAAATCCGCCTATGCTGTATCCAACTGCCAGGCAATTGCAGACCTTGAGGAACTTCAATGATGAAACGTACACTTCACCTTCATAGAAACAAGCACACAACAAGCAAGAGCACCGTAGCAAACACAACATGAGCTCAACATGATTCCACAGGAACTATGGAAGTCAGAACGCACCAGGCAGATCAAAATACAACTCAAGCAAATGGAATCAAAACATCCATGCCCAATACATACTGGTACTTCCTCCGCGTCATCGAAATTGTCGCAGTTTGACTTTTGATGTAAAATGCGGTATTTACTCACCAGCACTCGTACCAGAGGCAAGGGATCGGACATAGGCGATAGTCATCAGTATAGGGTGACGGCAAAGTTCTATTTTCTGTTATTGGATGCTGGAATTTTTGAACTAGACGCAATTTCTTCGCTGATGTCGCTGCGCTGGTAATTTCGACTCGCTGAGATCAGTCAGGTGTTGCAGCCTGCACATTTCTCGTGCTTATGGCCATTCACTCAAGCCTCGTCACTGTTTTACCTTAGCTGGGGTGAGAATGACTTCGTGGAACAAGTGGCAGCGCTTGGAGAAACATCGAGGGGTCGGCAAACTAAATGCCTGCAACAGCGATAAAATTTGTCGCTCTGGCTGAGACACTCAGTACTACTACTAGTACATGATTGTACCTGCAAGAGCCGTGTAGACTCTACACGTAGTGCTGGTGATGCACGCGCAGGTGCCGTACCATGGTATACCAGTGCTGAAAAAGAGGGCGCGCTGGACGTGATACTACACTTACCTGCATGAGCTGTGGGCATGCCACGGCTAAAAAAAAGTTCATTATTTTCAAGATCGAGGTGATTCCGAGGTGATTCCGCCGACGGTAATCAACCGACCTCGCAACGATCGTGTATTCTTACTAGGCTTCGTTGGTGGTGAAGTAGAAATCATCCAGCGCTAGCAGACGACAAGCATAGCAGCTCTTGTCCTGTGGAGAAAGTCAAAGCGTTTGAGATGAGGCGCGACCAACTTTCAACCTTCCTTGAAATATTTGAGAACGATATTTTTGCGTCCATTGACATCAGCGACGACGAGGACTTCATCTCTGCATGAAAACTCTCAGTCCAATTGTCCTAGAACGTTACTCTAGTCTTCAGACTATCATACTGTGTAATAAGTTTCGAATGGCTTAGTTTATGGAGTTGTCAGTAACAAGTGACAAGTCACTAGTCAAACTGCGACAATTTCGATGACGCGGAGGAAGTACATGTAATGTCAAGATCACAAGAGTATAGAGATAATGGAGATGCTTCCCCCCCCCCCCCCCCCCCCCCCCGCACACACACCCAACTCACCCGACACACGCACGCACACACACACACACACACACACGCGCGCACACACACACACACACACACACACACACACACACACACACACACACACACACACACACACACACACACACACACCAACATGCTCAGGGACCTTTGCAGGAAAGTGCCGCATTGCCGCCATGGTTGCCATCATACCCTATACCAGACACCTACATGTACATAGCATCGAGGATGGCATACATGAATGTATGCCACAGAACACAGAACAGACTGAGGGCATGCGCTTGCAATACCGTAGCACTTACTTTCATACACATGAGCTGCAGGCCTGTCGTTGGCACTGGTGTAGTACTTGAACGACCCCCTAGCATGATCAGCAGCTGCATTCGCCAGAATATCGAAAACAAACAATCACCGTCAACAACATAGCCATGCTGCTACTTCTTCACCAGTACACTCACTAGAATCACAAGGAATGGTCTTCGAAATCATCACATCATTGCTGGGGAGCCTCCATCAGCTCCAGGCCCACGCAAGAGTCGCCAGATCATGATGACCAAGAGACAAGGCGAACGTATCCACTCCCTAGGCATTTAACACCAACACTAACCGAACCCTCACAGCTGCATTTGTGCGTTTGGTTGGTACGATCTAGAACAGGATCGAACAGCTGGTGCACATGGAGCAGCCTCATGCCAACCAAACGCTACTCCAGAAACAGAGCACATTTTTGTGAAAAAATGTGCCAAACTTGGTGCATTCTTCATAATGTGTATGGGTCACCATGGTCACTTTGTACGGTATGAGTCCAACCCAAAAGCGTATGCACGTGATCATTTGGGACCAAAATCGATGTTCCCGCCACGTTTCACTGTGAAAAAGTGAAACTGCTCGGTCTGCGCCGGCCTCGAGGCCGGAGCAAGCAGAACATGTTCTGGCCGACCCAGAACAGGTGCAGTCCCAACCAAACGCGCTGTTCTGGTGAATCCTGTTCTAGTTCGTACCAACCAAACGCGTCCTCCTCTGTTCGCGCGCCTCCCTGTGAAAAGTGCCCCCCCCCCCCCCCTCCCTACTCATGTTCTGATTTTTGAGTTTTTTCGTGCCATTCAACGAAAATGCAGTCGATAGTCAGTAGTAGAGGGTTCATAACGGCACATTTCTCTGGGGTGAAGTCAGGTGTTGGCCCCGTACGTTGCATTTCGCATTGCAAGACAGTTATTTTGAAAATGGAAAAATGGGTTACGGGGCAACTGTCCCCCCCCCCCCCCCTACTATTTTGACCTGGCTAGAACCCTGGAACTACATGGGTACTACAGTAGTTACTCACCTCCCAACTGGACACACAAGTGCCTGCGCTCGGACTTGGCAGCGTATCGTTCCTGTTCAGCAGACTGGCCAGTATGTGCCTTCACAACCTTGATGCTACTAGGCTGGTACTCACTAAACTCTTCATTCTCGTCATCCACACGCAGATCCAACAAGTAAACCAGACCTCCATGTGTGCCAACAGCAACACACCCAGCGAAGGATGCTACAATACCTCCCAACAATGCAGCTTCATCACCCTCCAACAGTGAGCCAACACCTTCCAGTGCTGTGATCTGCTTGGGGAACTTAATGGCTTTAAACACCCGAGACAATACTGGGTCAAAGAGGGCCACTAGACCCTCTCCGGAATCAATTCGGAGACCAACAACCAGCAAATTTTTGCCTGGCTCTAAACTGGCTTCGCACACAGCGGTGATCACCGGTTGACCTTCTGCACGGAATCGCCATGCAGCTTGTCTTGACCCGTTGCATGGGTTTATCACTTCCAACGCAGGACCTCGAGCCAGGTATGAACGTTTCCCATTTAGCTCAAATTGACCGATCAGCTGAGAGTCGTCAGAGGCTTTCCCTTCCAGACATTCAACACTGCTGGACGACAGTCTCACCACAGACACTGTGTCCACTGGATTTCTCACACAGCTCGTCCTCTCCATCATCAGTGCTCAAAAGCTTCAGCTGTAAGCCCTAGTTACATTTTCAACACAACGCGTGCGATGAGGATCAATGCCGGTGAAAACAACATTTGAGGGAAGTGGGGACAAAAACTAAAAACATTTCAAAGGCATTTTCCAGCGTTCTCCCTGGCGCCATTTTCGAGCGACAGTTGCTATGTAGCTATGGCCGTCACGTGAACTCGCCGTGTGTCCTTTTTCGTTGATCAGCAACAAACTGTAACTACAAACAAGGAGTACAGGTCGTCCCCCGTTAATACGAGTCCGGTTAGTACATAAACCCCGTTAGTACATAAGAAATCTCAAGTCCCGGACGAAACGTGGTCACTTCCATACAAATGTTGTCGGTTAGTACATAATCCGTTAGTACATAAACCCCGTTAGTACATAACATTTCTCCGTACCCGCATGTCACCAAGAGTAGATAAACAGGGTTATGTACTCTTGATGTCACCTACCTCAATAGTACATAATTTGTTGGTCCTTTGGTCTCCAGTCGAGGCACAGTGTTCTAACTTCTACTTGTGGACGCAATTAGCATAGAAATCAGAGCGCACATCACAAACTGACAAAGCTATGGTTTTTTTCCGAGTGACTGTACAGGTGCGGCTGGGCATGTGCCATGTCAACTGTAGAATCTTCGCTAACTGTGACCGATATAACATAATTTTTATGTTATATCGAGGGAATCAAGAATATCTCGCTGCCTAGTCACCGGTAGCAAGAAACACTCAGAAAAGTTGAAAAAAGTGAAAAATTATCTTATACAACTTACAAGCAAGTTATATACACTTTCGTTTAGTACATAAACCCCGTTAATACATAACATTTGTCAAGTCCCAGAGATTATGTATTAACGAGGGACGACCTGTACTAAGTACTCGTATAGGTAGTCGTAAAATACCGACACCACACCAAGCGTGCAAGCTTCAACTTCAAGGGCGGCGCGCCAGCGTTTGGCAGCGCACTGAGCTCAGTTGCTTTCACGCAGCGCGCCCTAGATATGCATGGCATTGTACGTACTCGTACGAGGTGATTCGTCATTATTTAACACGAAAGTAAAAAAGCCTTCCGTAGGGTTCGAGGTGCGAATCTTTCCATTTCTTCCTCCAAAAATGTAATACCAAGAGTAGATAAACAAGAGTGTGCAACTCCGGATCTCTCCTGCACAATCTGCAGATACCCCGCGCCCACGGCGGAATTTTTTGTTTACGTCACCTTTTTTCAGAGAAACGCGGCTTTGCCGCAGAGCAGTGTGAGAGCACGTGCTGGGCACCGACCTTGTAGTGTAAAGCCCAGCCAAGTGCACGAGGGAAAACTCTCCAAAAGGCTCGCAGCGCGTGCGTCGTCGAAAAGATTACGTCAACAAAAAATTCCGCCGTGGGCCAATCCATCCGGAGTTGCACACTCTTGTTTATCTACTCTTGGTAATACTGATGTCCTTGGATTGCAATGGTGGGTTGTTCATGCACATAATCCTTGGTGTTGGGAAGCAGGGGGCAGTTGAAAAATGGCAATTTTTCCGCATATTATTTGTTGTGGTCATTTCTTAACATCATGGTAAAATAGGCCTTAGCAGCACAATTCAAGTCAGTTTTCAATAGAAAGAGACCCTACGTATCCAGGATGGTCCAGCAAGACTGGATCAAGATCATGTTGATCCAAATACAAGCCATTCAAGCTTGCATAGCAGTAGGTGTATCACCCTGATTTTATATGCAATTGTGATCAACATCTGTTAGTAAATTCAGTAGTTGCCAATGTTTGGCCATTACCAGGGCCAACACACCCCATTCCTCCTTCCCAGGCGTCGTTTCCAGTATGTAGCTATCATATGCTTCCTTTTCAGCTAAATAATATTGTCACTGGAGGTTGAAACCAGCGGCTATGACTCTCTTATACTCTATTTTACCGTAAACATCGCGCACATGCAGACTGAAAGCTCTTGCAATGTCACTTCCTGAAGGAATATCAGTCTCAATTTTGGAGGCGAACTTGACAGAACATTGAAATGGCAATGGCAAAAAGAAATTTGACGTGACTTTTTGCAAGGCACTGGCAATGAGATATTTTACCGATTTGTTAAGAAATGACGCAATGTTAAAAAAATACGAATCACCTCGTACTCGTACAGTGGAGATTGGATATAACGACTCTGCTTCGGGAGAAAGCAAACTGTCGCTATATTCGATCTGTCACTAATATTAGTATGCAATTCCGTATATTTATCAAAATGACAGAAATGTATTGCAGATATGCATTATGCATGTACATAATTATAATGCATATGCCATAATTATTATGATAATGGTTTCAGATGTGTATGTGCATGTGTTTTGCACGCATTGTTCAAAGCAAAGTCATCGCGTACCACTGCACTGCGACAGGCTACAATGTGCAATGTAAAGCACACATAAGTCATTGAGATTGAGTGACCCAGAGGTCCGGGCACGTGGCACAGCCATATTCCAGACATACCAGTCTGCCTGATACAAGACTCAAGAGGAAAGTCGTTATATTCGATGCATTTTCACTTCTTTTTTTCAGGTCTTCGGGCACCCAAAAAGTGTCAGTAAATTCGATCTGTCGTTATTTTCGAGGTCGTTATACCCGATCTATAATGTCAAGAGTACGGGGTTATGTACTCTTGATGTACAGGAAGGACTTACTAGACTTGGGCAACAGAATCTTGTCGCTAAACTCGATTTGTCGTTATATCCAATCTCCACTGTACTTTAGCAAAGTATGCGTAAAAACAAAGTTTGCACATCCGTGTTACCAAGAGTTCATAACCCCCGGGGGTTATGAACTCTTGGTGTTACCACCGGCTATACACAACCAGCTGAACAAAGTCATGTACAGTACATGTCAGTACTCGGCGCAGTCAAAGATCAAGTGAGGTCACGAAATGAACAGTCACCACAAAACCAGCAAGGAACAGTGAATATGTTCATGGCAGGATCACTGCACATCACAGTTGTTGAGTCACAAACACAATTCAAAAACCAAAAGAAGGCTTTTCATAGGTTGCAGCCACTCCTATCGTCTGAAACAACACGATCCAAGTACAGCAAGGTACAGCTACTTGTATCGCAAGTGGAATACACTGTATTACCATTCTATCACAATCAGACTCAGTGATGTTTTACGCGAAAATATAATTATTGTAAAAATTTGTACACATACATGCACTGGCATAATATAAAATCCTAGAAATTCAATATTGACGGCCTAAAAAAATGAGCAATCTAGAGAATGCAACACTGGTTGCAAACAAAATAGCTGGCATTTTACATTGTCAAACATTCAACACGCAAAAGAAAAGGCTAAAGCAGAGCACAAAACACAATACATGTATCTACAAGTATAACTGTGCTGTCAGTGAGGTGAGGGGATTCCCCGGGATAAGCTTCTATATCCTATAGCTTAAATAGTACCTGTATGTACAGAATATGACAGTGAGAGTGCCGCTGTGCCAGACAGCTGCAACTACAGGGAAGTTTACACACAGGATCTATACGCACAACAGAACATACGAGAGGAGGCAGGAAAGAGAGTGACTGATAATACAACAGTAGGGGCGCAATCATAAGCAGACAAGACAATGGGCGTAATCAACGACTGCAGAGAAGAGGGGCACAGAGAAAAGACGCAAAAGCCGTGCGGCACTACCTCAAGGGTTGAGCAGTTGTGCCAGCTGTGCCTCGATGTCAGCGTCCGACGGGCCCTTGGATGCCGATGCAGCAGCTGCCGCCGAGGGTAAAGCACGTCGCGATGCAGACGGTGCTTCCGATAGCTGTAAACCAGGAGCACAAGAAGAGCACATGCATGGCACATGATGTCAGACAGTTGCCATGTTGCTAGCACAGTATGTGCATATTAAACAGCACCAGCTTAAAAAAGCTACTTGAAAGTACAGTCAACCTTGTGAATAACGACCTCGGGTATACCGTACAACAACAACTCTCGAATAACGACACAATCTTCATACCTACATATAATGACCACTTGACTGCATACGTTCAACCTCACGAATAACGACACTTTTCTCATGCACGATCGATGGTCGTTACTCGCAAGGTTGATTTTACACAAATTTACAGCCTGGGGTATCAATCCCAGCCTTCTCCTGAATTCTTTTAAAAGTCAACAAAATTACATCAGACACCAACACTCTGTTGAGCTGGTCTTTGATGTCATTATCAGAATCACAAGTGAATAGCAGGATACTGCAAGTCACACCACAACTTCACAATGCACTCCCGGTCGACCCACTTCACATTAACATCACCATCAAAACGAGGACAAGTCTGTTGAGATATCAGTCTCTTCTCAACTGAGTAGCAAGTGGTTTGCTATCAGTTTGAGGGAGGTGAGTAGGGAAAAGGTTGCAAGTAAAGGTTACGCAAACTTGAGCAGTGAAATGTCATGGACACATTGGTCAGTGAAGAGCATTTCTCACCTTGCCACTGATCTCAATGCCGATTTCATCCAGAACTTGTCCAACGACACTCTCGGTAGCTGCTTCGTCCTCGGAATCATCCAGTACACCTTCCAATGTGTCGTTCACTGCAGCACATATTTTTCCAGAGTTGTCAAAACACACGCACACACACACACACACACATGCACACAGCAACGTTACTGTCTTTTTTTTAAATAGAATGATGATTAAAAAATAATAATAAACACAGTTCGCATCTTGCTTGAACCTATTAGGCAGGCGAATGGTTGACGCATCTGTCAACAATGCCAAGCTAAGTCTGTCCTCCGCAGCCTGGAGAGCGCTCTTCAAAGAGACATCTCCCATGGCTCCAGGTCGTGTCAACCCGTGTCTATCCAATGGCGGTCGGCCACGTTTCACATCGGTTGTATCAATGGCTAGCTTCAGTGCTTGGTATGAGGCGGTTTCTGGACCCTCTCATACCAGTTGGCTAAACCACAGCAGCCTGCGCCATCGGCATAATGGTATCCACTGCGGATTGTCTGTAGTGTAAGTTATCATTGGCGATCCGTTGCAGCAAGACAAACTGTAGTAGTATGCGTAGTTTCCTCCGTTGATCTATGTCCAGATGCAGTACTAGTAGTAGCTGTGCTGATATCACTGATATCTGCTTCTTCTAGCCTTTTTATGAGCACACCTGTCATACTACATGTACATGCTCTTGTAGTAGTTGAGCACTCTCGTGTGGGGTAGTGCCTTTGCTGTTCGCGTTATGCAGAGCTCACTGACTTGTCAGTTTGAGCCCTCTGGCAAGGTACGTTCGGGCCTGGTTTAAATCTGGCTTTGGAAAATGTATTCTTCATTGCTATCACTATCAGGTTCGGCCTCATTTTCTCCGTGCTGCGCTGATGAGTCCACAAAGGACGAAACAGTTCTGTGCGCAGATTGAGTGTACATGTATTACATGTATGCTCGATCCATTACACAAAACTGAACAGTCTCCTACCATCGGACACTACGCTGAATGAAAGAAAGGGAGCCAGCTACTTACTCAGCTCCTCGGTCATTTCCATTTTGGCATTCTGCTTCTCGAACTCTTGCATGGTCTGGGCGAGCTGCTGAGGATCCATCTGTGCATTCATACTCCCCATCACCTGTACACGCACAAGTAGACATAAGTCACACACGCGTGCACACACACATAAGTTGACAACAAGTACTAAGAACAGCAATAACAATGACCAAATGGCACATGAAAAAACTGCTATAAACACAAATGCAGTGCCAGAACCCCAGGGATCTTGCCCACACCCCAGGGATCCCCCCCCCCATCACCCCCAGAGAGCTTTCCCCACCCACCAGGGATCTTCCCCCACCCCACCCCCAGTGATCTCTCCCTCCCCACCCCCTCGAATACCAGGAATCTTCCCCAGCCACCAGGGATCCCCCCCCCCCCCCATCACCCCCAGGAATCTTTCCCTGCCCACCAGGGACCCTACCCCCCCCCCCCCCCCCACATCACCCCCAGAGATCTTTCCCCACCCACCAGGGATCTTCCACAACCCCTGGGATCTTTCCCACCCCAGGGATCTTCTCCACCCAGGGATCTTTCCCACCCCAGGGATCCCCCCCCCCCCGAATACCAGGAATCTTCCCCAGTCACCAGGGATCTTCAACAATCCCTGAGTTCCAATACCACACAGGAGGAGTACACAAGTACACTTCAGGAAGGGTACAAGTACCGGTGCTGGATTAAAGGCTGCACAAATCTCAGCCTTACCTTTGTCGTAGCCGCCATTGCACCAGCCATCTTCATGTTTGCCTCCATTGACTACAAGCAACAACAGCATGTTAGCACAGTACCAAGGCAATAAGTACAGATATTACTATAGAAAGAACTTTGAGATGCCGCTCAAAGTCATGCTGGCAACCATGCAAGGCCCCCGCGCGGGGTACACACGCACACACACACACAGAATGGAGCAGGGTGTTTAGCCAGCCAGACACTGTAAAGAGACTTGACAACCGATACAGACGTGGTGCAGGACGAAATGGGGGCCGTGAGGCTGTGGCTGTCAAACTGGTAACCAGAGCTAATGTAGCAAGAAGACTTCAATTGCGCCGGCAACCTACCTTAGTTTGATGACTAACACTCGTCACTTTGGAATTTATACCCATGAATTTCGTCTTCTGCTTGCGAAGCTGAACTAATTGCTTGGCGTACGTTGTCGCAAGCTGTAAATTGGATTCGGGTACATGACAGCAAGCAATAAATGAAGACAAAACACAACATCAAAGTAAAGCCATGTTGACACACTATATCCAATTCAGATTCTAGTGACAACCCAATTGCCCTACAGCACTCGTGGCAACAAGTCAAAAAATGTGAAAAGGTTCATTTCTAGGACGAAAATTAATGAAAATGGATACTAGTACAGTGGCCCCTCTATAATCCGGCACCATTTGTGCCACGAAAATCTGCTGGATTAGGGAGGGTACTGGATTAACAAATCTGATTTACTGCTGCAATGTGCATGAAGAGGACATTTTGGCTACTGAAAATTGTGCTGGTTTATCGAGGGTGCTGGATTATAAAGTGCCGGATTAGAGAGGGACGACTGTATTACGAATTCGCATACAAGGTAGGTCAAGACCTACATGTAACATCCAATGTAACTTTCCGCTGCCAGAGGACACGCCACCATCCCATGATCAGGATGCTTACTTGTAAATCAGTCCGTGAAAGCAGTTACAGTACACAGGTTACACAGGTAGAGTGCAACCACTTAACTTACCTGCTTATTTCCTGCCTTGGCAGCTTTCTGGATTTGCGCTTCCTGTGGAAGAAGAGAGTAAGAAAGAGAAAAGCAGCAGCACAACACGGCATTATGTTCTCCACGTCCTACGATCCATACTAATCATCTCCAACACATCATACGATCCACATCAATCCTCTCCAACACATCACAATGTCAACAAGAAGCGTACAGGCTGAACATACAGCGGCACAGTTCATGGCTGATCAGACTGCACAGAGCTCCATGCACGACTCATAGACTCTGTAGAGCCTTACGGTACGTTGTCACTTGTCACTGACATGCACTGCTGCCAAGCAATAATATACAAAATCCAGAAAATCGAATACGCTCACATTCAACGGTGGTATTCCAAAGCATGCAATCTGAGAAAAAAATGAATCCAGACGCGGCCATTGCCTTACCAAGGTCTTTTCCTGTCTCTCGATCGACTGTATTTCCCGCGTCATGTCCCTCTGTGTGCGGCTTAGATCGCGCCGCTGTTGTCGCATTTGCTCTGCACATCCAGCCAATCATACAAGCAAGAGTACATGAATCCACTGGTCTGGCGACGGCTGGTCATCAGTACTGCACACAGTAAGTACCACCAGCTCAGCTTCTGCCATACAGACACAGCTGCAATAATCATTGCAACGAATTTAGTGTACCTTGCGTTGTTCCAAAATCTCGTCAAAATTAATACTGTAGTTGGTGTGAATGATACCAAGAGAGCATGACCCTCAAGAGTGTGCAACTCTACTATGAGTGCTGTCCTGGCAGAGTTTCAAGTTGACATCATTTTTTTTAGATGCAATACACGTATTATCCGACGTATCCTGGACCTGTGGTGGACAAGTCCCTCCCCCCAATGGATCCAGTACAGATGAGGGCAAGGGAACGGCTGTGATGCGTTGACACCCAGCACAAACGTTGTTTAATCACTCGTGCGAGAAGCAATGCATCATAAGAATGACGCCAATTTGAAATTCCGTGCGGATGGCAAGGTACGTGGGAGTTGCACACTCCTGGGAGATATGTACTCTTGATGATACTCCAGCATTTAACTTACGAGGAGCGGTCGGATGTGTCTAGGCATGTAGGCACACCCAAATGATTCTCATCCTAGAAGTGATGGTGATAGACAAGCTGCAGCCTGATTGGCCATGGCATGGCTAGGATGGTCATGCGCATGCCACGAAATAATTGGTATAATTATAAAATAGGACTAATGTGTGTGTGGGGGGGGGGGGGAGCCACAGAAGGAGCATCAAGAACCACAATACAATAACAGTAAAACAACAACAACAACTGCAGCACCAGCACCACCAGTAGCAGCAGCAACTTCGTGATGAAAGCCAGGCTGCTTTTCCTTAGTATTGGCAGCAAACTTACGTTTGACATCCTGCTTTTTGAACATACTGGCACCTCACGCACAGAGCCTTGGCTTCTTATTAGTATGATTACGTTCTGCTTCAGCACCAGTATCACAATCAACTGAACACAATACTTCGACTACTCCAACTCCTTTTTTCCTCTCCTGAGGTGATGCTCTCTGTATTACAAGATCAACCTTTGTACTGGCAATTTCGCCTAGGCTGTCTTCAGAAGTCGATCAAAGACCTTGCCCTTGGCTTGGGAACGGATACAGTGTGTCGTACAAGGAGATCAAAGACCACAATAATGTAATTGTTAGATCGATCAAGCGCTGTCTCCCTGGTATCGCCAAACTCCTTTATCTTCTTTCCATGATCAGTTCAAGTAAATCAGTGTGCAATGACATCATGAATTGAAGTGACTTCAAACACACGTGATTAGGCCTGTCCGAAAAATGTTCTGAATTTTTTTTGCATTTTGGGGTACATTTTGCATTTTTGCATTTTTTCTGAATTTTGCCCATTTTCGGTCGAATTCCAAGGTTTCAGCCAAGGTTTCAGCTCGACCAAGTCAAGTTCGGCTTGCTTCTGTCCCTCTTGGCTGCGACTCTAGACTTATTTAGTTGCACTGGCCTCCTAATCACACAAATGCGAACACATGGGTGTTTAGTTCTACATGTACATGCAGGTGTAGATGTAAAACTACGAAGATGTGTTCTAGTAGTACAGGTAGTACGCAACTAACTTACTTGCAAGCTAAGGGTAACACAAGTGCAATGGTGAGAAAATGATTAGCTTTGCAGGCTTGTCAGGCAATGTCAGCAAAAGGGGTGACAAGATTATGATCATGCAGTGCGTGTACATGTGACATGATTAGAGGTACATGTACATGTGTACTAGCAAGGCAGGGATACTACATTGTATACATGTACAGTGTGACATGGAAAACCAATAATTCCATGGCATGGCGGCCATTTTAGATTCTGGTTGCCATGGCAACGGATGCATTTTCTCTGCGTTTTGGGTTGTTTGGCTTTGATTTTTAAAATTTTTTTACATTCCCCTTTGATTTCTTGTTTGAATGTTGGCTGGAAAACCGTGCATTTTGCATTTCCATTTTCCGCAAATTAAAACACATTTTTCGGACAGGCCTACACGTGATGCATGCTTAGCGCTTTTGCTTTCGTTGGTTGCCTGACGTCAACATTCTGTTCTTGCAAGTAGATCTACATCATGTAGTTGCAAGGACTCAACTACCTGACTACTTGTGCTTCTCCCTGGTTTGATTGATTGGTGTTTTATGAGGACTGAACATAGGCTGTGGGAGCCTACCGAGGGGCTCTCCTGTGGAAAGAAAGACGAGGAAGAGAGGAAAGGAAAACGAGTGCTATGTATGGCTTGTATTGCGCGGCAGGGAGAACTACAAATTTAGTACTCCTAACCTTTTTTTAGTAACAGTTGCTTATACAATGTACATGTACATGCATGTTGAATGCCAATATCCTGGGCAAGGTCTGATCTGTAGCAGTGAAGATGTATCAATACCAGGGAGAAGTAAATTTTAATTTTACTGCTCCCTGATCAATACCGTAATACGGTGGGTGGTATTTGTCTGCAACTAAAAAATACCATTCTGCTTTATTGCTGCATATGGTACAATCATAACTTTTGTCTTCTCGATTGTGTGAGCATCCCAGTGATTGTACCTTATTGCTATTATTCACTGATGTGGGGCTTTGAAGAAATCATTCTCAATACAATGCAGTGACAAGTGTGCACACATCCACGCACACACATACTGAACACACGGTCACCTGACACATAGACACGATCATGACATTTTTTCATAACACTAAACATCAGGACGATCACAACTACTACAAACTCGTAAAGAGCTACTAAAAGCACTCAAGGCAAAAGTCAAAGACGTACTTCGCAATTCATACTAGTGCCACTACAGTACATCGTACATGTATAAACAAAAGGGTTAAAAAAGAAGAAGAAGAGAAAGCAGAAGACCTAGGACAAGACGATTACATGTAGTAGCTATCCGGGTGGGGGGGGGGGGGGGGTATCACGATGTGCCCGGGTTACTACATGTACCTGCACACCGACACACACACACTGTCCGTGTACAGAGAGCATAGCGCACTACACGGATAAACCTAAAAGGGGGTACTGGATAAAGAGCATGAGCATATTCCTAGACGTCAGGGGAAGGGGGGGGGGGGGGGGGGGGAGTCGATTGTGAGCCGTAGTAAGGCCCGGTCTACAGCGCTATAAGGCCAGTAGAGAGTTGCATAAACCCAACTCTCTGGACGCCATGCCGCGCCAGTAAGTTCCTACGGCGGAGGGAAAACGGGGATGATGCAGTGGTCAAAAGCTGATCACAACTGTCGTTCAAAGGCATCGTTGTATAATTCAAGTTGACTCGCCACAGCACTATTCAAGTATTCAGCAGTAGCACCTGTAAATAGGAACTCCTGCCAGTCACCAGGAGACCCCGTGCTGTCGATGATGACGTCCATTCTATCTAGTACTAGTACATGTATGTGGGGTTGTGTGATGACTACTACTTGGAAGTATGAACAGGTGGGTGTCCAATAGCATGGCAGCTCATTTGCAATGAATAAATCACACGATTGTCGAGGCTAGTTCGCAAGCAGACACTCGGCCCAGGGCACACACTTGTTGACTGACCGCAAGTCCACAAGGTACACTAAGTTATCACTCGTGTCTACACGTACGCCACAACAAGGCAAATGGGGCAAGGTGCACGGCAGGGAGGTACAGCTCCACACACACACACACGTGTCTGTCCTACAGCACGTTGCATGCCATGCATTCCAGGCCAGCATGCTGCTACGGCGCACATTGTACATGTCGAAGAAGTAGCCGCAATACCAATGGCAGCAGTGAGCTATCGGGATTTTTTGGACTGCAACGCCCCGATGGCTTCTTTCACTGAGTGGTAGATTATGCTCCAAACCTGCACGAAACGTGATCCCATACACATACACATACACACACGTACACACACGCATACACACACGTACACACACGTACACACACGCATACACACGTTCATACACATACAGCACTACCGTAGAATCCCGCGGATAAGCCCATGAGCTTATCCGTTTCACAAGGACATTTCGGTGGGCATACACAAGAACATGGGCTTATACGCGGGCATGGGCTTATACGCTGACACCAACATTGTGCTATTGAAAAGTACCAAGGAAGTGAGAAGTACATTGCTGAAAGCCACTGTGCAAACAAAAACAACCGATGATTGTGTTGAAATGTACAAAAAAACCTACGTGAACTACATACATGTACATGGTACGACCAAGAGTCCATAATTTATGGACTCTTGGTACGAATTAGGTCCATGGGCTGGTACGACGAAGCCTTGTGATGTTCGAACTTTCCCTGGGCTTATGCGCGAGCATGGCTTATACGCGGGATTCTACGGTATGTGCTACACAGCACGAGTATCAAGAAGGGAACTAGATTTTCAATGCATCTGTCACTTTGACCATTGGCACACATGTGTGATGATCGACTGGAAAGTCTCGCAACGTGGAACAGTGTAGACGGGTAACGGGTAACTATGAAGCCACACACAACCTGCTGCTAAAGCCGTAAACAAGAGGGCAGACAGTGGTGCAGCTACGATGCACACATGACACACACACACACACACACGCACGCGCGCGCGCACGATTGCAAATACAATACGCGCGCGCGCACGCACACACACACACACACACATACGCACACACTGACCTGGAGTTTATCCTCATGGTTGGTATGCTCGTCGGTGAGATAGCGAAACTCGTCCGTCAGAGAAACGCACTGCGCAATATGCTAAACAAAACACAGCAAAAGCAACGCAACAATCAAGACACCAAGCCATCGGCAGATGCTAGATCTCCATTGGTGTGGATCTCCATAGGTGCTATTGACTGAAGGTGCAATGATGAAACGTCTAGAAACCTGCAGCATGGGATGAGTGCTTGTGCCAGATTTGTTGACAACTTTGGGGCACCCATTCCGTCCAGCAAAAAAACTTGTGCAGACGATACCCGTATCTCAACGACAACCTTAACAGTAATAAGTGAGTAGCCACAGCAATCTCTCCCCATAGCCTCACCTCTGGAGATACAAAGTCCTCAGCAACCTTGATGCAGCTGGTGAGATTCTGAACCTGTCACACGGACGGCATGGCGCGTACACAGATACGAACATCTCACGTCAGACGAACGTTTTGTAAACTGAGCCCCCCCCCCCCCCCCCCGTGTACATAATTATATCATTATTTCGAAGTAGTATACATTTCTGACCTATTCTGCGTTCTTCGCCATCCCTGTGGCACATGTACAGGCTGTCTGCCTCTCTGTTGGTATGAGACCGCTTGGCACAAGGCCTGGTTAGTTCAGCAGAATTCTCGGCTCAAATACCTCCTAAGGCATGTTTAGCCCTGCATGTATCACGATAGTTAGTAGTTGCCCATAGTAAAAGCCATAATCATAACCCCTGTCAGTACATCATGTTTGTGTGTGTGTGTGTGTGCGTGTGCGTGTGTGTGTGTGTGCGTGTGTGTGTGTGTGTGTGCGCGTGTGCGTGTGTGAGTAAGAGAGTATGTGTGTGTGTGTGTGTGTGTGTGTGTGTGTGTGTGTGTGCGTGCGTGCGTGCGCGTGTATGAATGTGCGTGTGAGTGCACGTGTGCACATGTGTGTGTGTGTGGGGGGGGGGGGGGGGGGTGCGCTTGTGTGCATAACAGTTATGCGTGTGTATGTGTACAGTAACAAGCGGTCCCATCAGTACATCATGTGTTCCCGCTCCCAGGGACTACGACACATTGGCGCAGGACACTCAGTCTCTGTACTGTACAACACAGCAGTGGTATTCACGGCACTCGTCCAGTACCTGATGTGGTGCACCGGCCGGTATGAAGACGGCGTCACCCAGGCACTGCACAATCTCATGGCCGACAACACCCTTCTGATCACGCAGTTGCTGGCGCAGCGTATCATTCAGATAATAGCACTGTGCATGGTCCAAAAAAAAACAAAAAAAACATATTACCGGTAACCCTCAAACCAGTGAATATATTAAACACAAATACACATTTCCCCGTTTTTCACTCGTTTCAACTCTGTCAAACTTATGAACAAACAAATATACATGCATATAGAAGCAAAATAGTAATGAAAAAGATCAATTGTGCACTCATAACCATGTATAAACAATTAAAATTAAACAATTCCAGAACGTTTTCGTGTGACTATCATATTTAATACTATTCTTTTCATATTACTCTAGCTATATAACTGGTTGTTTTAGTGATTCTTACTATGTGACGATGTTCCACTGATGATAGTCACACGAAAACGTTCTGGAATTGTTTCATTTTAATTGTTTATACATGGTTATGAGTGCACAATTGATATTTTTCATTGCTATTTTACGACTGTTGTCTCCTCGTCGGTTATTTAAATGCATATAAGCAGAACAGTTTTGTCTGTGAGGGATTTTAAAAGAAACTCCAAAGAAAGGCAGTTTGTCCAGTCAAATGTTCCATCCAGAGATGAAAAATGTTTGCAGTTGGATGTTCGGAGTTCGGTTAGAAGCATGATTAGAAGCATGTCGACAGGCTCTACAAAACTTTAAGCTAAAATGTTGCGGCGACGATTTTAATTTGTACTGAAGTAATTCTTGACTTCCCCGTCATAACTTGGTGTGTCACAGTAGCCTTACCTGGCAAAGACCACACAACCAGCAAAGGCAGCAATCAAACTGACACAGAAGCAACAGAACCCAAAACATGGTTGTGATGGATACAAGAGGCAGCCACACTAATCTAACTGACCTGATCGTGAATGGGGTCCAGTGCGCACGCAGAGTTATGTGACTGCCGCAGGAAGTCTCGGATGGTCTCCGCATCGGCAGCACTGTAGATATGCCAGAGGGCACCCTGCAGGCAAAGAAAAGTGTGCACTAATTTGGTGTGTGATTTCCTCACGCAGTATGGACTGTACGCAAACGCAGACACTGTGTATATTTTCAATTTTGAATGTCGGCCATGTTCTCAAGGCAGTAGTCGTTTCGTACAGTGGTGAACTGCAGTCTCATGAATAAAGCACAGCAATGCAGGCTCATGAATAAAGCACAGCTGCACTCACTGCATACATGTAGCTCAGTATTGGCGCTACGTTCACACTGTTTACATTGCATCAAGAAGCTACAGCATCTACACTTCCTGTCAATGAAACACACAGTACGCTCACTACTGGTAAGTTAGTGCTTTATGAGCAACACACAGTACGCTCACTACTAGTAAGTTAGTGCTTTATGAGCAACACACAGGACGCTCACTACTAGTAAGTTAGGGCTTTATGAGCAAGCATACCGGTACACGGGATTGGCAGCGCTTCTTGATCTCGGGGTATTGTCGTCCCACAACCTGATCGATGTTCCGCCGATCTGCGCATGCAAGAGAACGCAGGTAGGTACATGCACATGTTCATGCAAGCATCCTTTTTTTTTTAATGTTCTAATTCTATTATACCTTTTTATTGATGGTCCTTTATCACTGTCTCTTTCTCGCAAAAAATATTATGTTCTGTTGCCCGTACAAGAGGCCGATTACATCCTGCACACAGCAGCCCATGCTGTGCTGCTAGTACTGCGTGTACGTGTATGTGTATGTGTAGTTGTCTATCAGCGGAGGATGCACCCAGTGTGCTGAGAGTGCCCAGTGCAGTGGAAGCAGAGTGTAGTACACCAGGCATGAATTTATCCGGTATCGCATCGCAGTTTGCTACGCAAAATCGATCTACTGCTACTCAAAAATGACAGTGACACGCAGAAAACTGCGATACATACATGTACAGGCTACTACTATTCATGCCTTTTGTAGCTTACGCCACAATTGAGATTTTGCATAGGAAAAACTGCTATGCAAAAACATGGCAGTAAATTCATCCCTGTACACAGTCCAAATAGTGGAACAAGGCTAGTGTGAACTTATGCCACCTGATGATTGCAGTGATAGGAGCATGGCCATGATGGGACTCAGAGTTGCAACAGACTACAGCACTGTCGGGTGCCGAAGAACTGCGGGTTCAGCCTCCTACTACGCCAGGCCGTTCTTAGTGTCATGTACAGTTGAGTCACCGTGCATACATTGGTATGCTGTGCTTGGTGAAATCCTAGCCTGTTCGTTCTTCGCCACCCGACAGTACTGTAGCCTTGTTCCACTGCTGTACGGTGTGTACAAGTAGTTGAATACATGTATCAGATAACCTTCTGCTGTAAGGCGAGACCAAAAAAATAGAGATTCCCGGGCCCTCCCGCACCCAAAATCGAGCCAAAGCCATTTTTTTGAACAGTTTACATATGTACAGTACTGATCGTGTGAGTAGATCTGTGACGTGAAGTCACACAAACCCGAGCTTGTAAGACTCCCTGACATGATGTACAGATCAGGGCCATCGTTGGCCGAAATACAGAAAAATTGAACGGGTAAACCGCGCACCTGGTGTCTGTAAAAAATGAATAAAAATTACCGGAAAATGCTGTGAAAAAAGTTCAACATGGCATGCACACATATAGTCATGTACATACATGAGAAAAAAATAAAAAATAAAATTCGCCCGCCCGCACCAATTTCACATGGGTCCTGCCCGGGAATCTCGATTTTATTTCGGTCTTGCCTAACAGAAGAAAATATTTCCAATATGGTCCTGGATGTGTAGCACAATCAAGCTAATGTAGTAGCATGCAACGGAGAGGGTAGTACCTTTAAGGAGATAGTCAACTCCTTCTGGAGTATTCTGCACAGTAAAAATAAAACAAGACAATGATACAACACTTGAGTTGGGAGCAGCAACCAAACAATCCACAGACAACTCGAGCAGTAGATACAGTAGATACCGGCACGTGCTCCAAACAAACGAAAGGTAAGAGGGGAGGCAAGTTTGCAAAAGGAGCAGAGGAAGGTTTGGCGTGGGCGATCCCTTGCCATTGCTGTCAGTGATTTTTATGATACCTCCTAACCCCGTGGTATCAGTACCGGCACCTGCAACAGTCCCAGCCCCAAAACCAGCCCCAGCATCAGCACCAGCACCAGCCCCAGCACCAGCCCCAGCATCAGCCCCAGCATCAGCCCCAAAACCAGCCCCAGCCCCAGCGCCAACACCAGCATCAGCCCCAGCCCTAGCATCAGCCCCAGCACCAGCACCAGCACAATAATGAATGTACCCGCAAGTACTGCACTAGCTAAGCTTACCGCAGAGGGTAATGTTGCGTGAACCAACACATTGACGGCATCAGATACATCCAAGTGAAGGTTTGTCGTAGAACATTCCATAACCGCTGTTCCTGAAGGTCAAAGTGGCAAAGTGGGGCAGCGTGACACAATGAAATATACAATCATGTACACTAATATCTTCAACGTCACTGACAGTGTTCAATAGAGGGGGTTCGCACGACGTTTTTTGACGTGACGTGAAAATCGGCGTCGGAAATGGCGTTGAAAGTCGAATTCGAACCCATCGTGAGTTTTCTACGACTTTCGCAGGATATTTTATTGTGTGACATCAAAATAGTCTACGTGGAGATAACAATGTAAATAATGCTATGAATAAAATAATCTGCACACCCATACTTAAAACACACAAGGCAAGGTAGGTAGGTCTAAAGGTTTCCAAGAACGTTTTCTTGTGACGATCATCAGTTGGAAAATATATCACAATAGAGAATACAAAAAGGGAACATGTTAATAAATGCAGAGAAGGTGAAACATTTAGGTGAAAAAAGTGAAGAAAGAAAAACATGGACTAAACATAGGACTAAACTGTGCGAATTACGGAAATAGTGTGAGTGTGAGTGTAGTGTGAGTGTAGTGTGAGTGTAGTGTGAGTGTGAGTGTAGTGTGAGTGTAGTGTAAGTGTGAGTGTAGTGTGAATGTGAGTGTAGTGTGAGTGTAGTGTGAGTGTAGTGTGAGTGTGAGTGTAGTGACTGTTTCCTTCTGAATGCATACTAGTAGGTCAGGCTGGCTGGCGTTCGTGAATGTAAACATTCACGAAATCATCAAAATGTTCCGAATTGACAGCGATACGGAAGTTACAACTGATTCGGACAGATTTTTCAATTTTCCCCCCTGAACTGGATAATTTGCACGTCTGTTGCTGCACGCAGCAGGAAACCTGACGAACGCGAACGTGAGTTTTTGGGCGTTGATGGTAAAGTTGAAAAAACGTTGCGCGAAACCTTCCTATTTACCTGGTTTGACTCCTAGTGGTCACAGTCTAATTTACTCCAGACTTTTGAAGTCACTTTTTCCCTTTTCAACTAGCTTCAGCCTAATGAACATTTAGCTCTCTAGCTTCAATTTAGGATAATTTAGGACAAGTATTGGTTTGAAATTTTTGACAAAGTCTGGCTCCCGGCACTGGCGATCACCGGCGCGAACGGTTCACAAACCACTTTTGGTCAACATTCTACGGGATCGGTGCCGGGGCAGATTGCAAGAGTTGGACACTGCCCAACTTTGCCGGCGGTCCCTTGCGACTATCTACCATAGGATTTTGTTACAATTGCACTGGTTCACAAAATCGCAATGCGCCGGGATAGGTTGCAAGAGGCCCACCGCCGGTGACTCCCGGCGCGCACCGGCGATATGTGAACCAACCCTAACACACAAGTGAACGCCACGCAAGCCAGGACAGAAGAATATAACCTACCATATGCAATGTACATTTTCGGTCCCAGGTCTGGGCGAACATATCCGTTAGGTAATCTGAGATGGAGGGCGATGGAGACAGAGAGGAAGAAGAAAACTTAGGAAGATAAACCAACAAACAGACAGTGAGCAAAACTTCTGAAATCGTTGACTGAAAAGGAGATTTAAAAAAAACTGGGAGGAAACCACAAATACAACAGCACAAAGGACAGTGTTGTCCAGATCACAAAGGGATACCTACAAAACAACAAGCCAGGATATGATCAGATGGGAGAGCAAGGAGGAAGACAAGCAATTCCACGTGTACACACACACAGCAGAATGGAAGCCAAGGCCAATAGTTACAAATACACTCAATCACAGAACACAATGAACTGAGCTGGTGCAACTCTGGCGGCGATACTGGAAGAGAGCTACAATCGGAGCAACAACATTCTTAGAAGTTAGAACACATCTTCAACATAGCATGAGTACCTTAATCACTACCACCACACAATTTTGCAATTAGTATAATTTACCTTGCTGACAAATTGAAGAGACCTTCATGATGTGTATAGTCCGGTACGGGTAAGTGACTCATCAGGTCTGTATAGCTATGAGGGCACAGCGTCACAGGAAGAAATAAGCATTCATGCAAGTCGTCACCAGAAGAAACAGGCATTCATGCAAGTCATCACCAGGAGAAACCAGCATTCATGCAAGTCATCATCAGATTTCTCTTCACAATTTTGGCGTTCGGTTCATATCTTGGCCATGCAATTGTTTCCTTTTATGGTGCTGTGCTCAGTCTTCAAAAATTGTGTAGATCCGTAGAAGACATAGAAGAATATGCTAAAGGCAATGCACAGCGTTAGGCACACACTGCAGCATAGCAAACTCACTGGTCCGGCATGACAGTCTTGAAGTCTGTCTTGGTTGGCCAGTCCTGTATAGACAAACACACGTGCATGTGCACACGTAAACGCACGCGTGTACACACCCACACACGCACACACACTCAGCTACAGCGGGGTTGCAAACATCATTATACAGTCAACTTTGCACAAAACGACACTCGACGGGGCATCAGAAAAGTGTCCTTATACCCGAAGTCTCATTATATGTATTGCAGTTAGATGGGAATTTGCTCTGGGCATGGAAATTCTGTCGTTGTTCGCGAATTGTCGTTATATCCGCAGTCGTTATTAGCAAAGTTGACTGTACATTGTAGTCAGACATCGGTACCAGACAACAATGAGCCAGCCTATACAGTAGGTACTAGCTAGCTACCAACAAAGCCGTTCTTGTATAACCGGTCATAAAATGGACAAAGTGTGATAATGTCTCAGGCTTGAGCAACACAATTCCAGCATGTGTGTCCAACTTACCTTGAGCTTTAGTAATGGAATACTTCCATTGGAGCTATGGCCAATTCGTGCTGGACACACACACAGACACACACACACACACACACACACACACACACACACACACTCACAGACACACAGATACACACACAGACACACACAGACACACAAGCACAGACACACACACAAGCACACACACAAGCACACACACAAGCACACACACAAGCACACACACAAGCACACACACACACACACAAATGAACAAGAAACCACCACACATACCACACTGAAGTGCATGAACAGCCAGACTGAGACGAACTGATTCACATCTACTTGAAACCAGGATAGACAGCCGCTTGCATAGACATTTTCACCCACGCTGCCCCTGTACAAAATACATCCCACCATAGCAATTATGACTGCAAGCCACTGCACTTACCATCAAAGCTCTGAAAGCCATCCCAGAACTTCTCCACGGATGATCGGCATAGTGAGCGCACATTGGCACTGCAGTCCACCACGTCAGCATTCTCATTGTTAGGGCCTGCGTGGTCCGGGTGCAGCGCAGCGCACGCGCACACACGTCCACACATGTACACACACATACACACGTACACACACGAGCACACACATGCAGATTGTAGCAGCAGCAGAAGAAGTATGTATATGTCATACAACTGACAGTGCAATAAAGTGCAATCACTGTTTACAACTTCTATTAACACAGTTCACACAGCCAGGCAAAGAGCAGTACATTACGTGTTCACAGCAACAGAACACGTCCACATTGCTTCTCACATAGCTTTAAATTGAGGCAAATTAAAAAAAAAAGAGAGAAAACAAGAAGTAGAGCAGTACACTATGAAAGAGTATACTATGAACATCTGGAATATGCAGTACATAAGTTTTTACATTCACAGCACCATGCAGGCGAGAAGAGCTTACCAACAACTGCTGATATACCCGCTGGACTCCAGTTCTCCGTCAGCACTTCATGAACGTTGCCAATGATGATGGGCTGTTGGCAACAAGACACGCACCATGCATATAACAGTACATAACAGTACACAACGTGTACACATAACAGCATACAACATGCACAAAACAGCACACACCGTGTATATAATGCATATAGCCAAGAGTACACACATGTACACAACGTGTACACTTGCACAAAACGTGTACATAAAAAATAAATAGTCATTAGAAGTACAACAGCACACAGCATGCACATGTGTACACATCCACACAGACTGCAATGTACCGACTCGCTTCCCGACACTAGTCATGTTGTCCATGGCTGTGACCGTGATCAGAAATGTGCATTACAGCAAGTCAGAATCATCACTGCATGCATTGTGTACAGCGTAACACTAGCACATACCAGAGAGGTCAGGGTTGAGTGAGGCATGAACAGTGATCGGACACAGTATCAAAATCAGTCCAGGCTTCTACAGACTTACCATAATTTCCTGGGTAAAATTGAGACCCCATTACTTGGGGTCTCAATTGACCGGTTCAATATCAATATAATCATTAAGCCCCGGTTGTAAGTCGACTACCCCCCCCCCCCCTTTATTCAGTGCTTAGGTCATAAGATGTCGACTTCTAAGCAGGAAAGTATGGTAGCATGACAGGATGATGTGCATACCTTTCCTGCAGACCACTCGGATCTGAACAAGTCCATATCGACTCCTCCGCTACAACTCTCCATGTACACGCAGTCACAGTCCACCAGCAGAGACACCGGCATCAACGATGCTTTGGGAATGCTGATGCTGGGCTGCTGGGACACCTCTGCCAGCTGCTGACGCAGCTCTTCCAGTACTGTGGCAGCCAAGAAAGATAAAAGAGATGCGCACACCACACACACGCACGCACGCACACACACACAGGGCAAACACAAAGACACAGCAACAAGCTTAACGTATGCCGCCAACACAGACCTGCTCTCGACTCGTCCCCCGTCACACACTTCAACTACAACCCGCAACAGGAGTAAAGTTCGATGTGAGCAGCCGACGTTCCACTCACCATACGTTGGAATGACCTGAGTCAGCAAGGGAACGTGTTCGCCACGTACGCATTTCCATCCGCTTGATTGCCTGAGGTGAGCATATTCTAAACATGACAACCAGACAAGATAACACAGTACATGCAGTGGTAAATGCAATGATTACAAAATCCGTACACACGTCAGTATCAGAGTGCAATAAGCATGGTGCTTCACAGGACATCTCAATACTAGAGGCAATAAGCCCATTGCGCATTGCCAAATATGGGAGGTATGAGTGATGCATGTGAGAGTACGCTGGAATCAGGAATGCACTGTTCAACACCCCCAGACGACCATGCCCAGGTGGCCGTGTGGGGTGCTCATGGTACAAATTACGTCATTGCGCAATGGGCTTATACCAGTCACACTGCATATTCTACTTGAAACTTCCATACATCAGCTCAAGTTCGACTTTAAATATTACAGTTCAGTCAGCGTCAGTCTCGCTGAGTTTTCCCACAGCTGTTGGAACCGTAGGAACGCCACCAATCTCCAGGATCAAAGCACAGATGCAGCACCTAAAGTGGTGGGGGCAAGTACTGTAGGCCCACTACAAGGTGGTCGAAGACAGCAAACCCCCGGCTGCTGCATCCAAGACGTATAGTAGTACGCAGTGGTCCAATACGCCATGGTACAACTACACATGTAGCTACCTATTTTCTTGCTCAGTTGATGACAACAGATGAGGAAGAAAAATAGAGCACGTTGACAAACAAAAGAACTCACTGGCCTTCTGATATCTGGCCGTCCCTGCGCTGTTCTTATGCAACTGATAGCACTTCAAGCAGACCACGGCCCCGCAGCGCTCACATACAAAATGAGTATTGAACACGGTCGTGGCGCAGATATCGCAGATCTCCCGATAGCCCAGGGCTTTGAGGCATGCTGAATAGAATATAGACAGACAGGCACATACACAGATATAGACAGACAGGCACATACACAGATATAGACAGACAGGCACATACACAGATATAGACAGCTACAGACATAACTATGCAGTCTGTATTAAAAGCGACAAATTTTCGCGGCGTGAAGATTTTGAGTTTTCAAGAATTACGCTGGTTTACGATGAGAAACTCTCGCGATTTTATCTCTTCAGTTGAATCATGTATTGTTCACAATCAGTGTACAGAGCAGTTTGCGGTGATTATAGGGAACGTGAGAGCAAGTTTACAAAAGACAGAAAAAAATGAGCACACTGTCACGAATACAACAGCTGTACAGAGCCGTCAGTCATTGTTGGATAGACTACACATACATAATGGACAAGAACTAACCAACGTCAAGTGACCCAAAGTGAATTTCTTCCTCCAGAAGCCGAAGGACAGTTTGCTTCAAGAAACGGATGAGATATCGTCCCTGCTCAGGGGTGAATGCTGAACGACGACAACGACAACAGCAACACCAGCAGCAGCAGCAGCAACAACAGCAGCAACAGCAGCAGCAGCAGCAGCAGCAGCAACAACAACAACAACAACAACAACAACAACAACAACAGCAACAACAAACAGTGAAAAAGAGGATGTGATAAACAAATGTCCCAAATGGAGATTACTGGAGATACTGTGCTGACTGACAACTGACCGTGATACGGTGCAAACTAGACTTAAATAGATAGTACATTCTGGAGAAAAAAAACTTTCTTTCGCTTTTAGCCTCTTGTCAAAGCATTGGATTACTTGCAGAAGTATTGATTGTCGTCAGTTTGACCAGCTCTGCATGTTGCTTTCATATGAGAGAACATTGTTACCAGAATCACAGGGATAATACCTGCAGTCAGCTGCTGCTGTGCAGTGCATGTACAAGCAAGCAAGCAGACATGCTAAGTCACTTACCCGAGCACCGAGGCTGGACGCGGAACTTTTGCAGACTGTCGTCCGTGGCTTCGTCCACCGTGCAGAAACCAGCCGTCCGCACCACACCTTTGCTAACCTGCAGTCTGAGTAAGGTGCGCAGAGCGTGCAAAGCAAAGAGAAAAAAAGGGCAGTTCCAGGTAAAATGGGATTGCATGTTGCCATCGCCTGCCAATGTTCCTTGCACATGTAATAGGCCAAATTAAAAATTGTATTTGTTTTAGGGAAGTTGTTTCAGGTCGGCCGACCGGGTCATTTTCCCCAAATTCTAAAACTTGTTTTGACCCGCGTAATGTATACAATAGGTAGTACATGCATGCGCCTAGGCTGTAGGCTTTGCGCCGCGTATAATACCTTGCAAGGCTATTGCAAGTACCTGGCATCAGCTGGTGTGCAGCAACAGTGGCGGCAGCAGCAACCTCATCCCGTGCGACAAGTCTCAACAAACACCACTGTCCAGCACTGTGAACATGGGAAACCTTGAGCGTGCACTGAGCGCATGAACAATAAGATAAGATGGCCGGCTGTGATGACTATGTACCACAGCTGTTTGACGAGCAGGAGTTGTTTGGCTGCACCCTGACCAAGGACCAGAGGTATCAGTTCCTGAAGGACCTTAACTAGGACATCATCCGGTACGACTCAGGCGGCAGTCGTGGTTGTGTGGTCTTTCTCTGGAAATGCCCTCAATCCGTAGAAGTGACAAGTGACACATATGCCACGCATCCTCTCCTCCTTTGAAGAGAAGTTGCCCAAACACCATACCCGGCAGCAAAAGAGGAAGTCATTCTTCAGTTCGTACAGCTCACTCTCTCGCCTCACTCCTGTCGTGTTACGCTCCGTGTAACAGGAGCTTACCGGTGATGCTGCTGTGAGCACAAACCTTGCCATGGATCCACAGATGCAGCTCTACATTCTGGGAAAACTGCCCAAGATTGATGTAGACTTGCGGCATTTGAATAGCGGCTGTCCTGCTGTCTTCGACAGATTCTTTGAAAAAGCTGCTGAAATGTTGTCGGATTGCCAGGCAGAGGATTCGAGAAGACATGGAGTTGCTCACCCGAGTAAGTTTCTGTCAATTCGTGACTTACACGAGCAAGTATGCGAGCAATGTCCTGCTGATGTAGGGATGCCTTCACTTGAGTGGCTTAGGCTCCAGTTTCTACCAGTCGACCCCACGACGTCTGCAGCGCTACGCTATACCGGCAAGCTGCATGTGAAGAAGAGAGTGCAGTCACGCATTCTCCGTGCCAGTCATGAAGATGACCACTATGCCGCAGCTGTCTTCAAGTATATACGGGCAATGGCAGTCGACTTGAAGGAGCATGATCCACTATCCCTCAGCATGGATGACAAGGCCAAAAAATCCTGTTGGCGAGCCAGACCGGCGTCCGTCAACCAATGTTCGCTCAAAGGCCACATATGTGGAGGAGAACAAGCACCTAACCGCAATGGACCACGATCCTATGGAGTACTCCATGACGCCGTCCGTCAATCTGCGATGTGACATTCCTGATATGGCAGAGGGCTCGTTCTACCATGGCCAAGTAGACGTGAGTGTGAAAGACAGCATGTTCGAGCCATCAAATCCGTTCAGCCACATGGCAGAGCTGCGAGCATCTGCCTGCTTCAATGGTGCAGTGTGCCCATCGATTGCATTCGTGTACACTGACGGCGGAGTAGACCATCAAGTTACGTGTAGATCTTTCCAACTGGCCTACATTGCCTTGTTCGTCAAGGAAGACCTCAACCTTCTTCCTGCTGGTTGCACTTGCCCCGCTCATAGCTTTCCCGAGAAATAGGGCCTGCTAGCATGCTTAGACGATGAGCCAGTCTCTCTCTCTCTCCCTCTCTCCCTCCCCCCCCCCCCCTCTCTCTCTCTCTTTTCGTTTTTTGTCTCTACATTCATACCTCGGAAACCCGAACGCCGAACTTACGGGCACTTTGGTCTACCGGGCACCTTTTGGGCAAGTTTTATGTGTGGAAATATCACTAGTCTGTTGTCACTTTTCGTGGAAATAGTGACGTCCTTTGCCATATGTATGGCCTTTCCCAATCAAAATGTATGTGATTCGGAGTTAGGCTGTGTTTACATGAGAAATTTCAACCCGGGTCGAGTTCAGCCCGGGTTGAAAGTCTGTACGATAGACAAAATAGGTGAGCGTTTACATGAAGACAGTTGACCCGGGTCAAATACTGATATGCCGCCAAAAGTCCACTTCTAGAGTCCTGTATGGTCACGTGAATCCGTTCGCGCGAAATTGGCATGTGCAGTGCTGTTCAAACCTGGCGCGAGATACGCACAAAAGTACGTTTGTACGATTTTTTTGACCCGGGTTGGTTTCAACCCGGGGCGAAATTTCAACCCGGGTCAAGCGCAATGCGTCATGTAAACGCGCCATTCATTTTGTGCGCATGGTGGGTTGAAATCTGACCCGGGTCGAACTCAACCCGGGTTGAGACGCCTCATGTAAACACAGCCTTAGGGACATTTCAAAGTTACGGGCAGTGCTGGGTCCCGGACCGCCCGGATAAACGAGGTAGGAGTGTACTTCTCTTTTTTTGGTATGATGTCATGGCATGCACATACTGTAAACAAGCAGGCAGTGACTAGTGAATGCTGGATAGCCGTAAGAATTATGAGACATGCAGGTCTCTGTTGTGATGTTACAGTGACATACCTCCATAGCATGCGCATACTATGTGCATACCATGTGCATCTCATACATCAAGTATGTATATCTGCATTGTTTAAATTCGTTTTCGTCTGAATAAGTAAGCCTCGGGATCATTGATTGTAAGAACCAAATAAATTGCACACATTTCTTTTCCTGGCCGACTGAGTTTGTTTTGGAGGAGTTGCCGACCCGAAACAAGCCTATTTTTTTGTTGTGGCCTTATATTAGAGGCACGACCTACGCATCACTAGTAATATAGAAATTTACAACCGAATAGACACCTACAGTACAGTACAAACCTAAGTCTAAACATAGTACAGACTGTACATGTAGCACTGTACATGTAGTACTGTACATGTAGTACTGTACATGTACAGTACTACATGTACTGTACATGCAGTACATGTAGTACTGTACATGTACAGACTGTACATGCAGTACTGCATGTACAGTACATGTGGTACTGTACATGCAGTACTGTACATGTAGTACTGTACATGTATAGTACTGCATGTACTGTACATGTGGTACTGTACATGTAGTACTGCATGTACAGTACATGTGGTACTGTACATGCAGTACTGTACATGTAGTACTGTCATGCAGTACTGCATGTACAGTACCACATGTACAGTACATGCAGTACTGTACATGTGGTACTGTACATGTGGTACTGTACATGTGGTACTGTACATGTGGTACTGTACATGTGGTACTGTACATGCAGTACTGTCCATTCAAGAAGCAGCATTAGCCGTCGCAGCAGTAGTGGCAGCTCGTACTTGCGAAAGCCGACAAAGGCGCAGGAGTTGACATTGTGCAGCACCATGCCGCCGCTGCTGCTGCTGGTCGAAGCATGGCGCTGCGCTACCACGTGCTCGCGACACGACTGGCAGCGGTCAATGCCGCCCTCGCCGCTAAACTTGGACGGGTACAGATGGCAGGGTAGCTCCTGTGAGGCAGCAGTGCAGTGGAGAACAAAGGGACACAGCCAGAGTCAGAGCATATGCCGCAACAGTCCACAAAGGCAGAGAAGACAACACAGCTATCAACATAGTCCAAACTGCACATGCCTTGTTTTCTGCCAGAAAGTTGCAGTGAATAATGGACAAGGTTTCACTCAGTGATACAGTACATTTGGGTTTACGTTGTCTTATTTTTTTTACTTCGAAACGGAATGGACACTTGAAAGTGGAAAGGACCAATTCTCCAAAATTCGAATGGCCAATTTTACAAACAGACTGTAGGCTAATTTAACATTAGAAACGCAAGCTTCTAGCAGGGCCAATACCTGAGAAAAGGTGTTTGATTGCTTTCGACGGTGGAGGCCACTTCCAAACCCAGATGCTGGCCTGGGGGCAAGGTCTAAATAATCACTAGAGGAGCTGTCTTCTTGTTTAAGAACAAGCTCCCCATCCGTCTTCTCACAGCTCTGTTGCAGATGGGAGGCCGACATGTTCTGCCGTTGTTCCCGCTGGCGTCCTTCTTGTTGCTCTAACCGTTGCTGTTGCTGCTGTTGCTGCTGCTGCTGCTGGCACTGTCTTTCCTGTTCTTGCTTCTTCTGCTGCATCAGTTGATATTGTTGAAGTAGAGATGACTGGCTCACCCGCGGTAGGTTGTTGTCTTGTGGACAGACCACATGATCAGTCTCTGAGTTATGGTGATGCTGATGCTGCTGCTGCTGCCGACTGTGAAGGGATCCTGCAAGACTCGTACAGTCCCGTGACAAGGCGTTCACATCACTTTCCAATGCGGACAGCTGGTGAAACAAATCCTGGTTCTGAACGACATCTGAAACAATGTCCTGCACCAGGGGTGAAACTAGCCTCGCAAGCAATGGGGAAGGGACTGCTCCAGCGGAAAGTGAAGTGTTGGGCATACTAGATTCAGACTCTGCAAGCACGCCCTATCAGATGACGCAAAAGAAGAAGACATAAACAAAGAGACATACCATCGACTCCATATATAACAAACTCGCATATAGCGAATTTCGTGATATAACGAACCATTGTCCATGTCCCTGATTGAACCTATACAAAATTGACCCTTTATAACGAACAGAACTAAATCTTGTAGGGCTGCATATAAGCCAAGTGCAGTCATACTGTCATGAGCCATATGATAGTCATGACTTGCTGCTTGTATAGTGTAAGTGCATTTCTGTTAATAAACTGTTATAATGAACTTTGGCTATAAAGAACTAATGGACCTTATGCCATTCGTACAGATCCACGAAATCACGTAGAATCCCGTAGACCCGGTAGGGTGTTGAATGTGCAGGACCCTATTGTGTTTTCTGCTATTTCCACTAAGAAATGGGGCCTGAAGGCATTTCATACGAAAACCTTTTTCTGACAAAGATCTAGCTAGTCATTAGTTCTAACCAAAGTGAAGAAGCTGGAAAAGCGATTGCTGGTCATTGAATTATGACGCTAAAAAAGGTCAAATGCGCATGCATAGCACACCATGAACACCCTACCGGGTCTACGGGATTTCGTGGATCTGTACAAATGGCATAAGGTCGATTCTCCTGCACAATGGTGTGCGTTATATCAGGAGTCGACTGTACGTGTACGTCAGCACAAACCTTACTCCGCTGCTTCAGACACAAACACAACAGAACTAGTAGTAGTAGTGTGTCCGCGGCTTTGTGCACTAACAGCAAGACCCCAGTGATGCAGACCCCAGTGATACAGACCCCAGTGATGCAGACCCCAGTGATGCAGACCCCAGTGATGCAGACCCCAGTAATGCAAACCCAGTGATACAGACCCCAGTGATGCAGACCCCAGTGATGCAGACCCCAGTGATGCAGACCCCAGTGGTGCAGACTGCAGACCCCAGTGGTACAGACCCCAGTGATGCAGACCAAAGTGATACAGACCCCCAGTGATGCAGACGCCAGTGATACAGACCCCAGTGATGCAGACGCCAGTGATACAGACCCCAGTGATACAGACCCCAGTGATACAGACCCCAGTGATGCAGACCCCAGTGCTACAGACCCAGTGATGTAGACCCCAGTGATGCAGACCCCAGTGATGCAGACCCCAGTGATACAGGCCCCAGTGATGCAGACCCCAGTGATACAGACCCCAGTGATACAGACCCCAGTGATGCAGACCCCAGTAATGCAAACCCAGTGATACAGACCCCAGTGATGCAGGCCTCAGTGATGCAGACCCCAGTGATGCAGGCCTCAGTGATGCAGACCCAGCGATACAGACCCCAGTAGTACAGACCCCAGTGATGCAAACCCCAGTGGTACAGACCCCAGTGATGCAAACCCCAGTGGTACAGACCCCATTAATGCCTACAATGTGCTGTCCTGCACGTTGGCATTTCAAACTCACCTGTTCCGAAGCTTCCATTTCTGATGACAGGTTAGATGCAACACCGTTTGTAGAAACATGATAAGTGGCGGCAGCAGCAGAAGCTACTGAGTCATCTTCGCTGAGTGGCGAGGCTGTTGCGATGGGATCGGCAAGGTCAGGTTGAGCATTCACCAGTGTTCGAATGTCAGACACATTGCCACGGACACGACACAGCTGCGCCTGCAAGTGAGAACTGAATTGAGATGTCATCTCCGTTCGGAGCTGCCCTAAAAGTCCACGCACAAAGTCCTGTGAAAATAGGCCACCACCGATATGCGAGAAGTCTTGGGCAGACACTGAGTTCACAGATGGCGTTGCTGCTGCTGTTGCTGCTGCGCTACTGCAAGGGGCAGATGATTGCTGCCCCTGGTGGCAAGAAAACACGACCCCATCACCACTGTCAGGCTGGCCTGACATTCCTGTTGCTAACTCATGAGTATGGCATGACGAAGACGAAGACACAATGGAGCCCATCAGAGAACAGTTCTGGCTGTTGGGCGCTGGGGACAATGCTACTTTGGACGAGGTACGACTATCTCCATTGGAAGGCTCAGCCTCCGCAAATGAGCAGTCACCCTCTATGTCCACAGCCTCCATTGACGCCATACGATCAGATTTGGGGGAAGGCACATCTTCGGACGTTTCAGATGGTTCCCCACTAGTTGCTGTTGCTGTGTCTGTTGCTGTGTCTGTTGCTGTCTTGGACGTAAGTGAAAACATGGACAGTCGACCATCAGCCTCAGTATTGTCCGAGATGACAAGAGATGTGGCGATGTTGGCTGTCGGTAAGTCTCTTCTCTTGCGCTTTGCCGCAGAGACAGAGACCGAGAGGGAAGCAGTCGCCTCAGGCTTCCGTTTGACAATGGAGACGTGTTTCAAGCTCTACAAAAAGAAAGGTACAACAAGACATCTGTGAAGGAAATGTGACCCAAACCAGAACAACAGAACGCACAGGAGCGTCGCAGTCGCCACCGCTGCCAATTCTATCTCAAAAGATACCAACTATAATCACCAGACGTGTGTGTGTGTGTGTGTGTGTGTGTGTGTGTGTGTGTGTGTGTGTGTGTGTGTGTGTGTGTGTGTGTGTGTGTGTGTGCATTGCCAGCACAGCCAGGGGCCACATGGGCCACAGGAGCACAGATAAAACCTACCAGGCTGGCTGAGTGCGGCTTGGCTTTGTTAGGTGTCGGCTCCTGGCGAAGGTTACCACCATCAGCATAGACAGGCCGCCGTCGCTTGACAGCAGCATCTTCGGGATTCGGATTCCGAACACCAAATGCCTAGATGTGCACAGCCAAGAATAGGAGAGAAACACCCAGTGACCAGCAGGTAAAACAGCGACACAAAAATAGCTAGCCACTTCTATTTTCAAAACTCTACGGTAAATCGCCTACGATGCCGGGTAATTCTAATCGATCAGAAGAACACTCTTGTTAGCAAAAGCAAAATTGACACAGAAAGCATGCAGCATGGTTAAAAATAGCTAGGCTTGTTAAAATGCACAATGCAACCATACCTCCCAGCATATACACTCCCGGCGAGACCTCCGAGTGTACTTTTCCTGGCCTAGAAAACAAGCCACAGCGAAAACAAAAGAGAACGAAAATGAAGGAACAGCATGCATACATTCACATTCCAGCCTCCATTGTTTCTTTGGTTTCGTATCTTCCTCACACCCGACCAAGCTAGGGTAGTAGTAGTAACATACATCAACACACAAGATGATGTCAAGGTTGCTCAAATACAGCCTTTGCTCAACCTTCAATACAACAGACACGCAAGAGGTCTAATCAGAAAGCTGTACATGAAGATGACGACAAAGATCAAAAATTTGCCAAATAGAACACTAGTGTCTGCTCCAGCGCCGGGTGAGCCGGGTAATCCACCCGGTTGGGCGGCGCTTGAACCCGGTTGAAAATATAGTACCGGGTCACCTGTGACCCGGTTGGTACTTTACACTTTCGAACTTTGAAAGGACTGACTACATGGCTTGTATGTGTCAGACTCCAGTACTTCTTCTTCTTTCGTAATTTTCTAATTCCTGTCCTCTCTTTTCTAAATGCGGCTTATCCATTCGCCTTTATATCATTGGGCCTAGTTACCGTTTATTGTCCGAATTAAAATAAACCAACCAACCAGTTAAAGCATGTGACTTGGCTGGTGAGACAGCGCCAGGTACATGTGTACCCGGCTGCGACCCGGTTGAAATGGTTGCGCCAGGTACACATGTACCCGGCTGTCCTACAATCCTAGAGCAGACACTGAACACATGTACATACATCCAGGATATCCTTCCAGAATGGCATGAGTGGTGACCGGGTCAATCAACACCGTATTTGTTACATTGCCGCAAATTGTCAGCATCTGAAAGGGAACAAAAAACCGCACACGTATGTATGCGTGCACACATGCGCACACACACGCACACACATTCCCACGCACACGCACGCACACACACACACACTCCCACATCCACACATTCCCACGCGCACACACACACACACACAGCCCGCATGCATGGTTTCACGACACACACACGGTCCGTATTTAACTCTCTTGTCGTTTGATGTATCTAATAGTGATAGTCATGCTTCTAAATGCTCTACAGTCTGTTTGTTCTTTGTAACCAATTCTGGACTTGGCAATTTTGTTCAGTTCATTTGAATGCATCAATCCATCATGTCTCAATCTTGCCACCAACAAGCAATCACAGATGCATGGCTCCCGTATGATTTGTTTATGCGGGAAATATGCAACCTGTTTAGATTATTATTTAGTCAATCTCAGCAGAAATTGTCATCATTTGTCTTCAAACATTCTGGAACTTTAGGCACTGTTTCCAAACAGTTGCCAGGATACCTTGACACCATCGGTATCGCCAGCTACTGCTCTGTGGCAGAATTGCAAAAGAATGCTCTCCTTCGCTCGGCAGCTATCCTGCTTAAGGAACTCGATTTGCAATGCTTCTGGGGTGGGTGGTGGAGTTCTTTCGGTCTTGTTTTCCTCTTGTTTAACATCCATATGATGCGCATGGCCCCACCTTTGGTTACTGGATGCTAGCCCCGTGGGTGCCAAACACCGGCCTTCAGTGGAGTGCTGATGGAAAAAAAAAACCAAGCCTAGGACAGCAGTTGCATTACTGCATGTAGTATGCTCTGGGGCAACAGTTCTACCCACCTGCTTAGCTAGGTCATGTCCAATCACGGTGTTTGTGTAGAACTTATTGACCTTGTAGCAAAAATAGCGAACGAGGCAATGCTCCACACTGACACCTAGCCACCACACAAACAACAACAACAAAAACAACAACACACCAGGGAATAATTTAACTGGTATCGCATCGCAGTTTGCTACGCAATTCTTCTGAGGTGCTAAGCAACTTCAGAAACGTGTTGCAGAAAACTGCGATGCATGTTGATTGTTCACTGTACCCTATGATGCACAGTGTGTATGCAAGCCGTGCCTCTAAGGGATGAAATAGATGCACAAAACATTGAAAGTGCTGAGCTATGCATCGTGGCACCAAGTTAGGTTCGCAACTAAGGTGTTACAGTGCACTTGTAGTCGTAGGTTTCTCTCTGATCAGCTCTGCAGAAGGACAAAGTTGTCAAGTGTTGAAGAAACTTGCTACGCAACATTAAATTGCTATTCAAGTTTGATTTTGCATAGCAAAAATTGCTATGCAAGAAATAAAAAGTAAATTATTCCCTGCACACACACGCACGCACGCACGCATGCACACACACATCAGCACACATCAGCACACACGCACGCATGCACACACACATCAGCACACACCACCACATGAAGTTAACATAATTTTCAAGCCAAAACCTAAAACAATTACTAGTACATGGCGACGACAGTAGCAGTAGCAGCACTAACAAATTGTCCATGAACACCAACCATGCACACAGCTACAAGCCGCATGACTAGAGGGTGGCTTGCAGCAGTAACTGACTCGTACATGTACAATCATCTCCCCTGATCTGGCCATATTCGTCTACTAGGCACTTTTCGGAACCCGTTGCCATGCAGCTGATCACCAGAACAAAGATTTCTTTTAAAGCTCGAAAAATATTTTTATTAGTGGCTGCGTACAAAATTTTGTATGGGGTGTTTTTGACATCCGGGTAATTCTGAGATCTGGTGTGCTTGGGTCCAAGCTGGCCAGATCTGAGGAGTCTGTCGGCTAGATAAACAATGTACTGCAATACATGAATACATACGTACTGTGATCAGATAACCAATGTACTGCAATACATACTTACTGTGATCTAGCGACCGCTCGTTGAAGCGACGGATGCTGAAATGGTGGCACAGGTCATCCTTCGGCGTATCATTCTAAAGCAAACGCAAGGGAAGAATAACGTCCATGGCCAGTATAGAGACATGTAGTACCGATACCCCAAGGCAAATCACAGTCTCAACATGCAGCATAAATGAAAATTGAACCCCTACATGATAATACTAATCGTGGTAACGACTTCGCGATGGTGATAAGAAAGGTGGCTCGTCGCAACATTCGAGCTCTCGCTTTTCCCATCGACTTGACTCGACTGACTCACAACTGCCATCCAACACGCATGAGAAGTACATCGAACTTTCGCCTCGGAAAACCTGCAAGAAAGCCCCCTGCTCAATGAACAGTGTGTCAGGGAATTCACCCATCATCAGCTGAGCTCGAACATGCTGAGGAAGATAGTGCCTGAAGAGCACCACTTTTATAGTGCCCAAACTTACAGAGATGCTCCGTTCCCAGCGCGACAACCTGCTCCCCATACACCTCTGTAAATATGTATGAAGCATGTCCTGGCTAATCTTCCTCTCACATGATTTGAGGGAGAATAATGAACCTCATGAAAAGTGACTCAGCAGTATAGAACAGGACAACACCATACGTTGTCAAACTTACATCATGCTGCAGGGAAGAACCAACTTCTGATGCATCGCTGTACAGGGCCAAACCAGACAAAGACACAGTCAGAGAGGCACACAGGAATATGTGCATTGCCCCGCGCACGCACATACGCACACACACACACACACACACACACACAACACACTACTACTACTACTACTACTACTACTACTACTATGTACAGCTACCCTATCGGGCCACGCCGCTCCCAGAAGCGGGAGACAACGACAAGAAGAGAGAAGAGAAGAGAGAGAAATCGCAAAGTCAACAATATTTGGCATGGCGTTGTAAGTCCTGTGGCCTTGAGAACCGTCTTTCGCAATGCTCGCATTCATGACGGCAGTTGTTCCTGGCTGCACGTGACATCCATTTCGCACGGTCACAGTGATGACGGCTCAAACCAGAACGGGAGCGGAAAGAGCGGCGACAAACATCACATCGAAAAGAGTCAGATTCATGGTGAATAGATACAGTGGGGACATCCGTGGACACAGGACAGCGATGCACAGTCAGTCCTCCAGCGCTCCTCAACCACCGCATGCACTTCATACATTGCCTGGCACCCTTCTGTTGTGACACAGGCAACTTCCGCTGGGCAATGCACTTGTGTCGGGCCATGTCGTTACGGCGGCGGAAGTCTCTGGCACACAGCAAGCAGCGCAAAGGTGGCGAATCATCTGTGTGCGGTGGTGGCTCAGCAAGGAACATCCTCCAGTTCTGCCGGTCTTGGGCATTCTGAAACCAGGAATCCACGCCAGCTGCCTTCATGTCTCTTTGGACAACGTCTTTCCAGCGCCGCCGGGGACCACAAGGAGGGCGACGACCACTCAACCTTCCAAACAAAATCTGGACGGGAGCACGGTCTGCAGGCATGCGCACGACATGCCCGAGCCATTCCAACCGCCGACGCCGAACAAGGTCTGACACCGGTGTAGTGTCACCCCAGCGCGCACGGAGCGTTGCCGATGAGATTTTCTCCTCCCATTGCTGACGCCGAGATACACATAAGATGGAGCGAATGCACCACAACACACACACACACACACACACACACACACACACACACATAAAATACACACAGTCGGCTAATATACGAGTGTACCATAATTGCAACATGTACATTTCCACTACATAGCACAAGGAGCTCGAACAACTACGTCTCCTGAATATATAGTACTAAAGCTGAAAGGACAGAGCCACCTTACCAAAGGGACAGTTGGCCATTAGGATATTCCAGTATGACATGTGTTTCATCACTGTTGATGGGGACATAAACCTAGCATAACAAGATCAAACGAGACAATTTCCATGGGACTGGAACAGAAAAACAAGACAAACCAAATATGGCAAACATCTTGTAACATATGGTCATTGCTGAACAATATCTACAGCTTGATATCCATTGCAGCAGAAATTGATACAGCATTTCGCCAAGTTGCACGACCAACGGCACCCCGTGAAAATGAGCACAGCATGCCGATGTCAGTGGGTGGTAGCACTGCCAAGACTTCAACGCTCCACTGCTGCTGCCAAATTCCCGAAGACCTTCGCTCAGACTGCAACTTGAAAAGGACAATGACTTTCACTTTGCAAATTACATGATCTGCACCTAAACAACTACTTCAAAGTAGTTCCGAAGTAGTGTTGGCAGCCAATATCGATAGCCTTCTAGGAGACCAACATGCAAGCAGGCTGAGGAATAGAACAAGCTCCAGGCACTTTACAAGCAACACCACAAAATGTCCACTATTTAATACGATCATTGCCTTCTGAGGATATGCTATGTTTCTACGCACGTGAGGTTTCATAAATGCACATTTGTCTGGGGTGAAGTCGGGGTGAAGTCGCGGGTGTTGTATTTCGCATGTCAAGACAATTTTGGAAAATTGAAAAATGGGTTACGGATGGGGTAACTGTTTTCCCTGCCCCCCACTATGTTAACCTAGCTAGAAGCCTGGTATCCTATTTGCCCCAGCAGCGGAAAATGCTGAAAACGCGGAGTTGCCCCTCAGCTTGAATATTGACAGCATTGTTTAAAGCCTGGTTCACATTTGACGTAACGCTGACGGTACGGGCGCAACAGGTAAGAGCCTATCTGGGCGGCTGGGGCGAGCTATAAAATCTTGAATGATTCGCACGACCAGATATACAGCAGTTGGTGCGATGTTCAACGTCGATCGGCTCGAGTCATACGGTACGGTCCATGACGGGTTGCCTTTCGAGCCTAATTTCTCGTTTTCCACGACATCTTTTCAATTATTTCTCCTCGAATGAAGCGGAATCACGCTCACAGTACCAGTTTGTGATGAAGACCAAAACAAGTAGCAATACAAGTTGTGCCATTCTAATAATAGGGAGGTTAAGTCCCATGTAACGGAAACGGGAATGTGGCTGATACACGTAAAGTTCATGCAATGGACCCAAGTTCGCAATGTTGTTTTTTAATAGTCACACGGAACAAACAAATGCATGAACCATTGTGTCGAGTTCTTCTCCTCATTTTAGTTCATCGTGCAGTGAGTGTTCAATAGTAAAAAAAAAAAATTAAAAAAAATGAAGCGAAAGGCCCAAACTTGGCCAAAGACGAAGCTTCGAAGCTCATCGAATATTTTTATTTCGTGCTTCGGAAACTTCTTCAGCTGAGCACCCTCACAGCTTGCACAATGCGCTCCATTCTGATTTTCACCCACGTTCTGGCTGAACGTGGGTGAGCCTCCATACACGGTATGTCGTTAATCAGAAAACGGCTGTACGTAGGTCACTGAGTATCACGTTGTACACACAAGTAAAGTACACACGGATTACGTGGGACTAAACCTCCCTAATAGTCCCAGGAAAGATAAACACAGTTCGTCTGTCACGCTCCTGGGCTACCCCAAAATACAGCAAGTGACATGAAATCTTTGCTTGCTAAAATTCAACACAGCCCTGTTAGCCATTCGGTCATGGGAAGGGTAGTGTTCGAAAAGCTAAAATAATTAAGTTGCAGTTGCGCGCATCGGGAGGAGTCGGTGCACGACGCCGTCTCTCGTTCACACTCGAAATGCAACTCTTGTACGCTTGTGTCTCCGCATACGGTATGAATAGCTAAATAGATTTAAGGGGCAGCCTACCCATAAATTTCATATGGCATTCAATTGACCGTAACTTTGGTGTTTCTCAATGGATTTGAGTGAAATTTTGACCACACACTCCTGCCACTATGCTGGCCCTCAGGACATGATTTACAAGTTTTTGCGCCTCACTGACAGGCTTTCCAGGCCGGAAAAACTCAAATTTCCGGCATAGTGCCACGGTGTGCGAGCCACCCAGGAGCCAAACAAATGCATTTACAATTTTTTCACATTTTCGTGCCCATTCTGTCCGTGCGCGGGACCCAAACCTAAAACAAGTCCAGAAGCAGCCATGGGTGGTGGGGTAGGGCCCCTCAACGTGGCCCTGGAATCTCTCACAATGGAACGAGTGGGCGTTCTCTGACAGACTCCCACAGACCCAAGTCAATTTTTGAATTTTTTTAGGTTTAGCACGTGCTACGAGGTCGTACCTTTGATACAACATCCAGTGCTGGGACGTCCACAGCAAGCCATTTCCACAGCGCTGCACACCAAATCCAGGATACCCTCAGAAACCGGCAAAGACTACCACTCACGTTCCGCTACTGCCTAGTACTGAATCCTACCTGACTTCTTGACACGAGTCAAACTTGCCAAAGTCACTAAATCAACGTCAACTACAATAATCAAGCCACATATCTGCAACGTCACGAGGGTGCTGGCAAAAGTCCTGCTGCACGGCCAATACGTGGCTCAAAAACGTGATTTTTTTGGACTTGGAGCAAAATTCTGCACACTTTCGTGTGTTTCCATGATACAAGTTGCGCACGGTCTGCTCACATTCAAATACAGTGCTGCCAACAAATGACAGCGTGCAACAAAAAAATCTTTCCTTGCAAGGGCACATTTTAGGCCATAACTCTTGAACGGCTGGTCAGATCGGGACACAATTTTCAGAGAATTTGCAGCTATTCATGCTCTTTCAACTGACGTAGCACTCAATATGAATTTACAAATTCGATTTTTCAGCGAATTTTTGGGTAGTCTGCCACCTTAACTCTTCCATCGCTTCACGGTGTGTACGGTAGCACGGCTGCATTCCCGTTTCGGGTCACAGGTGTTCACAGTGGACGCCGTCAATTGGCGTCATGGGTGTAACGTCGGTTCCCGTCGCTTCTTACGTCGCGCCCAGTCAATGTGAACTAAGCTTTACTTCCAAAAATATGTGCGATGTACTGTGTGTATGTAGTGCAATAGTAACAGTGCAGCAGGTACGCAGTTCCACTGCAGAAAACTAGCACCTGTACTAGTATTCACACTCCATGTCGTCATACACTCAGGATGTGCAGAACAAAACTCCGTGGCCTTACCAAAACGGTCGTCTCAACAGGATTATGAAGGCCCAGATGACTTTCCACGAACACACTTTCACGGTTGACCCAGTTGAAATCGTGATCACTCGTTTCGACCAGGATCTATCAATTTGCAACAAGTAACAGTGGAAAGAATACTACCAAGTCCAGGATTGCAGACATGCAAGCAGGAATAGATGTACCTCCTCAGTTGATGAATCCACAACTCGTATGAAACCTAGAACATTCGTGGAAGAATCATCTTGATAGCAGACCTTGCGGCCAGCACGAATGAGGTCCACCATATTCGTCAACAGTGTGGACGAGTAACAGAAACCAGTAAGAGTATTTGCAAGCAAATGATTTTTAATTATTCTCAATACGACAATAGTATTGACCTCTCACAGTGAACTACTACACAATTAATTCAATGCCTTCGCTGGCAGCTTCAGAACCGACATGATACGACTATTCAGGGAGGGTGAGCAGATGGGATGAGAGATAAGGGTTGACCATTGCAGTGAGCTTGCTCAAAGCGATGGTTCCCCAGATTCGAAAACTGGCGAAGTCAAACACTTGAAACAGGCCACGGCCACATACCCACAACATGATTAATTTTTGAACTGTGAACAGTCAGTGGATAGGCGTCGATTGGGCGAAGCATGCAGATGCCATGGGACCCAGATTCCGGAACACGCGCGCCTGCACTGTGCACATGATCATGATGACACTTGACAGCATGCAAAGAAGTAGTAAAATACCGGTATTTTACTACCTACTCCTGAGTTGCAAAGGTGAAACAAGAACTGAGTGAGTCTGTTGAAAATCGTCCATAAATAATCATGTCTGTCAGTAGACAGTACAGTGTCTACCAGGCGCTAGGCCAGGGAGTCGTAAAATACCGTATTTTACGACTCCCTGGTGTCTACGGCCATACCACGTTGAAAATACCGGTTCTCGTCCGATCACCGAAGTCAAGCAACGTCGGGCGAGGTTAGTACTTGGATGGGTGACCGCCTGGGAATACCTCGTGCTGTAGACTTTTTTTTTCTTCATCTTCACACTCACTCGAAGCAATTTCAGTGAATTTTCAGAGAAGAAATGAAAAGGCAAGGCACAAAATGATTTCCCATGGACTGTGATGGAGGTGGGTTCGCTGCATGCACCGCTCTCCTTGAGCTTTCCAAGATAATCAAAACCTGCGATGCAAATCAGGGAGTCGTCAAATATGGTATTTGACGACTCCCTGATGCAAATTCAAGTGTTACATGTAACTTCCACGGTGACCCACGAGCGACTCGCTTGCAAGAAAATGGCAGGTCACCCAGCCCTAAGAAATTCTAGCCACACCCCTGGCCTAGCTGCTACCAAAAGTATATAAGCCCCCCCCCCCCCCGCGCTTATAATAATTATACTCTTGCTGTTACAAAGGTCAAAAAGAATGGTTCCACCCATACACATAATACATACGTTGTGCATGTGACGCTGCGTTTCATGCACGTAGCTAAATGCTATTAATTCAACATCTCCTGACTCGTCAGAAGACTGCCAATATATGAGAAGTCGGGTGGTAGCCAACCACGGCGAACTGAATAATAAGGAGAGAAACAAAGAGAGTACTGCAAGGGGAGGCATGACGAAAATGGTACAATCATCAGACAACTGAACTACATGTACATGACATGTTATGCTTTTGTCGCGCGGGATAGGTTATTATTATTTTTTCTATATATTCGTTGGATACTGTGAATCCTTGATCAATGAGTCGATGTGGCCTAAGGTATACGTTCGTTTCGTCGATGATTCTTTTACATATTTTGATTCCGTTGAGCAATGTGACACATTCTTTCATCATCTAAACAACCTACACCCAGCGCTTAGATACACATGTGAGCATGAGCATGACAACAAACTCGCCTTTCTGGATGTGCAGGTAGAAAAATCTAATAACAGCGTCGTAACATCAGTCTACCGAAAGCCCACTTTCACTGGGCAGTACATCGTCTATGATTCATATTGCTCACATCAATACAAAGTGAACCTGGTACGTAACCTGGTGGGGAGAGCAAAGCGGCTCTGCTCTGAAACGAAGCTCAACGACGAGCTGGAATTTCTCAGATCAATATTCCTTAAGAATGGATACCCACATGACTTATTGAACAAAATACTTAAGCAAGAATCTAATAACAAAGATACATTCACAGGTCCTCGGAAGTGTCCTATCTACTTATGCCTGCCTTGGAAAGGCAACGCGTCTGTCAGCATGTCCAGAGCTATCAAGACCCTAGTCAATAAAACATACTTTGCTGCCCACTTCATCCCCGTGTTCACCACGGTACGTGCGTTCATGGTGAGGAAGGATGTCCTACCTCCCCAGCTTTCAAGCCATTTGGTTTATCTCTTTGAGTGCCGGAATTGTGCTGCCCGGTACGTTGGTAGGACTCTTCAACACCTGAACGCACGTATCAGACAACATGTGCCGTTGCACTTATTACCACCAGCAGCCAGAGCAAAGAGGCTAAAGCGTGGTAGGCCGTGTAAGAACCCAGTTAGCTCAGTAGACAAACACGCTGTGCCGACAGCGCCGCCTGTTCCCGTGCCACCACCGGCCCCACCACCTGGGGTGCCGTGGGTGGCTGGGGCTGGGGTGGGTTTGCCATCATTGACCTGGCCACCACTTCTCGACCCACTGCAAACGGCAGCGGAGCCTACTATAGCACAACATCATCGTCCTGGAATGGAGGAGGGGCCACCGAGAGACACTGAACCTTCACCTCGGCAGTTGCCCTTGCCTCCGCCTGAGCCACCCCCTTTACCTTTGGTGACTACCGAGACTAGGCCTTGACGGATTATGCTAGCATAATTTTTCGCATAATTCCTACCAAAATCGAATAATCGCATAATTCGTCGCAAATTGCATACGAATCGCAGAAAATTGTAATAATCCACCTGTTCGCATCAAATTCCATACATGTTCTACAAGTACAAGTACACGTAGATGCACCAGGAAGTCGTAGGTTTACGACTCCCTTGATAACATGTCCAGTCCACTACAATCAGTGATGGTCGTAGCTAGGTCGGACGGTGCGTTGACCCCGTTGAACTTTTGCTACTACAGTACAACGCCCTCTACAAAAGAATTCCCCTGGTATTTTGCACAGAACTATCAATCATGCATTAGCAGCATATGTGAGCATAATGCGGCATAATATGATAACTGTTAGCATAAAAATAGCATAATTCTGCAATTTTTTCAGCAATGCGAAAAGCATAATTTCACGAAAATATTAGCATAATCCGTCAAGGCCTAACCGAGACGGTGGTCCCCCCGGTGCTGGGATCCACGGTGCCGACTGTGTCTGGACAGAGAGGGAGATCATCGACAAACCAAAATGAAACCAATACCCTCACCCATAGACCCAGAAGAAGCACAGCAAACTATTCACTTGAAATTTATGCACGGAATGGACTTGGCCCACGCAAAATGGACAGTGGAAATGGGTGTGCAGTAGCAGAGAACCCAGCAACGGTGACGCGGAGCAGCGGTCAAACGACTTGTGATGCTGGTGGAGATGATGGAGCCATGTTGGAGGCTGATAAGGAGTGCAGTGAGACTGAGCATCAAACGGATGATGAGGAAGTGACTGATGATGATGATGGTGGTGATGAGGACGATGATGATGAAGATGAGACGGAGGACGAGGATAAGGCGGAGGAGGTCGAAGGAAAGGAGCGGGATGAGACGGAAGAGAGCGACGTGAGCAAAAAGTCAGCTGTATTTTGTCACTTGTTATCACGTCCAGATTGTCTTGGTGTGTACGATGATTCTCACTTTTCTGTTTTGTGCCGTGCAAGTTATGTTAAAGGGGAAGTTAAGGCAAAAATTAAAATTTCACCAGTTGTAGTCTTCGGGGTGCTGAGTCGAATGGTCGTGGTCCGAGGAAGCTGAGACGCTCCCTTCCTACTTGAATCCCAATCGAACTCGCGCACTTCCACCGAAACTGGGTGACTGCGCCCTACTAGATGGGGATTTGTATGCAAAATGTCACTAAAAGCGCCATTTCGTTCTTATAAAAGCACGGATGACCGCGATTGGCCCATATGTTGTAGTCTTTTGGACGCTGAGTCGACTGGTTTTGGTCCGAAAAGGCTGCGATGCAGGGTTCCTCCTTTATTCCCAATCGAACATGGTTGAACAAGCGGTCACGTGCTCCTGCGTACACTAGTCAGCTGGTCACCGTGCCTGCAGGGTACAACTTACTAGCCTGTTTGACCTTTTTTGGGTGCAGTCCTGTCACTCGAGTTGAACTCGAGTTGAACCTTGGTGTGAAAGTTCTCGCCTGCTGGCGTGGTGACCAGGTGATTTGGGCACCCAGGAGCACGTGACCGCTTCTTCAACCATGTTCGATGGGGAATAAAGGAGGAACGCTGCATCGCAGCCTTTTCGGACCAAAACCAGTCGACTCAGCGTCCAAAAGACTACAACATATGGGCCAATCGCGGTCATCCGTGCTTTTATAAGAACGAAACGGCGCTTTTAGTGACATTTTGCATACAAATCCCCATCTAGTAGGGCGCAGTCACCCAGTTTCAGTGGAAGTGCGCGAGTTCGATTGGGATTCAAGTAGGAAGGGAGCGTCTCAGCTTCCTCGGACCACGACCATTCGACTCAGCACCCCGAAGACTACAACTGGTGAAATTTTAATTTTTGCCTTAACTTCCCCTTTAAGCAGTTGAAGGTTCTGGAAGCTGTATGTATTCGTGTGCATAATCCTGTTCTTTGTAAACAAAAGAAGCATGTAGTCGCGCTAAAGTTGTTCTCGTAGCTGGTTATCAGATGTAAATGTTGTGTCATGTTGCACTGTATCACCTCTTGCTTTGTGGCTGCACTCAGTTATATATACGTTAGCACTATGTTTGACACCTATTATGTAATGCTGTAGCACTTCCTTTGTTGTTCACACTTTTAATTAATTATGCTGTTATAAAATGTTCTATTGTTGTACACAGTACCCTCAGTTCCGATACTATTCACTGATGAGCGGAACACGAAAATCGATTTTGAATAACATAAAAATCCTTAAAATTCCATGAACTCGTTGTTGTCTGGCCATGTCTGCATCGATTATACTCCTAATTGCACTAATAAAATTGCTTTCTCCACGCCGACTCTTTTCTTATTTTGTTAGGGATTTCCCAACAGGTTGTTCGATACGCATGGGCATGTAGAGGAGGTGTGAGTTATCAGGCCATGCATGGGATCCCCGGGAATTAAGAGCGCTAGCGAGTGATAAGAATTACGTCGATCACTGGATGGGCATGCGCAGTAGGCGCAAACTATGCATGGAGCGTGCAGAGGCGGAGAAACCACCAGGCAGGACAAGGGTAAGCCATGGGGGCACTGGGCAGGGGGTGTGATGTGTGGCGGTGGAAGCACACTGTGGTGTCCACATTCAACAGCCGCGGGTATTCAGAGGATGTGGCGGTGATAGTGGTAGCACGCGGTGGCTATGTCACGGCAGGGTAGGTGGAGACGTAGAACTTGTTTTGGTGTCGGCACTTTGATATCTATTTTGACCTACAACTGCGGCGTGTGGGTGCTTTCATCCCGGGATGCTACAGCAATGGATGCGTTCCACAGAAAGCAGCTCCGCCGTCTATTAGGGATATCTTACCCGGAAATTATCTCCAACGCAGACCTATATGCCCGCTGCAATGCCGAGCCAATATCCGTACTAAGCAGAAGAGCACGGTGGAAACTGTTTGGTCATATTTTACGCCTCCCTGAAGCAACTCCAGCGCAGGTGAGCATGACAGCGTATTTCCAGCGACAGAATCGGGGCTGGCTCGGACGCCCGCGCATCACCCTACCAGTGGTGATAGACAACGAATTAGCTAAGGCAACGTCCATGCGTCTCCGGAGTCTGAAGGACCTGGAGACACTGCGTTTGGTGGCTCGGAACAGGCAATCATTCAACGATATAATCGCACAGGTCACATTGTAGAGTGCAGATCACCTAGTGCTTTCAACAATAATAACGTACTTCCACATTATGGGAATTTGGTATAACCCCACACCCGTCATTGTTGAATATTCGATAATAGCGTGGATTTCCCCAACAATAATTATATTTTCATTTTTTGTTATCCTCTCCCATGCCGTTGTACATAAGCGGCTTGCCGCGGATATGTCAATACTACTACTACTACTTTGATACCAACTCCGACCTCTTGTTGAGCAGAGTGTGAGGCGTCTTGAAGGTGATGATGCGCAACTTTTCTGCTAAACACAAGCAGCACCTTTTGGATATGTTGCTGTAGGACTTGGCCCGATCTATGACTGCCCATTTGATACTGTATTCCTCACCTTGGTCAGCCAGCGCCCATGTGTGCTTGGATAGCTCGGTCTTGGTACGGTACTTTTCATGCAGCATGCTGGTTAGGTGGTTGCCATAGCGCACCTTGAAGGGCGTCTCGCACAGGCCGATGTATTGCCTTTCCTCGCCGGTACTTGGGGTTGTGACGGAGGCCTGGTACACCACTTCCCCCTCCAAGCATCCGCCGCGCAAAGGGCATGATGGCTTGGCTCGGCAGTTGCACCCCGAGTGCCGCAGATCTCTCTTCACCAGGCGTTAGTACCTTTTGGTTATGTCCCTTCATCAGGTAGGACATGTTGGGCATGCAGGAGTAGCTCAATTTCAATGTGTTTCTGTTGAAGATCTTGTGTCTTGTGGCGACGCGGCAGGGAAATGTTTGCTGATTAGTTTGAAAACCCCCTGACCGATATTGGTGGATACAGATTTGCTGTATGGTGGGTTGTACCATGTCAGGCGCGTGCGCCGGTGCCCTTCAAGGGGGGGGGTTCCGGGGGGCCTCCCCTGTGAAAATTTTCAAAAAATGAAGCGAAATCCTGCGTTTTGAGCGAAAAAAAGGGGGGTTCCGGGCACCCAGGAACCCATACGGCGCACGCGCCTGCATGTTATGTTTCTCCTCCGCTTGTTCTTCTTCTTGGTCGGCCCACCGCCATCGAACACCATGGCCCCTGGAAATCCGCTGGCAGATAGCGCAGCTCTGTATGCGGGTGCCGCGTTGGTGAATACCTCCTCGTCGCACGAGATGTCGGACACCCGCCTATTGATCATTGCAGGTAGATTCCGGAGTATATTGGGCGGGTGATTCGACTTGGTGTGTATGTATCTGGGTGCGTCATTCGGTTTGCGGTGTGGGTGGTAGCGGCCGCTGGCTAGATCAAAGGTGACGTCGAGGAAGTCCACTGTCCTCTGGTTGGTACTGATGGTTATTCGTAGGCCAACGTCTTTGAATAGCTTCGTGATTGCCTTGCGGATGGAGTCTGCCTCATGTCCTGTAGTAGTCCTGAGCACGGCCAGTCCGTCGTCGCGGTACAGCCCGACACTAGCCGGATCATACATATCCGCGAGTCGTTTGATCAGGAACGCTCCCACTAGTTGGCACACCTCTGCCCCATCAAAACTTCCCGTCGTCACATCGAATAGGCTCTGCCTGTCTTTCTTGGCCCACACCTTGCCATTGGCAAATAGCAGCGACGTTCGTGCGTGGAGAATTACGTCGATGTCGCACTGGGGAATGGGAGTGAATTGGGCGGCGAACTCGAGAGCCATTTCGAGTAGCTGCTCCGAGATGGACGGGTAGACTCGACTATGTCGAAGCTGACAAACGAGTAATGCTCCTTGTCCTGTATTCCCTTGAACCACTGGATCACCTCGGCGGAGTTTTTCCACAAGTTGGTCTTGGTGTGGCTCTGAACTGCCCAGATGATGCGGTCGAGAATCGCCTTGCTGATGACGCCAACCTCTGTTTTAGCGGGGTTTATGAGCCGGCATGGGAGGGCTTGAGTGAAATTCTCTTTGTGCATTGTGATCCTCGAGTGTCAGAAATGCACCTGACTTTGCGAGGACATCCATCCTGTCTGCGACGTCTCGGTCTGTGGCGATTTCTCTGGCCTCCGTGTTTATTTCATTGTAGGCTCCCTCTGGTGCTGATTGGTAGTTTCATTACCCATACTTGTAGATTTAGACACAAGCCCAGACTACTTGCTGCTTGGAATTTTATTTTACCCTACGTGTCACTGTCTTTTCCAGGTATCAATCATTACTAGCAGGTTGACGCTCTTAGTTTCAGGATTATCCCAATACACAGAGGCAATATGCTTTGGTTCTGCAAGAGTGCTCAATGCCTGATTCAGGCAGAGCGGCGTACACAAAGGCACACAATGAAAACCTTGGCAAATTTTATTCCGGAATAAAATTTGCCAAGGTTTTCATTGTGTGCCTTTGTGATTATCCCAATAGACAGTTGTTCTTCTGATAAGACCTGTCAAGGTCGAAATTGGTAGCACTTCTGAAGTTGATTGATTTTTATTGTCATTTTTGTAGATCGTTCGTGGTGGCCATGGTAACCCAGAAGAAAAGAGTTCTTATTCTCGCTTCAAAACATTCAGTTAGAATGATTGGAATAAATACATGGAGATGCCAATAGCAAAGTGGCGTAAAAGTAACACAAAGTGACACAAATCCTAATTTTGTATCCGGTTGCCATGGTAATTATAGACAATTTCAATCGCAATTGTCACCACCTTTCAGAAAGTTCTGAGAATGACAACAAGTGGTAGGGTGATCTACACATGGCCCTCTATCATATGAGCGAAAAAATCGTGGTACACCCAAAGTGGGAACGGTAAGTCACATTTTGCCCACTTGGCTCCTGTACTATTGCATTCACTCGGCCTTTTTTCTTGCCTCCCTCTCCCGTCTGAACTTGAGAGCTGCGTATATCGGATCGTTTCCTTCGTGTATTCTCTTGTAGATTGTATCCTTCAAGTCGGGCGAAAACAGGACGTGTTCTGCAAAAGTCTTGCTGGACACGAGATACGTTCGCTCTGCTGCCTCCTTTGGATCGGTGTCTCTGGTGCTCGCTGCATGGAGGCAATACAAAGAGACACGCACAGCAAATCAAGTTCAGACTCTGAAGTAAACGAACAAAGCAAAGACTGTAGCCAGTACAAAGCCACCCAATGTTGTTGGGTGCTTATTGTCTGGTGCGGGACTGCCACAAACTTGTTGCATGTGCTTTAATCACACGCTTACATGCATATTAGCAGCCACCAGGTACAGTACTATTACTCCTACTTCAGTACAAGTACTTCCTCCGTATACAAAAACTTCGTGACTTTTTTTCAACGGTATTTTTGAGCAAGGACCTGCTCAACGAACGGCGCCAAAGGCTGTCATCGACAACGCACATTCATGTTGAGGTAGGTTTGGGTGATCTCGAACAGATTCTCCACGGAAGCCATGCGTGTGAGGACGTTGCCGACAGGAACTCACGAGTCAAATAACAAAAACACTAACACTTACTTGCTCGAAACTGACACCGTGACGAAGTGGAGCTCGCGTCTGGAGCACGGAGTCACGACTCACGCGGCACTCGCTGCCCTGAAACTGGCCAGGCTCGTACTTGCGGTGCGCAGCCCCATACGCAGCGTGAGAACATAAATCGGTTCCGCTCGCACGGAAAGATGAAACATTTCAGTCGTCGTGCAACCAGCACAGACTCCGGATCGGAATGTCGACGACCTGGCTTTCTTCGCCTCTCTCCACTCCAGTCAGACGTCTCCGTTGTGGCCTAGGAGGGGAATCGCAGGGACCTCGTCGAAGCCGTTGTAGAATGCTGGGAGGATTCTCCTGCCGAGAAAATGCGAAGCGTGTGGATGTGCTTGAGCGACTCGTTTCACGGCATAATGGAGGTCGCGGGCTGGAACGACTGAATATAGTCGACACCGATTCGTACACAGCTCTGGAAATGAAGAGTACGCTAGCCAAAGTCCCGGGTCGGATCATCATTGCAGCTGAAAAGAATCTGAACGAAATGCGAGCGAAGCAGCGACTTTTGGCGATGCGGAGTCAGCGTCGTCAGGTGATTATGACAGGAGCGACGAAGACTCTGAATAAACTCAATCTCATTCGCCTGAGTTGCTTTTGTCTTTGTATATAGCTTGTAAACAGGTTAGACAATGCCACGAGTGTTATTCCAAGTCAAACTGAACAATTCCAGAGCTATGCGCAGCCTTCAAAAAAAAGTCACGAAGTTTTTGTATACGGAGGAAGTAAGAAGTAACACATACAACGAAGAACAACATTTGTTTACTGTGCAAGCAGAAATATTCATCTAGAAATTTATTTTCATTGTTCTCGTCCGAAGAGTTTTCGAACTAAATGATTGTATCACAGGATGAAATGTCAATGTGTCTAGCCTTTCCGTACATTTTAAATGTGTGCGGACACGATTTCAACCAAACAATCTGGCTTTCCTTGAAGTTGGACGAAATATTCACCGACTAAATGACGATATCTGCTTTCATATACAGTATAGTGTACAGTCCACTCTGACAGAATAGTCACGCTGCTTTTTGAACCCCGGTTTGTAGCCGAAATCGGGCTCAGACCCACGTGTCATAATAAAAAAAAGTTTAGGACCTGCTGCTTCTCCATACAAATATTTTGCCATGATACCTGCCCTAAGTTTGTAAAATCTGGCCGAAATTCTAACTCCCTGACCGTAGACTTTTCTGACGTCTAAGCGGCAAGGAAAAATTGAACTAGTCACACAATGCAGGATGTCCTGTCGTTTTTAATATCTATCACAATACGTGTGATCAGTAGGACTAGTGCGACTTCATGAATAATAGCAGTCTAGGCTTGTTGGTTTGGCACGAAGGTACCGTAAAAGTCCGTAAATAAGTACGTATTTGTTTTCGAAATTAGTGGTCGCACCCGTACTTACTTTCGGGCGGGTACTGACTTTCGGGCACGAACTTACTTTCGGACCCGACTTGCGCGTACTGGAGAGGTCACTTTTATCCAGTGCTTGTCGTACAATCGCATACATGGTACATGCATACATGCAGCACCGGTGACACAGTGACACAGTGCATGTACTTATGTACTGTACCTGTAGACCGGGACTTCTTTCGGGCGCACTTTCTTGACAAGCGCGAACGAAGTTTCTGACTACCTATCACAAGTACAAGCGGAGTTCGTTTCATGTTTGTCAGTGAGTTACGCGAGTGCGACGAACAGACATGGATCGAAGAGAGAGGGTTGCTGAGAGAGAGAGTTTTTGGAGGATTTTGACGATGATATTGAGTGGGATGACGAAAGTGATGATGAAGCCGGTGCAGAGGACGAAGAACGTGATGATGTTGTTGCAGTGGATGTACGAGCGCCTCCAGCAAGAGAGAACATCGCCGGCAGTGCTGACTCGAAGAAATCGTTCAGCCGAGAAAAGAAACTTTCCGTACTTACCTGGATGCGGAACAAGAAGGCCAGCAAAGGAGAGACTGCTCGGCATTTCGGCCTGCCACATCACAACTATATCAGTCGCTGGTTGGCGCAAGAGCAGAAGCTGCTACAGGAATCGCACGGAGCTCGGAGCATTGGCTCAGGACGAAAAGCTCAGTGGCCTCAGCTCGAAGAACGCCGAGTTTCGAACAAAGCGCGACGCCGGCATCAAGGTAAAGGGCTGGTGGTTCGTGACGAGGGCGAAGCAGCTGTTTCGTGAGCTGTACCCTGCAAAAGGTGGAGACGACGACACCATCCCGTTCAAAGTTTCAATGCATTGGTTTCGGCGATTCCAAAGCAGATGGAACGTCTCGTTGCGGGCGACGACGAACAGAGCGCAGGAGGAACCCGAGAGAAAACTTGTACTTGTCCGTAAGTTCCATACCGACATCCGCTCAGCTGGAGAGTTCGAGAAGAAGAACATCGCTAATATGGACCAGACGCCTCTGCCCTTTGATCTGAATGTGCGCAAAACGTACGCGGAGAAGGGCAGCAAAACTGTTTGGTGTCGTAGTGTGGGAGGCTCAGTCATGGATAAGCGCGAGGCAACTGTTCAGCTCACCATATACGCCGATGGTGAACCCCGCGTTAAGCCCCTCATAATCTTCCGGGGCACTGGACAGCGTATCACACAGCAGGAGAAGCAGCAGTATGATCATCGTGTGACTGTTCACTTCCAGGAGAACGCCTGGTGTGACGAGAGTGTCTTCCTTTTCTGGGCACGGCATATGTGGCCGCGCGACGTTGCGACAGAAAAGCTTCTCGTCATTGACAGCCAACGGGCCCAGATGACAGCTAGGGCGAGGACAGCGCTGAAGGAGGAGTGTAACACCGCTGTCGTCTACATCGGAGGTGGACTTACCTCAACCCTGCAGCCTCTTGACGTGCTATTCAACAAGCCGTTCAAGCAAAGAGTCGATGACTTGTTCAATGAGCACCTGTCATCTCACCTCGACGAGTATGTGCAGGGTACCGTTCCTGCAAAACGTCGTCGTGTCCTCATGACGAAGTGGGTTGGCCAGGCGCGGGCCGACGTCAGCAGGTCGCTCCGTTCCGCCGTGCAGGAATCATTCTTGTCCACAGGCATTGCTGTCGCTGTGGACGGAAGTCAGGATGAAAAGATCAAGCTTCGAGGTCTTCCTGACTACACGTATGCCGCACCAGCTGCTGATTGAAGATGCTTCATGAACTGCCAAGAAAGTGTGCCCAATTAAAAACCTCCATGGATATTGTGTGTGTGCGTGCATACAGTGAGGGGGAGGGGGGGGGGGGGAGGGTACATTTTTCGGGCAGTATTCTAATCGGGCTAAATCTGCCTGCAGCAGACACCGTTAAAAAAAGAGGGGGGGGGGGTATTATTTTTGGGCACGTACTTATTTACGGACTTTTACGGTAGTAAACTAGTAGTTCAATACATCCGTACATTTGCATAAGTTGTGTTTTGCGGAACTGTACGCTATGCCTTAGGTTATCACTACTGTAGGGTTTCATTTTATCAACTACATTTCACGCTTGTTAGGTTTCTCACACTCAGTGCACCTCACACTTGCACCTTTTTGGAGCCGACACGCTGTATGACGCTTTACGTGCGAAACCTTTCAGATGATGTAGAATAAGAGTGTGTGTAGCAGTGAGTTTTCCTCTCTCGCTGTAGCGTTTTAGATTCGTGGCGAAGAAGTGAAGAATAGTGTTTGCTATTACTACAAGACTTGTTGCGTGGTGTGCGTGCGGGTTGAGATCACCGAGGGTTCTCACCAAGGTGCGAAACACCAAGTCCAAAAGGTTAGGGCGAGAGTTTTGGATGAATGGACTGTAAGCCCACACAATTTTTCTATGGTTTGTGTACCTGTGCGAGAGTGCGCTCACGATACACAGTCCTGAGTGTCTCACCAATGCACAGGAAGCCACCGCTACAGCAGCTACGCAGTCTGATCGAAAGCGGGTGCTGCTGCGCATGCCACACTCATAGCTGTGCGTATCCAGGACAGGACGTGGCACCCAGTCACCATACAGTGATACAACTAAACTTCTGGACAGCTAGGCATGTGTCATGTACATGTACAGCCCGTGCCAAAAATTCCATACAAATCACCACCGGGTCACTGATCACATCTGTGCTACACGCACACGACGCCAAGAGTAAATAAGTTCCCAACACTGCAACTCTGGACACAGGGTCCCTAACAGTGAAAATTCACATCATGTGTTCCAAGTATGATTTGTACTACCAAGAGTACATGAAAACCGGAGTGTGCAGCTCGGATGGGTTGCTGTCACGGCGGAATTCCGTGATTACATCATTTTAGTGATGTAGTGCGTACAAGCAGGGTTCAAGCAGGTCCCTTTCTGCACAACTGCAGCTCAGTTGTACACACTACGCCATTTCCCGCCTCAGATCTGCGCCAAATATGATGTAATCACGGAATTCCGCCGTGACAGACACCCATAGCAGAAAAGGCCATGATCATGCTGATGACTCGCATAAAGCTGAGCGGGTTTCTGTCCGGAGTGCTATTTTAATTTTTTCAGCTCCACTGATCACTAAAAGCGGGCTGGCAACAAACAACGGGAACACTACACCACATGATGTGAGTTTTCGCTGTCGGCGGACCCCATAGAAAAGGTATCAAGAGTTGCACATTCTTTGGAGCTTATGACGTACTCTTGGCGATGCAGCGCTCATTTCGATCGCGGTGCGTTAACTCGGTGTCAACCCAAAGTGATTCGTTCGGATTTTTCTGGACTTCACTGCACAGGTGTCTGATGGCTTTTTTTCAGCGTGGCTTAGGGTGCGTTCTTAAATCCTCTCGGAAAAGTTCGAGAGCTGTTCTTATATCCTCTCCGAATTTTAGGAGGCTCTCCAAACTTCAGAGGCGGTTGAAATTTGGAGATTCCTGCGGTTTGGGATCAGCGCATATGAACTACAGCTAAAAGCCACGTGTTGATCATGAGTGTACGCATCTCTCCTTTCGAATACGCACAATGCGTACAACATTTGTGGCACTCAAGATCGTGGCCCCTTTGGCGCTTCATATTGCTTCACATGTGCAAAATATCTCCGAATTCTTCGAGACCCGTTCTTAACCCTTTGAGCACGCATGACGTATTAATACGTCACGTACAGTGTCACTGCACCCACGCGTGACGTATTATTACGTCGTGAGTGTACATAGCGTACAAACGCGATTTGCATGAACCCCGTGAGTTCAAACTATCGTAACTCGGTCAATTCTTGGCCGATTCTCACGATCGAAATATGTATCTGCAAGAGAAAACTCTCAGCTTGCGATAGAAACAATCGCCGAAGCGATACGACCCCGGGTTGTTGAGATATGCGACTCGACACGGCAAATTCAAATCGATTTTTTTGCGAACTCTGCAGAACGCGTATTTTCCATTTTCGATCATTTTCGTGCTATCTGCTGCCATGGAAACTAGATTCAAATGATGGCAGCGGATCTGGGGAGTCCTCAAAAAAAATTTGAGCTCGATACGAGCAAGGAGAGTGAAATGGCAGCTGAGGATTTGATCTCCTGGCCGTGCTCAAGTCTGTCGAGCGCGTGCGTGAAGTTTGCCAGACTGTAGCATGGGCTTTTGGTGTCGCTCCGAGCTGAGCTTGGAACTATTTTGTTCCTCGCCTCAAGACCTTTGCAGGAAGCTCAAGATCGTGGAATTCGTCCAAAGAAAGGTAAAGTTTCGATCCTTGAACAGCTACTACTTTCATAGGAAAAACGCGATTTTTGCAGGTGTTGGCGTGGGGCGGCATTCAGGTAGCGTCGTGCTCAAAAGGTTAAATTATACCAGTTTCTTCGACTTCTCTTTTTCCTTCTCCAAGAAGCTAGAGAATATAAGAACGCACCCTGCATCTGCGCCTTGATCCTAGAGGGCGGTGGCATTCCTGCGGATGCGGAAAACTCGGCCTGCCGAGTCTCACCCGAACCGCGATTTTTTTGTGAGGCGAAACATAGAAAAAAACTGGTGCGGCCTGAATGAAAAACGCACATTCTCTACTCCAACAACAGCTAGAGCATAAGAGTGTCTGAGGAACTTACGCATTCCCGGGGGGTCATTCACTTCCGGTGGGAGGGGTACAACGGCTCCTGTACGTGTAGATACACGTGTTGGCGTACCGTCTTCCAGGTACGACAACTCTGTTATGCACGGCTTGCTGCAACACAAAAGAAAAGGTGCACACATAGCCATAGAGTCACACACACGCGTGCGTGCGCGCGCGCGCACACACGCACACACACACACACGCACGCATGCATGCGCGCATGCACACACACAAACACACACATGCAGGCCAGGAATGCAAAATCTCACCCAACCAGCACAGCGGGATACACGGAATAATAGCGCTAGAAATTAGAAGAAACAGGCTACCACTAATATCGCACAGATGATTGCCAATGTATATTTCACTTTATCTATACCTGTGTAACAAAAAGGAAATGTTGGCAGGTTCAAGGACGAAGAGCGAAGACTGACACTTACTTGTCCGAGTGATCAACAAGAGCAACTTGGTGCCAATCTAGGGGCTTCTCCTCATGGTAGTGTATTGTCTTGCCCTTGTCAGTGTGTTCCATGAGTTTCTACAGCAGGGTGCAGGAAAGAGACACGCCACAATTCAAAGAATTTCAACACAGAACACACATACTGATGAGCAACAAAGACACCACGCACCTCCTCGCTGTACCTCATGTATAGACTGCACCCCCCCCCCCCCCCCCCCCCCCCCCCGGTTTGCTCTTATGGTGTGCTTGGACATGCCGTCCAGGCCGCATGTAAGTACAGATTTGGTCAAGATCGTAACCGTGACGAAATTTGTACTTATTTCAAGACTGTCAAGCAGTGATGGTCAGCAGAGGTTCACATATTGCAAAGAGTACATGAAACCTAGCAAGGAATATCACCAGACCACTGCCAAGGCCAAGCAGCTATACACTGTGGCAAGAGTACACGAGCCCAGAGTGTGCAGCTAGCTTGAATTGGTTGCTGTCACGGCGAAATTCCTATATTCACGTCATTTTAGTGATGCAGTGCGTACAAGCAGGATTCAAGCAGATCTGCTGCTGCACAACTGCACCAGAGTTGTACGCACCGCGCCACTTCCCGTTGCTTATCTGCATTAAAGGGGAAGTTAAGGCAAAAATTAAAATTTCACCAGTTGTAGTCTTCGGGGTGCTGAGTCGAATGGTCTTGGTCCGAGAAAGCTGAGACGCTCCCTTCCTACTTGAATCCCAATCGAACTCGCGCACTTCCACCGAAACTGGGTGACTGCGCCCTACTAGATGGGGATTTGTATGCAAAATGTCACTAAAAGCGCCGTTTCGTTCTTATAAAAGCACGGATGACCGCGATTGGCCCATATGTTGTAGTCTTTTGGACGCTGAGTCGACTGGTTTTGGTCCGAAAAGGCTGCGATGCAGCGTTCCTCCTTTATTCCCAATCGAACATGGTTGAACAAGTGGTCACGTGCTCCTGGGTGCCTAAATCACCTGGTCACCACGCCAGCAGGCGACAACTTTCACACCAAGGTTCAACTCGAGTTCAACTCGAGTGACAGGACTGCACCCAAAAAAGGTCAAACAGGCTAGTAAGTTGTACCCTGCAGGCACTGTGACCAGCTGACTGGTGTACGCAGGAGCACGTGACTGCTGGTTCAACCATGTTCGATTGGGAATAAAGGAGGAACGCTGCATCGCAGCCTTTTCGGACCAAAACCAGTCGACTCAGCATCCAAAAGACTACAACATATGGGCCAATCGCGGTCATCCGTGCTTTTATAAGAACGAAACGGCGCTTTTAGTGACATTTTGCATACAAATCCCCATCTAGTAGGGCGCAGTCACCCAGTTTCGGTGGAAGTGCGCGAGTTCGATTGGGATTCAAGTAGGAAGGGAGCGTCTCAGCTTTCTCGGACCAAGACCATTCGACTCAGCACCCTGAAGACTACAACTGGTGAAATTTTAATTTTTGCCTTAACTTCCCCTTTAACTATGACGCAATCCAGGAATCTCGCCACGAGTTCATGACAGACACCCACGCAGAAAAAGTCACAAGCTGAACAAACTTGGTTTCATGTACAGTTGAACATCGATTATCCGCACATCGACTATCCGACCATTCGATTATCCGTAACAGTTTTTTTGGGCGCATGTGCCGTAGAGTACGCACTGTGCTTGTAGTGAGCCATTCAAAAAATACGAAAATTTTGAAAAGTAAAAAGGTCGTGCGGCTAGTAATAACCACTTCGACAGTTTTGGATATTCTCCCCGTTTCGACAGTTTGGGATATTCTTGACAATGGCTGCTCCACCATCAAAGCGGAAGCGCATTGTTCTGTCGATTGATGAGAAGTTGAAGGTTTTGGACAGTCTGGCTGATGGAGCTTCACTTGCTGCTATCGCCCAAAAGTTTGGTGTTGGTCGCAGCACTGTTTCCGACATCAAAAAGCAGGCAACAGATCTTCGTGCTCACAAGGAGCAAATCGTTGAGATGGGAATGAAGCGAGATTCCAAAGTCACCCGGTTAGGTAATTTCCATGAGTTGGAGAAGGCGCTTTACATCTGGTTTTGCCAGAAGCGCTCCGAAGGTATTCAGGTGTCCGGTCCGGTGCTCTGCGAGAAAGCAAACTCTCTTGCAAAACTTATTTACGGTGATGCATCGACGTTTGTCGCGAAGGATGGCTGGAAGTGGCGCTTCACTCAACGATATGGCATCCATTGTTTGGTAGAGCATGGAGAGAAGCAGGCGGCGGATCGCCCAGCAGCTGACGAGTTTGTGACGACTTTCCGCCAGTTTGTAGAGGATGAAAACCTCACTAGCGAGATGCTCTTCAACTGCGATGAGACTGGCCTCAACTTTCGGCTTCTTCCCCGGAAAACACTCGCCACTGCTGCTGAGAAAACTGTGGATGGGAGTAAGTTGTCCAAGGAACGTGTAACGCTGAATGTCTGCTCCAATGCTGCTGGGACCTGTAAGATTCCTCTCCAAATGATTGGCAAGTCGCAGCGTCCCAGGTGCTTCCGTAATGTGCAACCCGACCTCATTCCAGTTGAGTACACTGGCCAGAAGAATGCATGGATGACCACAGCGATTTTCGTGACTTGGTTCAACGAGACGTTGGTGCCCCGAATCCGTGAGCACATGACATCGATTGGTGTGACCCCTGCCAGAGCCTGTCTGCTGCTGGATAACTGCCCAGCCCATCCGAATGCCGAAGAGCTGGTCAGTGATGATGGCTTGATCTACGCCAAGTACCTGCCCCCAAACGTCACCAGTTTGATCCAGCCAATGGACCAAGGAGTGATCCAGAACATCAAGACAAGGTACAAGCACAAGCTCCTCCGCAAGTTGGTCATTGAGGATGAAGCAGGGGTGTCTCCAAAAGACTTCATCAAGACGATTGACCTGAGGACGGCAGCAGATTTTGTGGGCGAGGCATGGGCTGGTGTTCCAGCAAGGACACTGCAGAGGTCATGGCGGAAAATCATTCCTGACATTGAGCGAGCTGATGATGTCCCTGGTCCTGCACCAACTCCGTCTTTGGGTGAGATCCAGCAGGAGGTGGAGCAGATACTGACATCCATGGGTTCTGATGAACCGGAACAGGAGGCAGCTGAGTACCTGGACACGGAGGAAGCTGATCCTGGGTACCAGCTGATGACCGACGAGGAAATCTGCCAATCCGTTCTGCAACAACCTGAGACTGAAGCAGGAAACTCAGCACAGGACTCAGAGTCAGAGGATGAAGTGGAGCTTGTTCGTTAGCCAGCAGTGTCACACTCCTCAGCTGCAGAGATGCTGGACAAGTCTTGTGGCTTGAGGAGCAACCGGAGGCGACTGCAACTCAACTTGCTGTTCTCCGTGAGCTCCGAGCTATGGCGTGCAAAAAGCGCATGTCTTCTCTTCAGCAGCGCACTATCACTGACTTCTTTCATCAGTGAGATTCGGACATGAACTGGAAATTGGTTTGCTTTGGGCATTGTTGCAATTACGCAATGCACACATACAGAGCTGTGATGGTGATCTCCGTTGTTCTGCATGCATTGATATGAGATAGATGAAAGTGTGTGAGTTTTTTTCTTATCCGGAACATTTGCCTTATCTGAACACCGCCTGACTGCCGTCTGCCCAGAGGTGGTCGGATAATCGATGTTCAACTGTAGTGGGCTGGAGTACATCGTCATGCAAAAATGCAATTGTGCATGCGGTAGCTAAGTGCGAGTGCAATGTGTGCACCCACACAAAAGTAAACTCTGAACAAAACTAACAAACTATTAAAGGTAAGATACTGTAGAACTACTGCAAAACGTTTACTTCGGTGAAAGTTTCCACAGTAGTCCTCGAGCATACGCACCCAATGCCAAATTGGCTGGGCTTGCTGCTACAGTTGGGAGGGGAGTGGAAAGCCTGTTGCCACTTTGAGGATCACGTTTCCACGGATCAGTCGTAATGACAAAGGATACCACATCCCATCAGGTTCGGATTAAAAGTTGCTCGATCCTAACCGATCCACACCGGGGTGACATTAGTAACATTTCGTGTCTGTAGCAACCGCTTTAACGGCACACAAACCAAGTCCCAACCAACCCACAACATTTTGACTGTATCGAAGAGCATTCACGTCTCATGCCCCTTATCTCTCCTCCCCTCCCACCGCTCTTATAATCTGTCATATGAACAATAGTCTTGATATGCGCACATTCCACAGGCTACATATTTCTGTACGCAATTCTTCACATGAGAACACATGCGGCATATATTGGCTCTACAAAGCATCAACAAGGTGCCAGATAAAGATATAGAACAAAATTGATCAACTTACTGTGTTTCTTCCTGTTATGTAAATCCATCTCTTCTGCCAGAAGATGTCACGAACTATACCAGTTCGCCCTTTGTCTGGTCCTTCCAAAATATGTACCTTCAGAAAAATACATGCAGTTACCATCAACACACATTGTTCAGCAATGTTCTTTCTCTTCTGGGTCGAATACTAAATGTTTGCGTACCAAGTCTCCGACGAAAATGTTGAAATCACCATCATTAGGACGATAGTGCAGTTTTTTGAAGAAAGCGTCGTGCCTTGGGTCCTTGTTTCCCTGTTCCAGGAATAGAGCTTTAGCACGAGACAAGCCCTCCCTGACTGTCCCAGGGAAACGAGTCAATCGGTTGAACCGAGACATGATTGTAAAGTAGATCACAACATTTTCAATCTGACTGCAAGAATAACAATAATTTTCAAGAGACAGAATAATATCTGCAGAGAAATCAAAATTAATAATTAATTCGCGAAAGCAGATGCAAAAAATAATTGTTGTGCGAAAAATAAACATAAAAATTCAGGGCTCACAGTCCAATACAAAAGCGTGGAGTCGCGCACGGCTTTGCGCGATTGTCACGTGATGACAAGTGACCAATCACAGGCCTCTATTCTCCTCCATTCTCAAATCTTTGATCCAGTCCACTACATCGGCCCTGATGTCCACGAAGCTGGTATTCGCTGTGCTGATTCAAAACCCCCAAACTCAGTGATCTACCGCAGCGTTTCACCATTTTCCCTTCAGTTTTCCGGCACGGATTAGCCAAAGTCTGGTCGTTTTGGCTTCGATTTCGGCTCAGCAATCGGAAAAGTGATCGGTAAATGTCTGGAGAATTCCACGCTGAAAAAAATAAGCCATAGATGATCAAAATCCGCCAAGAATGAGATGTAGTGGACATTTTTGAGTGAGTGCCACTCAGGGCGCAGAACGCCAAAAGTGCAAAAGCAGCACCAAAAATTCAAAAATATGTCTTGACCAAAACAGCAGCAACAAGAACAACAACAAAATGATTCGCTGTACTCACCTTCCAGCAGGCCAGGGAGTCATTCCTCGGATAAGGCAGGGAAGCTCCTCTCAGCAGCGTTGGCCTGTGCAGATTTCTTTCGGCCAGGATCATGGCGGACGGAGTGGCACTTGCCCTTCTTCTCCAGGGCGATCATTCTCTGCTCGTGGTCTTGTCGAGGCTTGTGGCGCTCCAGGGCGTTCCTGTAGGTCTCAGGTGCTGTCAGAGCTCTACCAGAGTGGTCGCTGGATACTGTTTTCCTCAAAGTCTCTCTGGCTTGCTGAAGACGCTCTGCCGTGATGGTGCTTGAGTATTCCAGCATTTGCTTTCTGACGTGCTTCATGGACGCTTTGGTAACTCGCGTTGTGGTACGAGCACCTGCGGAGAGATTCTTGTAGAGCTGGAGTCGATCTGCTGTGGAGTGAAGCACATTCTCTACAAACAGATGTGTGGCCTGCTTCGACGCTTCGGACTCGTTCGGATGGACGTAGATATCCGCAACATTGAACTGGCGTTCTGCGATGACATTATTCACCGGAATGGCGAAGACATGCTGCTTGTGCCACTGCCAAAGGTGAGGCTCGGAGGTGCTTGTAGGCACAGTACCAGAGCTGCAGTCCGCCAGTGCTCGGATCTCAGTTGCCATTGCATCGGGAATGGGCCAACGCTGCATCCACAACTGCATTTCGGCTGCCTCTCCCGCAACTAGCGCCAACAGCTCAAACTCCTGGAACCACCGTTGGCTTGTGCTGCCAAGAAGATACTGCTGGCGGTCCAAGATTCCCTCCTTGCAGCAGGCCGCAACAAGATGCTCCACGGACTTCAGCTTCAGTGCAGCGTTAACCAGATTACTGTACAGGGATGTGGCATACTGCGGTGTCTGGGATGCCGCTACAGATGGCATTGCACCGTGTGTGAAGGTGTGGATGTTCGAAATTGGATTTCCGAGCACACGTAAGACCGCCCGCCAGAACAGATGCCGTGTTTCTGTGTCTGCTCCAGAAGCGAACAGGAGAGGGAAATGGTGCCACCGACAGCCATGCTTCACGAGCGCATCCTTCACTGCCGTGAACATTGCCTTGTGTGTGCAGGAGAATATTTCCTGGTCACCATCGTTCAGCGCTGCCTTGGAATTCTCCGTCAGTGGCAGTGCAAAGGCTGGGTATTCCAGCATCAGCTGTGCCATGTTGATGTCAGCAGTGACTTGCCTTGGCCACATCCTTGCCAAATACCCGGAGCTGAAGTTCAACTCGGTATCACCGATTTGACACTTCTCCAGTCCGGGCATTATCAGGCGATCCAGCAACTCCAGGAGCATCGTCCGTTGCGCCGCAAGCCGGTCATTGGCTGCCATCTCAACGATGTTGCTCCATATGGAATAGTGAGTTTCACTGACCGGCAACCTCTCCAGCATCTTCTTCCCCAGCTTCACACATGCCGTGCCATACTTCGCCCACCATTTCAGGCTGGCGTGGATGTAGCTCCACCTCGTTTCTACGAATTCTTGCGGCAGTGGAGGTGGCTTCGGCAGGATGTGCTCACTAACGTACAAGGCCTTGTAGTAGGTGGGTTTCTGGTGGTGAATGTAACCGACCTTGTAGTGAAGCTGGAAGAGGTTGAACTCCATCATGGTTCCGCGTTGTCCCAGCCCTTCACTCATGCCATTCCGCAAGGCAATGTTCAGTATGTGGGGATAGCATCCCACGAACACTGTGGTGTTGCCGAACATGCGGCCAAGCTCAACAGCTTGTCCTTTCTTTGCTCCTGATTGGGTTGATGCATTGTCTCCAATGACCGCTGAAATGGTTTGAACTTTGTAAACATCATGCACAATGTGGTGGTCGACCTGTGCCTGGTCTTGGCCACTCCCTGATGCTACGATTGTGTTTGCCAGGACATAAGCAATTGGGCTCTGCAATTTATCGCACCACGTGTGGATGCCAACCATATGGCGCTCCTCACCGCGTTTGTTGCTGTCGTCAGCAAAGACGTGCGTGTCGTAAACATTAGAGGCCAGTTTCTCTTGGAGCAGCGCTTTGTCAACTTCTGCTAGCAAGACATTCCAATCAGCAATTGTCGATGGAGAGACTGAGGTACCCAAGTTTGCCGTTGGCTCTTTTCCTGTTAGCAATACATGTGACAGTGACAATGCTTGTGCCATCTTCTGGTTGCTTAGCAAGCATGCCATTTTCATAAACCGTGCCTGTGCCATGAAGTCTGGCGTGTGTGTGCTCGTAGTAGTACCGTCCATCAAGCTCGACCGTATGCAAATTGGTTTTGTGTCTGGTATTCTCTTCTCTATTTCATGGCGTTCCCTTTTGTGTTTCGTTGCTGCACTTCTGGCACCGCGAAGAGCATTGGCTTGTTTCTTGATTCTTTCCTTCTGCCTTTCTAATTTCTGCTCAGCCGATAAAAGCAGATTCTGCATGGTACTATTTCTTGCTTTAAGCTGCTCTAGTTCGTTCTGCAAATCTGCCGATGACCTCGTGTCGGCCATGTCTGATGGTGGACTGAGTGCATTACTTTGTATGGTGGGTTTTTCTCCACATCCAGCGTCATCACTTACAGTTTGACTTTGTGCTGCCTCCTAGTGAATGTGGGCAAAAAAGGAAACGCACAGTGACAAAATATGTTTGTTCCATTTTATTTACAATCTATTAATTATTTACTTTAGCGACGGTGTTTGGCTGAGATTTTGTTGGTACCTGAGCATCCTCTGAAATGGAGATACTTCCAGCAAGTATATCTGACTGAGGACATGACGCCGACACGACAGGGATGACTTCCTCTTCGCACGGTATCAGAGGACTTAGCTGCTGCGGCACATCGAGAGCCTGAGGCTCCTCACTACATGTACGTGTACTACTGCTAGTGTTAGGTGTTTTGACCTTCTTCGCAGGGGTTCCGAAACGACCAGAGTTTGACGATCTCTTTCGGGATTTCGGATAGTCGAGCTCCAACAATCCATAAGCTGTACGGTTCTTTGATGCCATCGAAAACTCCGAGTCCCAAGGCTCGGACGATGCGAACGCCAGCGCAAGGGGAAAGTGCAAGAGGAAATAGGAAAAGTCGAAAAGACGCCGATCGCGTGAGAACGGGAACTGAGCCGCCGAGGCCGCAGCACGCGCGGTTCACGCGAGCAGTCCACGCTTTTCGTGATTTGGCATGCCGGCTGTGAGCCCTGAAATTACGACAGAGAATGTATCCCCGGCCCCGATCCTACCATTAACCGGTGTGTACATGTACAATTGTACATAGAGTGTGGTTATTACTATTACTATTAGTCAATCCTGGGTTTTTGTCTGGATCATGTCCGCACGGCGTTGCTCTCAAGCATCAGGTGAGAAACAGAACTGAGCTGCATAACACGTTCTAGCAAAATTAATATCTTTAAATACCTCCATATAAAAAAAGCTCGGAGAAAAAGTTACTGCAGTACTTGTAGTTGTAGTTCAATTTTACGAGTGTCAAGAATGGCATACATGTATACACATCCTGGGAAATCTATCGCGAGAACCAACAACACCCTATGTATACGTATCAAGTGACTATCAACCCTACCAAGAGTACATAACACCCGGGGGTTATGTACTCTTGACCCTACGTATTAACTCCTAGCTTTTACATTACATAATAATGTCATTGCAGTTACACTATTCCATGATGTAGTTGTATGCTGTGTGCAATTAGGGAGTCAGGCAGTCTTGGGTCACTCGGCGCCTGTGATAAGATAAAAATAATAGAGGCATGAGGGATTGTGTGTGAATTCCACAGTAAAGCACGCCAGCTACTATCAAGCCCACATCGCAGAGTATGCATTTCGTTATTATGAGGCAGAGCCGAGGTGCTAGGCGAGGAAACCTTTGTGTTATTTTTTTGCCGTCAAGGTACAGTCGAATGTCACTTATCCGGACGCCAGTTATCCGAGCACGTCGGTTATCCGACAAGCCCGGGAGTGGTAATTTTATGACTCTCCACAGTCAAATTCTAAAAATACATAAAAACAAACTTTTTTTGTATATTATACGGTGTAATATGCATTTGCTTGAAGTAGATGTGGTCAAGTATGCTACCATGTATGTGTGCATGGAATATGCATGAATATATTTGGGTATTGTGTACATAAATCAGTGAAATCCAGCCATATATGCACATAAAAAATGATATCAGTTATCCAACATATTCAGTTATCCAACATGCCTGATTCCCGAAGTGGTCGGATAAGTGACATTCGACTGTACATGTATCAAGAGTGCATACACAAGACTATGCAACTGTGGTTATGGATCAGTGCGCGGCGCGCTGCCTTCATTACGTAACTTGCCTCGATCACGCTCTGAAAGCATGCACTCAAACCCACAATTTCTCGTACGAGCCCATCCGCTTTTGCTCGATTCGTTCCAGTCTAAGAAAAACATCTCCTCTCTTCCTTGCTTACCGCCATTGGTCTCTCCTCCCACAACATCTAAAATCCTGCCAATGTTACAATACATTCACACAGCTACTGCAGAATGCAACATACTAGTTGATATCCAGCCCTGCCCTAGCTTCTCCTGCTATTCAGTTCCCCTTTCGTTCTTTTTCTTTCTCCCCTCTAGCTCTATTACCGCCATGGCTGGCTATCGCCCACATCACCATTTCATTGGCTAGTGCCACGTGATTGTGAATAAATAAATAAAAAATAAATAAGCGATCTCTATTTTGGCGCATGAGCTCAAGTTCCGTACGAAAGTTCATTTCCAATCAGAGGGAAAGTGTGGTGTTTGAGTTTCTGCAATGCGCCGACTGCAGCTGAATGATGTAATGAAGGCAGCGCGCCGCTCATCTGGCCTATAGAAAAGAGATCACAGTTGCATATGTGTTTCACAGTTGCGTACTCTTGTTTATGGCCTCTTGCATGTATGTATAATTATGCTAAATGCTGATGTCACAGGTTGCAACAAGAGAACAACTGATGTGTACACACAACTCCAGATCTATTGCATAAAACCACTCCCACTGTGAAGTTTTTGTTTTGTTTATATGTCATAATGAATCATCGATATGCCGCCATATAATTATATATACCGTCCACGCATTGCCTAATCACCGCATCACTAAGGTATCCCCATGAGTGGACAAATCTCTCAAGTGAGGCGCATAATTACCGGTATGCCGCCTTAACCAGTCAACTATTCAAGAATTTAAAAGAACGCCGTTGATGTAATACGTATAGATTATAGACCGGTTAGGAGGTCTATACAGGATATATAGACCGAGTAAAAGACCGAGGTCCCCCGAGGTCTTTTACGAGGTCTATATATCCTGTATAGACCAACTATGAGGTCTATAATCTATTTATCGTGTTCTCCACGCAATAGTTTCTCTTCATATACGACATATCCTTGTAATTCTAGTATTATACTATAGCCTATATATACAGTCAGACCTCGCTTAACCGCACACATCTGTTTTCCACAAAAATATCCGGATAGGCGAGGTTACCGGATAACTGAACACACATACTGTACATGCATGTGGCATGTCAAAAGCAGTGACATCATACATACATGTAGACAGGTCCTATGCAGTACAACTACATGTAGCGTGCCCAGTATGTAAAACAAGCGAGAAAAATGACAAGTGCATGCAACTGAGTGCTGTCCGCACACACCCAGCAGATCAAGTACCTCATTTGCTTGTACAACTCCTTGATACTAGCTTCTGCAAGCGCTAGCCAGCCACATGCAACCGGATACGACGAAGCATTTTGTACACATTATAACCAGTTTGTACACAAAATCATGCACCGGTATGCGGATCGCGAGGTCCGGTTATGTTGTATGCATAACATATGCTGCACATCGGTAACCAGCGATTTTCTTCCGGATGGTGAGGGATCCGGATAAACGAGGACCGGATAAACGAGGTCTGACTGTACCGCATTGTACTGCATTGAAAGTCAAGATCATTGTTTAAACTAGGTTCAGCATCGGTAGCACAGTGGCTGGGTGGTAAGGAAGAGTGACTGAGATTCACAAGGTTGTGGGTTCTAATCCCATCTTGTGTATTTCTGCTTTCTTCAAAAATTTCTTTTTCTAAGTTGGAGAGAAAATTTCTAAGTCCAAGAAGTTCTAAGGAGTCAAATATAAGTAGTCAAATATATCGCGTATTTGACTAAGCAGTCAAATACGCGATATATTTGACCGCTTAGGGGCCGTCCAAGGTTACCAATAATAATTATTTTCAAAACGAAATGTTTTCGTTTGTGGGTGGGTGGGTTTGATGGAGTTTCGTTTTGAAAAGAATTATTGAATGCTGATGGAGAAAGCCCAGTTACTTCTGGGTGTCGAAAATTGACATCAATATTTTATTGGAATTCGTTTTACCTGCAGAAAAGGTGGGTGGGTGGGTGGGTGCTGAAAAATACTAAAACTTTTCGTTTTGTAAAAACAATCGGTAACCCCGGACGGCCCCTTAGGTATCAGGGAAATTAGTGGGGTCAAATACTAAGAAGGCGATAAGCATATATATGCGCGTTGTACACATATTATCAGACGTATCCTGGACTTGATGACAAATCCCCATTATTTTGATCCTGTTCAAATTGGTGCAAAGAAGCGCATGTGATAATATTATGTTTACACCAGGGGATTGTACTCTCTGGTTGACACCTGGCACAGACGTCGTAAACCGTGCACTCGTGCGAAGAGCATTGATTGCATCATAAAAATGACATCGGCTTGAAATTCTGTCGGGACAGCACAGTACTGTATGCAGGAGTTGCACACTCTCGGGGTTAGATATGGAGACTCCCTCAATTTGAATAGGCTAAGGACTGTGGAGAATCCGTAAATACAAATTTTGTATTTAATACAAGTATACTCATTACTTTTGGTTGCAGTGGTGTAGTGCATCTGTACTGTGGAGTCACAGGTCACGGCTTCTGCATGTATGACTCGTCAGAAATGATTTCAACGACAAACGCTCTGATATATGCATTCATAAATTGTAATCGTTTCACTCCTACAGTATTAGATTCTGAGATGCACACACAGTCCTTTGTTTGTATGGCTGTACAATCGTGGGCATTCATAATCAAGCTGTGAGCCCTGTCAAACCAAAAGCCAAGTCAGCATTCTCTGCCCACAACTGCAATTTCGCACTAACAAACTCAAGACAACATGTGACAGTGGGTGTTACAAGTTCTTTGCACAGCCAGCAGTTATCATTGGCAACGATCGTGACAACAGGAGCAACTGAAGTAAAGCCAGCAGCATCGTCAATGACAACAACAACAACAACAACAAGTCAACAACTGTGAAAGACAGCAGCGGCGGCAGCAGCAGCAACCACATGCCACTGTCCAGCATGCTATCATAGGCAACAGCAGATACATCAGATTACTGACATTTAGCCTGCGTTAAAAAAAAGAGTCTACAAAAGAACCAGGTAGGCTTCCAAAGACTTTCGAAAAGAAAGAGAGAAAGCCAAAAAAACTTCACTAATATATTGCGCATTTGTCTTCAGCAGCAAGTAGGTAAGCGAAAAGAACAGCAGCTAGCATGATCAGCGGTAGCAGTGAACGATAGAAAGATATTCTGTTATGCGTCTCTGTAGACCTTGAAGCTTCAAGTTCGCTCCTCAGTTCTTGGTTATGTAGAGCAGCAGTGAGTCTTCGGAGCAGCTATGGCTGGACAGACGATTGATCCCCGGCACAGTGAATAGTTTGCATGGTGAGTCGTCGAATTGACAGCATTCATGCGGCCTTCTGCCGGGTAGCTTCATCTTCCTGCGGAGCCTGTCCATTACTTTAGTCAAGTTCAATAAATTTCGTTAACTTCTCCAACCTACGTGCCTGGGTGCTACAGTAAATCACTTCCGTCTCCCTCCCCTTCGTCGTCATCCTCAGCTAAGGCACCGTGGAGGCTTCCTTGTGCTTGGTCAGTCGATAACCGTTTTGCCTTCTCTTCCTCCCTGCGCTTCAGGCAAGCGGCTTTCGGGTTCAGGTTTTTTTCTGAATGCACAAAGCAGAGCAACGGAAAAAATGTGTTGGCTGGCAAGGAATCACTCTGGTACATTGCGAACATCGTGCACACCGCGATCCTACTACAGTACTTTGAAGTATGCAGAACTTCTGTGCACATGCACATGTACTTTGTAGTCCTTGGTGTGCAGCTGTATGCTCCTGGAGCAACTGTCTCTAACACTTGAAGAAGTTTCCATATATGCAAAATAGAGTAGAAATCGAGCCACAGCATTGTGCAGGTCATGTATGTATGCCTGTTGCTGCTCTTCAATCAAACGTTTGCATGACAACAGCTCTGCCCGATCAAGCATCGTTACTCACTTCTAACTTCTTCCTCGAGTCTGGTGATGACCTGAACCGCCGTGTGAAGGATGGTTAGCTGGAGATAACCAGGAACAATAGTGCACAATGGGCAAGAGTGTTACAGAACGGAAACGGTTTCATTTGCTTTCGAAGTACATGCGTCTGTACTTTCTATCTTTCTTTTGACAATCACGATGGTTTGTGGGTGATGCTATCAAGCCACTGTGTGTAGAACAGGCGGGACCCTCCCCCCCCCCCCCCCCCCCCTCCAAATAACGCAAATAGAGTTCAACTATCCCGAAGAACATCACGAGTAAGTTGCACAGTTTTGGGTGAAACTATTAAAATGAGCAAGGCACAATGACTATGTACACCACCTAGTACCTACCTTTGTCTGCTGCTTTTCCGTAGGTGCATGAAGCGAGCACATATGGCCAAGCTCCACGAAAGCTGTATTGATGTCTTTCACTCGATTCCTTCGCACAGCAGATAACGACACCAGCAGACACAAGGATACGCACTCAGCCAACGAACCATGTACATTGTCAGTTTGTCACTCAATGTGTGTGTGTGGGGGGGGGGGGGCTCCAGCAAGTATGAACGAAGAGCATATTGCTGCATTGAGATACATGTACCCTCAACGGAAGTTCCTGCTCAAAGCAGAACACATCTATTCGAAGTAGAGAACATTTGGACAACAAATTGGTGCGACTTCATTCCAGGAGCGACTACCAGGCCGCTTGTGTGCGTCCTGGTGCAATGAAACTATCCGCATTTCGCTCACGTCGAACCAAACCGGCAAGTGCATGCCAGCTTACCTCTCCCTGTCATTGTTCGCTTTTCGGCGGTCTTTTTCTCGCTTGACTGTATCTGGTCCTGCATCTCCGTCAGCGCATTCATCACTACTGTCCTGTGGATAATCAGCACACATACGAGCAAGAGAAGCACGCTGTTAGGGCTGCGTTGGTCGTACTCATAGCACATGCCAATGGGAGATCTGAAAGTAAGCCACCGGCCAGGGCCAGTTTTCGCGTGGGCAATTCTGACCAATATGCTGTACACCCCCCCCCCCTGCTTGCAATGTACACATCTGTGTGTATACGTATTTGTGGGCTATACTTCAAAGTACATATAGACACGACAGCGAGAAGTACAGACCGTGAATTGTGAGCACCCATCCAGTGCTACTTGCGACGCTGTGCCGTTAGCCAGCTGATTGAGCTTGACGACGCAGGACGACAAGAGTACCACACGGAGCAGTGTGTGCTTAGAAACGACTTACTCAAACTATAATCTGTGTTCACTTCATAACACATCAACCTATACACACAAAACCTGACTGGGGCTGCAGTATTTCATTAGTCAACTAAATGAAGTGGCTTCCGAGTTTCCTGGCGTTATTCGTTGGGAGTTTCAGCTCTTCTTTTTTAGGTGAATTACAAGCTTCAAATGCAACACATGCCAAATAATACAACCGAATTTACTATCAGTATACCCCCCCCCCCCCCCCACACACACACACACACCCTTCTTCCATCAAACTGCTTGTACCTTGATCTGGTCTTTCACTCGGATGTCCTTTGGCTTGGTACCCGCAACACCAGCGGACATGCTTGCCATTTGCTCAAGCGTAGGCTGCAGAGCACTGGCAGACGTTGCGTTACCCACTGTCATAGCGGATCCAGTTGGCAGCATGCCTGCAGCATTGCTGCCTAACCCAGCTTGTCTTGCATGGCTACTGGCCGCTGCACCTGCATTCACACCGGCATACAGTCCACAGCACACAATCCAGCAGGGCTCTAGCAAGGCAACACACACACTACACTAGTCAACATGCTACAGGTACTGTGCTGGGTCAAGGGCCCTGCATGCGAATGTAAAGAGAAACACAAGACATGTGTGCGTGTGTGTGTGTGTGTGTGTGCGTGTGTGCACGGGCGCACGCATGCGTGTGCGGGTAGGTGTGAGTGCTAATGTACATGAAGAACGTGTAGCATGAGAATATGAGATTTTCACTCCTGAACTGCTCATGACCGGCACTGAGCGCAAAATGACAAAATGAGATGGAAAGAGAGTTCCACAACTTCCACTAGAGGAGTGCAAACAAGCTACCTACCGTAACGCGGATACGCCTGCAAGTCACCCGGCTGTACACAACATGACAAGAATAAAAGTAAATTAAAAATCGATATTTGAACATCACCTACCAGTATATACTGCAGCACATACATGCAGTACACTCAAACGCCTCTTATCCGGACGCCTCAGATACGGGCACGTCTCTCTACCGGGCACCTTCAGCTTGAGTTCCTATAGCACAAATGCTTCGAATTTGAGGTTTTTGAACTTTTTTTCCGTGTGTGGAAGTGCTTATTTTTCACTGCCAACCTATGTAATCCACACATTTTTACCAATGGGTTCCTTTTGTATCCTGAACATGTGCAATACGTTCCAAATAATCTTCTTCAAAAAATGATATGGTCCATGGTAGGTGAGTTATCCTGAGATACGGGCAAATCTGAAATACGGGCAGTGCCCGGTCCCAAGGTGCCCGGATAAGAGACGTCCGAGTGTACAAGCTTCGTGTTTTCTGTTGAAATAGAAAAAAAGGTTTGTTTTTTTCGATGGATTCTCAGACCATCACATCAACATCTAACATCTCGCTAGACCCCCCCACACACACACACTTAAAACCCTGTGAAAAAGCCTTTTTTTTAACCCAGCTGGCATGAACTTGGTACCATAGGGCTTGAAAGTGATGACGTCAAAACGGCCAGAGAGTAGTAAGTTGACATCAGATTTCTATTTTTGGATCCACTAAGGTGTGACTTTGCTATTGCCTAAGTATGTGGGTGCATAGCAACCCACTCATGTCGCATGCAGGTGTGACTTTTATTTCGCCACCAGTTGTAACCCCGCCCCAGTAGCCAAATCGGTCAGTTTCACTGGCTACATCACCATACTGTGGGTAAGACCGCTTGAAATGTGCTTGGATCCATACAAAAACTGGATCCAAGTGGATCCAGTTTTTGAATTTTTGAAATTGTTGCTATGCTGTGACGTAGCACTTTCAAGCCCTATTGCACAAGCAGTGCAAGAGTGGCGTGCCTGATGACTTACGGGAAAGCCGGCTGAAGCGGCTGCAGCAGCACTACGTGGCTCTATCGCATCGAGGGAATCGGGAAACGAACTGGAATTGGAATACACGCCCTGCAAAAAGCACAAACAGAGAATAGAACAGCTGATGGTGAGAGCCAAAAAGTAAGTTCCGAGCCTCAATCTGCAGTAAAATACACCGGAAATAACATGTTATACAGTATGCACAGTGCTAGTCATGTGACCAAAGAGTCACCTCTGCGCCTGGTCTGGTACACCACTGTGAGTCTCGGCAGTGAGGGTAGTTGTTGATTTTATTTTTGATTCGCTGACCAAAATGGACAAATCATATCCAATAGCAACGGGGCGAATAAGGAGAGGCGGTGAGGGCAGTGCAGATCAGCGAGGGGGCGGGAGTCCAGAGCAGCACTTACACGCATGTTAGTCGAGCTAACACCTGCACCGGGACTAGCGGCCATTGTGCTGGACCGCATTGCACCGGAGCTGGCGCTCAAGGAGCCTGGATACGTGCCGTTCACATTAGCTGACAAAACGCCGTCACCAAACATCTGAGCACAGGCCACAGGAGAGCACCACGCCACAGTACATTGGTTAGATTACTAAATTATTGGATTATTTAATATGATCTTACAGCCAGGTATAATCACCGCTACTGCAACTCGACTACTAGTGCATCTTTCACAGAGTGAGTTGCCAAGATAGTGCAAGAACAGCCACGCATACAATATATACCACACTGCTAGGGATCCTAAATCCAGAATTCCTGAAAGCATTCCAAGCGAATATGACCGTGATTAAACTGCCAGGCAGCATACCAGCGGGAATTGCCATTATTTTATGCACTGCGTGAACACGGCATCACAGGGCCCAGAGCGACACCCTAAAGTATGCATTCCCAAAAATGGCTACCAAAGCACTCACCCCTTGACTACTGCTGGCCAGGCCGTGACTGGGCGGTAACTGGTTACTGGCACCGTGTCTCAGGAAGGGAGATGGATTCTGGCGATAATACGGCGACTGCGGGTCAGCGTAGACAGCAGATCTCAGCGACGACCCTGAAGAGCTTGCAGCAGCCTGGAGCGAGCTCAAGTCTGCTGCATGCAGGAGGCCGTTGGATCGATGAACACCGCCAGAACTAGTGGAAGCAGTTGCAGCAGCTTCGGAAAGACAAATCTGGGACGTGTTTAAGTCTATAGCACACAGCATCAACCAGAACAAGATGCAACAGAGGAAACATGCAACGTTAGTACTAGCACTTTGACTGTCTGTGAGCCATACTTCTATAAAGAGTTGCAAATCTAGCAATTTTCGAAAATGCATAGGTTATTGATCAATATTATGGTAGTGATCTTGGAAGTTACAGGCATACCCACACACAACACACACTAAGAGGCTGCCTCAGCGCTTCTCCAATCGAGCAGTGTCCGAAGTAGGCCATGCTCGCACCAAAAGTGACTATGGGACAGCATGATGGAGTCGAAACAAGTGGGCATTGAAAAGCATTCAGTGCACTCGCATCACCCCGTTTTCCGGCTTTTCAACTCTGCTTTCCAGTGACCAGATACTTATATCAGCTTCGTCTGCAATAGCCGCTTCCTCCTCATTTGTTGCAGAACTCGCGCTTGACCGGTCCATGCAGCCAATTCTTCAGCAGAATACCGAAGTTCTCGGCCCCAAACCTAACGCATGAAGGTCAGGCAGGGCTCCATCTTTGCTTTTACATGGAAAAAGATCTTCGAAGTCGTTCACCCTGCCTATTTTCGGCTGCCAAATCAGTGGAACTAGCGTTGTCACTATTGCTTTCCTGAACTCCTTTCGACTTAGCTGCATGTGTCAGTGTAGCTGGGTTGTGCAGTGGCCGCATGACGTCACGACACGCACTCCCCCCCCCCCCCCCCTCCCGAGATTCAGCTTGATCAAACATATGTCTAACCAATGCTCTGTTGGAGAAATGTGTGTGTGGGGGTGAGTGTGTGTGTGTGGGGGGGGGGGGGGGCAGGACCATTCGACTTAGCGCCCCAAACTCGACTGAAATTTCCATTTTTCACCAGACTTCCCCTTCAAAAGCCATGGTGGTGCTGTGGTGGGGGACGAAGTATAGACACAAAGTGTTACATGGTGTGGAGCAGGGATTCATGAAGGCACCTACTGATGATACTTCAAGGAAGTAGTAACTTTGACACTCAGTTGAATTGATTATTGGCAACACACAAACACACACACATGGACACAGATGGTGGCACAAGTCACACAGAGCCAGGAACCAGGCAGCAAACCTTAGCCTACACAGTTGTCAATCACCTTCTAAGTAATTGAGTCACTTACACACCATGCACAGACACACAGTACGGCTCCTAGCCGTCATCATGAGACACTCAAGCACTCAACAACTGACTTACCAGCAATGCTATCCTGCAAGCCAAACTGGATATCACCAACCAAAACAGACCAGACCAGACAGGCATAACCAGCAGCAGCAGCAACAGCAGCAGGCACAGAATTGATCAGACAAAAAAATAAAATGGATATATTCAAAGAGGGAAGCCATGTCCAGGAGGCGACAGCACTTCAAGTTCTTGGCTGAGTTATAATTTCTCCTCCAAGCATAACGCCTGAGTGCCAAAGCACTAAAGGTTGTCAGTCTTCCCTTTTTTTCTGACTATCTGTTGCCTGGTACACATACTGGCCCGTGACCTGTAGAGACATGCACCTTGTAAAATCTTAAAAAGTACTCAGTGTGCAGTGGGGATTGAAATGGTACCATGTTACTAGCATTTTCAACTACTATTTTGACGATATTGTTAATAGCGATGTGTGTTGTGTTGTTGGGGGGGGGGGGGGGGGGCAACTAGTCGTGCATCTGGGCCTGGAGTGGCTTAACTTTAAGATACAGTACAGCAGCATAATCGTTCCTGAATGTAGCTCAGTGCATTTTCTACTGTGGTCAATGGCTGCTATCTGCAAACACTGCCAGCAGGAGCTACTGGTGCTTACCTTCTGCTTATAGATCACTCAATTTGCACAATCGTAAATCCACATTGTCATTATGCAAGCAGCAGACTGCAGTGCGGTCCACAAGGACTTGTCAACAACGCGTTTATAAATAGCCCCCTTGATGGTGGACACTAAGATTTTGCAGCGTTTTGGTGTATATATTCACTACCACTAATCACCAAGCATTGATTATCTGATCCAGCATTAGTGCCAATCAGGCCCAAGGGCTCAGCAATTTATGACCGGCACAGGGTATACCAAACTGCAAACATCAACATCACTCTAAAACCTGTGACTATAATGAAGACGCCGTAAATCAAAGCCCATGCTGAGATCCCCCTCTCAACAGGGACTTTGTGAAGACTATTTTGCACATGGTCATTATGTCCACATCTCCCCTTACACGTAGAGGAATAGTCACCGGCGGCACAGCGATGCTACAGTCATACACAAGTCAGTGTGGTTCCAGCCGCTCTGCACCAATGTTGACTATCATTCAGCATCACCAGTGCATGGGTGGTTGAGTTGAAAAGCAAACAATGCATCCTTTGAACAATAGTTATGTACACTAGGGACATACCGGTACATGTACATGTAGGTTTGGTTGTGGCTGATTGAAGGAAATGGTACTAAGTCGATGGTCGGGTCTGCATTTGCTATAACATTCAGCCTGTACATAATACAGACCGTGAAAACTGTTGATGTGGAACTAGCAACATCAAAGTCATGGCGCTTACAATCATTAGTACAACTAACTAATTACTAGTACTTGAAAGTACACTTGATGTACGTGCTGCTCGCATAGCGGAAGCAGCATAGATCTACGCCAAAATGCAACACTGCATGCACTCACCCCGGCAGGTGCTGCCATCTGTCCGCCGGCTCCGAGATCGCTGCCAACGAATGGCATCATTCCTGATCAGGCAACACGGAACAGTACAGATCAAAAGAGTAACGTTAGTTTACAGCACAGAACGAAACAGGGTCAGTCACAGGAGGTTGCAGACCTCGCCAATGCGTGAAACAAACGCAGATGGCAACAACTCGCGCAGCCCTACTCCCATCAGCTTTGTTCAAGGCCAACAGGTAGGTAGGCCGGCAGCGGCAGCAGCCCACAGTTCAAGATCCAGCTCTAGATCGTCACGACACCGAAGAGCAACAATGGAGGACAGGTGCCTGTCCATCCTCACTTCACTGGCTGAGCGTCTGTTGCACACGCACTCGCACACTCACACCATGACCACGACAGCATCACGAGCATGATTATGCGCTTTCTGTGGTAGCCTATGCCTTCATTCGAAGCAAATGGCAACATTTGTAGAAGCGATACAAGATTACAAGCAGCAGCAGCAACATGTGCAGTGACCATCTGACAACTTGAAAACACACACACACACACAACCCAGCGCTGGCCGACGGCTGTCCGCACACACACACGCTCAAATACTCGCCACGGCTACATTTCCACTTCACACGCAGAGAGCAATGTGAACAAAGGTTCTCATAAATCTTCTACTGCTAGATCTGCTCAGAACTCTTGCACTGGAAGTGGAAGACGAGGTCGTTCTCCTCGGTCCAGCTCAGAATCCTGAGGTTGACAACTCTTTATACGTGTCTTCACCAGTTAGCGCTAACTGGAGACACGCGGCAGCAAAAGACTGCGTAGAACTACAAAACATTGGTGAAACTGCAAGTCCGAAAAGGCCAAAAAAAAAAAAGGGGGGATCGGGAGTCAGTCTGATCCTCAGGCCTCGCGCCTGCGCCTATCCGCTACAAGCGCAACAGCCAGAGATCGTCCTATCCGACCCGGCCGAAGCCGCTGCACTGAGTGAAGGATTACGACTGAGCGATGGGGCCACAGTCTGGCTAGGCTAGCCGTGGTATGGCACATTCCCCGGTCCGATCATACTCACTCACCGAAATGGAGATGAAAAGAAGGCGTAGATTCTACGGAGATCGACATACACTGTAGATCTACTAGTACTAGCAGTAGCACTGGCAAGAAAACAGACGTCTAGGAGCTCCTGTGCGGACGCGGTGACGGGGTCTTCTGGTGCATCGATCGCTGACAGCAGTTTGGCCATGCGGTTGAAACAAATCAAGCAACTGCCATGCATTACATGAAGAACATAGTCATTCAGCTAGCGACTACAGTACAGAAGATAAAAACTATAGAAAGCTTACCAGCCGTGGAGATGCTCGGGCAGCCATAGTTGCTGGCAACTAAACTCGAACTTGCGCATGCAGAATCCATGTCGAATGCGTCCGCAGCTGAGGACACCACAGATACCGGGTCAAATCCAGCTTCTAACGGGAAATGGCTAGCCGCATTCTCCAAGTTGCGCTGGCGATGGCAGAATGCAGATGGTGGCCGCTGAGGAGACGTGTCCAAAGAACACGTCACATACAACCCGACAAGAACAACAGACACAAACAAGAACAAAACATCGGCAATCAGCCAGCTAGCTAGCTAGATTAGATATAATATTATCCCTACGTTCAGTAAAATATTAATTTTTTTCTGTTTTTTTTTGGACCGGAGTGCACAGACTCAGTACTACTACTACTACTACTACTACTAGTACTACTAGTACTAGCGCATGATGCATGCAGCTAGCATGCGGTTGATCATGACCAGATCATCCCATAAGATGACCTCTTGACTTGTCTTGTATTGATCTTGCATGTAGACATACTGATGTAGAATGATTATGTAGATGTACAATCATGATATGACTGTACATCATACATGTGCACAAACACTCGGACTGCACAAGCACGCCAGGCCAGTGACCATGGCATCATTGGCATTCCTCTCTTTTGTGGTCAAAGTGTGAAATACAAAACACGCATGCGCGCAGTCGAGTCCGTGCATCTCATCATCTGGTCTTGTAACCATGGTAACCGCGGCGACCACGGGGGATCCCCCCGGGAGTGGTGCGTTCTTGCAGGTTTGCCGAGTCGAAGGTTCGATTGACTTCTCGTGTGCTCTGGATGGCAGTTGTGAGTCAGTCAAGTGTCAAGTAAGTCGGCGGAAAAACCACACCACTAGTCAATACAGTACACTTTTTTTACACATACATGTACATGTACATTGTACATGAAGGTAGACCGGATTGGGACAAGGTGAGGCCTTCAAAAGTTATATCCACGGACATTTTGTGAGATAAACGGTCAAGAAGTAAGTAACAATTGGCTCCCACTAGCACAGTGATCAAGTAGTCATTGTAGGTAATGCCAAGCCTGGATGGACTCTGGCTACCCTGTCACAATGGCTAATATACGGGTACAGTGTCCATAGCATCACGTGGATAGAGCCGGAGAAGGCATGTAGTGTGTGCATTGCGGTGTGTTTGTTGACCATGTGTTCAATTCAGGTCAGTGGCGAAACCCAGGACTTGATCAAGTTAGTTGATGCGGGATAGTCTTCCAAGAAGTAGTTCTGGCAGCACTAAGCAGTGTGTTGCACACAGGTGCTTGGCCATCTCTTGCAACTAGCTCAGATAAGAAAACAGCGGCGTGAGGCTGTTGATGTGCAGCACATACCTACGATAGGTCTTTAACGCCAGGTTGGATTGAGCACTGCTGATGATAACTGTTTGGATTGCAATCGAGGAAACCCTCCAACATTTTGATGTGACATGATTAGATTGATCGGCTTGGGGCTGGATTGGCGATTCAGCATCTGCACTGTACTGCCGCGCGCATGCATACACTTCTTGGGACTGCTAAATCCACACAGTCGTTGTGATGAAGTAGTGCATTGTATCCACACCATGACCGCAGGGGATAGCCAGCCATGCAAGAAAGTGAGACTCCTCGCTGTAAGGCTAACTCAGTAACTGGGCCATGGGAGCATCAATATATGCTCATGCTAAACTTCGAACCTTCCAAGTAACTAGTTGGAAGGCTGTTCAGTTGGAGTGCGCATCCAAGACGTGCTAGAGTTGAGTGTTAGTTCGTTGTAGAACGTCAGCACCGCTGGTCAGTGTCGTGCAATGTTATCACATGAGCTGATTGGTAACTTGTGGAGCTAGTGGCCATTATAGCGTAACGTGTACTGAAGTACTTCCTTGGTCCTTTTTCTCCCTATAAATTCATCCTTGCCTCTCCATCCCAGTCTAAAGTTACAAGAGATTGCAATTGTTTTGCTAGCCATGCAGCTAGTAAGTAGGAAAGACTCTGGATGCGGCACCACTCTACTAGACGAGCACGGAAGCAAACAGCTGGGCAGCTTTCTGGAAGTGAATACGAAAATTGAAGGTGTCATCTGACGCGTGTATTTCCTAATTATATGTACATTGCCAGGAAGCATGACTGTCACTGCTTCGCGTATCACTACAATGGTCTCTTTTTGTCACGTTCCGCTCGTCGCGCAACCTCAGCCATCTGCACTGGGTTTTTTTTTTTATTTACAAGAGCCATAAGCCATCATGGTGTTGGTCCGATTTTAAACGCACGTGCATTATCATAATCAATATAGCGTTTCTGTCCGCCCACAATGACGTCACTTCGTTGTGACTCGCATAGTGTCATTGACATTGCTTCGCATCGTTCTAGTTCGCAGGGACACACCAAACGAGCCTCACTAAAATATATAGGGCTTCTCTTACACAGCACTACAGATGTGCACTGAGCGAGTCTGTATTTCCTGGCGCGGTACGGCTTGGTGTGAAGGTCTTGACTGAAGACCAGGGGACCACGCCATCACAGCATTCGCCTCCCTCATTACATGCGGGTCATTGAAACTGAAAGTGCAAGCTCTTACACTTGCACTTACAGTGGGAAACAGGAATTGCCCGGAAAGATGTGACTGCGGAGACTGAAAGCAGCGATAGTGCGGAAGAAGAATACACTGTGTCCGTGTGCTCGTCTCAGCTAATACATTAATATTTGTCTTAGGACTAAGGAGGCAAACACTCATATTGTCCATACCTTATATTCAGGTAACCTCAGATCGTAGTCCAGAAGACAAGGCGGAGGGCCAGGAGATAGGCGGAGCGTTTCGGCTAAGAGCGACATCTCACGACTGTTCTTCGTTCCGTTTTACGCACTGTTTGCTATGGCAAGGTCGCCAGGAACGTCTGGTCTTGCGAGCGATGTGGGGCTGTACTCACACTCACACTCCCACCAAGGTCTTGTCGCAAAGAGAGCTCTAGAGGCGTCTCTGCTGGAAGTTTTGCACATGTACGGCCAGATGTAGCCTTTCCCGTCACCAATGCAGACTTGCTTCTGTCAGCGAACGTCAGCGATGAATGGGAGCCTGAGCTGTGACGTCGGAAACTGACAGTATTCAATGTTTCACATCATCACTCTGCCGCACGCAGCCTCTGTGGGCAAAGCTTTCTTCTCCTCGACTTGAAGCGGAGGTTCGGTGAAGAGCCCAGTCGGAGGTGCGTTTGTTTGCTCGTCTTGTTCTGAGGTCACTCTGGTTTTGTCTGTCAGCTGATCAGCAATGAAGAGGTTGGGCAAGATGTGAAGGAGGCACGAACTCTGGCGGGTACAACCTGGCAAGAGAAAGGCAGCGAGAGAACTGAACGAGCGCCTGGAGCGAATCCACTTCTTCCATCACAGAAAAGACCAACTTTGCTTCTGAGCGGAAATTGGAATATCCTGCAGTGAAAACCGGCCATCGAGCTCGCCCGTAACTTATCAATACAAGTCAGATAGTTACTACCAACTTGCTAAACGGTTTAGGCGGTGTGGCGACTGGCTGCCGGCTAGTGCACGACAAGATAATCGCCAATATCGCTGCATCTCAGCTTTCAGCTTCAGCGAACTCAACTTTCGGTTTACGTTAGTGTACGCCGACGGTCTGGCCGCTAGATGCAGAGCATTGATAGGACAATCGAGCATGTTGATATGCGCACAGGCCTCCAGAACTAGCATTGCTCAACTACAGTGTAGCCAGTGTATGACTGCACTCTGCAGCAGCCTTGATTAGTGGCAATGCTGAGCATTGTAGCATAGCTGCATGGCTGTAGTCTCTGTGCCTAGCTCCTGGCTAGGTGCATGGAAAATATCACTCCGTAGAAAGTACTACTAGTACTAGTAAGTAGTAGTTGATGGCAAGAGGGAGATTGCGATCTTCGACTAACGGTTTTACTTATACTGTAGCATTGCTCTATCCTATCCGCACGCTGGCCGCTGATAGGGAACGCAGCTTCCAAAGCACATTGTGAAGTACGAAGCACTTCACCGCTCGCTGATGGGCTGGCCTCAACAAGGAGGTTGGTTTCAGTTGCACCAGACACAATGGAAGTAGCCGCGGTAGCTCGCGCGCCATCGGTTTAGGCCAGCTATCTGTACTGAGTCTGTACATCTATGATTCTGTCTCGACCTGCTCCCTTACTAGTATACTACTCCGCGTGTCTCCTGCGAGAACTGAATCAGACGAGCAATGAGTGTGTCGGCGGCGATGTGTGCTGGCAAAGTGAAATTGAAAGCTGGGTGTGGCGCAATTGGACTTGCACTCACAGTTGACAGATGGGATACGAGCTCATGAGTGTGTTGTTGGTTCGCACTTTGCGGTAATGCACTAATGATACCTGCACATGAGCAGGGAATGAAAGATACTCTCCAGCACCAGTACCGGATGTGGTGACATGGATATAATAATATTATAATGGTAGACTCACTGATCCTTATGCACAGATACTGTATACAGCATTCCCTCACTAGTGGGACCATTGTTATTAGGCTAGGGCCTGTTTTGGACTTCCCACTCTAAATAAAGAATACAAACAAACAATAGACCAGAGATGGAAGGGCAAAAGTTCCCTTCGGTACAGTACTTGTGTGATGTTTGTCTTATGGTTTCTACGAGTCTAGAACTTAGAAGCGGCCTGAATGCACGAACGTACACGTCAAGTAGATCGTGGGTGCCTGTGCCGACATGATGGCAGTCACACAATAACGCAGCTTGTGTGACCGAATACTCTCCTCACCTTGGCGACGTGTGTTCTTGAACTAAGTTGAAGACAAACATACTGTTACTCCGTACATCTGGTACATGCTGCTTGCACGATCACATGCACGCACAGTACATCAGTACTCGCATCCATCCACACTTCCACATACACATAATACATACACACCCGACCGCGACCGCGGTGCGCTGCGTGACTTCTGCTTGAGCGGATACACATGCTTGAGCAATATTCCAACAAACAAGAAACATGCATACCCGTGGCCTGATTACTTCTATTTGAATGGCATGTATCGATTCGTGACGTCACTGTAGATTTGGAGGAGCTGTGGCGAATGCCGCTTGATGCGATCTACCGACGGCTGCGAATAATGGCAAATTGTGAGAATACCTAACCAAGGGAAGAGGCAAGGTCGAATGCCTATTGCCACTTCTGCACTAGCTGGACTTCGTGCTCCGTGATTCGACGGAATGCTAGGCACAAGAGGAATGCTTGGTCGACGCGACCACAAGAAGATTACATAGTCTGGCGCGACCCATATTCTGCATACCACTCGTCCCTATCTCCCCACCAGTGGCAGCGCCAGTCCCTATCTTCTCGCGAGCGCCCTGCTTTGGGAGGTGAGCGTTCCGACTCGCTTGCCAGGAGCCTTCGGGTACCGATAGGTGCCGGAGTTAGCAGGCTGACCCTCTGAGGCTCACCGCTCAGCAAGGTTGCTTGTTGCTGGTGACCACCGCTGCTACGCACGATTACAGTGCAATCCTACGTAGATCTACCAGTGTAATGCAGCTAGCTATCGACTATTGTAGACTATAGTCCACTAGCTAGCTAGAGCTGTATGGCGGGTTTCCCTTGTTCCCAATCCCATGGCACGTACGTACTGCCTCTGCGCTCCGAGGACGAACCAGGACAACGCAGATAATCCCACTAGTTGGTTACTATGCGAACGGTCTGAACGGGTATGCAAACGTCGCGGGTGAAACTTGGCAGGGAGGAGAGTCATTTCCGAGTCCACAGACGAAGCCCACCCTACATACCCCTACCATACTTCTTTTGACTTCAGTTCCTGAGCACTTCTGGAGCCTGGGCTATTTTGCTTGTGTTTTTTTTCTGTCTTCCTGCCATTTATTGCCTTTCCTCCTTTGCCTCTTTCCTTCAATATTCGCCTTTATGTTATTGGGCCTAGTTCCCGTGATAAGTAAAATAAACACAAACAAGCAACAGAATTTGCTCTCAGTGACTCCCATCAAACTGTTCATCTCAACGTACCAGACTGGAAACTCCAAGTCGTGGCACAGAATAAGTTTGTGAATGGTACATGATTGTACGTGTAGTTCTCCACCTGCACAATACGCCAGTTCAAGATCTTGACCAGGGTTTGCACGGCTCCCCGATCTTCACGCCTGTCCTGCAGTCATCAGTGGTCATGCTTCTATGGCTGAGATGCAGGGAACATAATTGTGTAGTTTACATGGGTGCTTAGCTGCATAACAATACAGCAGGAGAAGGAGGGGGGGGGGGGGGCTGATGTGGAGAAGGAGGTCACATGATGCTGATTCTAGCGCTACAGTAGTATTCTAGCGCTACGGCTCATATGATCTGCTAGCAGGTTGCGCAGCCAAAACGTCAGCAACTGCTCTTCTATCCGCTGAGTTTTCGAGATAAAATACCTTGCGGCTAGTGTTGCTGGTCATGGGCGATATCAGGCTCGCCCGTGACGCAGCATAGGCGAGGAGTAGCAGGTTATAGTTCGCTGTTATTTACCATCATTAATTTTCCCAGACGCACAGCGCCGAACAGAGAGTACGCCAGAGCCTCTAGGCCTTGAACAGCTTGTGTAAGTGATTTTGAAACTGAAACCACCGTGGAGTGTCGGAATACACAGCCACGCTGCAGGCGGGCAGGCTGCCACGCTGATCTTTGTCAATTTCTTGCTGTACTACAGCTTTGATTGATTGATTGATTGATTGGTTTTATTTGGATTCGCGAGACCAAACGAGCTTTACTGCCTACCCTCTCTTTACTGCAGGTTTTACATTTTTGTTTCGTCTCCTTCTATGCCCTTCTGCTTTGCATTAATTGCAGCCATTGGATCATAATATTGGGTAGCCCTGCCCCTTTGATATCGATGCCAAATAAGTAGACAAACACAAGATCCTCTCACATCCTAAGCACACTCACAGCTTTCTACTAGGACTGGGCGATCGTTGGCGGGCCAAGATGGCGCTAGATGCAGCGCCAAAGGCTAGGGCTACTCGCTTGCCCTGGCTGGGCAGACTAGCTATGCTCCAGGAAAAACAAGTAACTACTAATTACTTGTCCTGTTAGGACAGACGCTATCCCGGCGCTTCACTGCCAGTAGAAGCACATGTACAGCCATGCACTACCCACGCGTACATGTAGATCTACACGGTCATAGCACTATTGTTAACTTTGTCTTATTATAACCTGGACATGGGTCTCTGTGCTCTATAAATAGTCTTAGAAATTAATGCGTGTGTATCCATGCGGCTTCACTGAGGTCCACAGCCTGAGCTGTCAGACCTTTTCATGGCTCCCTGGACCCTGACGAGTGGTAGTGTCCACCGCCGGTAGGTTTGCAACTGCCACGGCTAGGGCCACACAGCACACACAAACACCCTCACCCGGACTAGTTTAGTGATGGTGCGCAAGCTCGCGGTAACGCCGAGACCACAAGTCGGCGTTGTTGGCTTGCCTCGCCAGCACAGGTTCCATCTTGGAGCCCCTACTCTTCCAAAAAGCCCCTACTCTTCCCATTGTTGCGTTGTCCTGCAGCTTCTATCCCATCTTCTTACGAGTAGGTTGTCTTTTAAAGTAAAACAATTGCAAGATGTTTGAAGGCAGTGTTGGCCAGAAACAGTGACGCTAAAGTCAACAAGACTCTGTCCGGTGAAGTTAGTTCATTGCATGTACTTATGACCCTTCAAGGATTAATATCAGTCATGTTGAATATTGCTGAGTACCATTATAGTGTGACTGTGGTGCCGGTGTCAGCGCCGGCCGGGCACAACGTGCACTTTGTCTTTTGAAACACAGTATAGTATACACTGTGTGGCTGAGTAGCGTTCGGGCAAACATGAAAGAGGACGGAGAAACTTAGTTGGACTCATATCCATGTGTAGCGGTTCACCGGGGTTTACAACGCAGTGTTGTTGATCGTATTGGCTACATAGCAACACACAATCAGCACAATACAATGATACATGTACAGTACATAGTTATTACATGCCCTGGGCCTAGCTGCACCACTTCCGCCCGACAGACAGCCTTGCTAGCACAAATAACTACATCGTTGTAACATTCACTTTAACATTCGCTTTGTGGAAATAATAGCCCTAGCAGACTGAGACGCCATGTTCTAAGCTCTGTCTATGGCATTACGCACACTCTGAAGCTCGGAGATCTACAACAAGGGTTTGTAGAGCCAGCATGCTCCTGCCAATTGCCATGCATGGTTCTTGTTCGTTAGGGCATTCCAAAGGCTATTTCAAGTTAAACTGCAATGACTCTCTCCAGATACACCATCACTGATTTCGTCGTGAACACCGGTGATATGGCAGATACATGTAGGTGGCCGTTTGTCCTCCAAGGCACAAGCACCTGTGACGCACATGCACAAACTTTGCATAGGTGCTTATGGCCATTTGATGACCAGTACGCGGTGTGACCAGTCCATTACCAGTGCTTATTATCATAATTATGATCATGGATGTGTGTGTGTGCGTGTGCGTGTGTGGTGTGTGTGTGTGCGCGCGCTCGCGTGTGTGCGTGTGTGTGGATGTGTGCAAGCCTGCAAGGTAGTACAGTGATATTACACCATTTGCTAGCATGTAAAGCAGCAGTGGTCACCGCGTCTGTGATAGATCTAGTGGAAATGCTGATGGTTCATTATTATCATGGTGTAACACTCACACTAACCGTTACTCCCCCGGCTATGGCTGCGTTCGTTTTTAGCTACCTGGTAGAGTAGAGTAGAGTCACTCTACCGATAGAGGTACAGTCTGTATCGGCTATAGAGTGACCGGATATAAGAATATATCGGCTACAGTGATATTGGTACGAAATATCAAAAGCAAAACGTATTTTGTCCAGTACAAATATCACTATAACCAATATTATCGGATGTAATGATATATCGGATATTATGATGGCAACAAAGAATCAAAACATGCATAACACACTACATTATTATCAGCTATAGTGATAACTTTAAAATACATGTAGCAATAATTTCAAAGGCCCTATTTTTTACTTTCTTCACGTTGCCTATTTTTATAGTGATACATGTACATGTACATAACAGATTTTTTTATGGAAATGCGGGCACTGTCAACTATGCAGCATGCTCATTTGTCAAAACGCCATGCTAGCTGGAAGTATTTCCTTGCCTTTCATGTGTCGATCGAAAAAAGAAAAAAATCGATCGTATCGCATATAGTGATGCATCGGTTATAGTGATAAAATCACGGAAATCAAAAGGGTACGCTATAGCCGATACAGACTGTAGATGGTAGAGGCAAGTGTACGAACGCTGTTCTACCAGATCTAGTAGTTTACACGATGTGTACGTGAAATGTTTCTTTTTTTTATGGAGTTGTGTACAAATCCTCGATCTTGCTGGAAATCCCGTAGCTCTACCAACTTCTACCGGTTTCTACCAACTTTTTCCCGGTAGAGCCGGTAGAGGAAAGTAGAATCTACCCTTTTGAGTAGAATTTTTTTTCAAAAAACGAACACCTCTACCGTAAGAAGTAGTTTCTACCCAAACCTGTAGATCAAAAACGAACGCCCCCTATGACTCGTGAACGGGTAGACTACCGGTCCCATTAACAGTAACACAGTTCTACTGAGCATCCCCAGTCTAAGAATCCCCAGTCTAAGAAACTAACCAACCGACACAGGCATACAGCAGGGCATATCAAGTAGGGCATGTCAATATGCTCGACGTACAGGTGAGTGTACCGGTACACGCGTGTGCATGTGCCGGAGATGGAGTTTTCCAGGTTCCCCACCGCCTCTCCCATGACCCTCAATCGCATTCCCCCGGAGAAAAGTGTGATCATGTTCTTTTCTGATCACCTCTTAGTTCATTCTATCTCTCAGTAGCTGGGGACATTGGTATTCTCTCCTTTGTGACGAACCATCACGTAACACATTCTCCTATTTCGGCGCCAGAGGTGTCAAAACGGTTTACCTAGTCCTTGATATAAACGGACTGTAGCCATGTAGCCGACATGTTGCGACGCCATTTCGATGGCATTCTGGTGCGACGGTGACATCAAGACGCCAGCACACCACCTTCGATGCATACTGGGATGTGGAGGCGTTAATCAGTGCTCTTGTCTGAGCCAATTAGAACAGCAGGCGACGTTTGGAATGGTATAGTCATTACACACTCAGTGCATGTTGTCTGGGGCTTAGACTAGAGCGCTGTGCTGTGCTGTGGTGCATACAATGGAACAGGAACTCAGCCAGTAGTATACAGGAACAAGTGATCTTGTCCTGGCCAGCGGAATCACAATTACACTTCACATAGTACATGTAGTGATGTGTTAATAGAGGCACACGAGTGGATATTCCCATCTCTTCTTCTACCCGGGCCATTTAGTGCGTGTGTGCGCGCGCGCGTGTGTGAATGTGTGTGTGTGCGGGGTGGGGCGTGCGTGCGTTTGGCTGCATCGTTCCAAATCGCTCGGTAGAACTAGTAATACTAATAGGCTAGTTCCTTTTCTTCGTGCCCAGCCAGGGGCAATGATTTCAATGCACTTCATACAACACCGCAAAGTGTACATGGTCACAATGAATGCAGTTGAGTGGGGGCAGGACAGGGCCAGCTATGTTACTTGACCGCATTGGAACACAGGTCGACCATTTCCAGGTCACAAGGTAGTTCATGGTACCAGCGCAGCATTGGCGTCTGGGGGTTATCTACGCTCTCCGATTCTTCCCATTACGCTAACATGAATTCTCCATCACTGAATCAGCGCTGTTATGCGAGAGGTGTGGAGCGTACATGTACAATCATGCACACACGCCCCACGCTATCTGATGTCTCCACGTCTGGTGCTTCCCATGGATTGGTATGTGACTGGATTGATGCTGATGGCGAATGTGGCTACATTTCCTCAGGATTGGCCCAATGACAAGAAAACACACATTCATCGCAGGCCACGATCTGTATAAGGTCGTGGGCGAAACGATCACATGAAAACGCATCACGAACACAATAACGCTGTGAATAAACATACCACGACCTTCCGACCACTTAAAACGGTGAGGAATGATACTGGTCGTAGTAGTCAGATACATTATAAGTATAGGTCATGGTATCACCGGGTACTGTGTTTTGGAGTGGTGCGCCTACAAGATGTGAAAAGACTTTTTCAGCGGGCAACATTCAATCAGTTCGCCTCCCCAGACATTCCAATACCAAACAAGAGATTCAAGCCAGGCGCTGATGCTACAGAGGCGGTAAAACCATCTTGCGGTGGTTACTGAAGAACGGCACATCGTTGAACTTGTGCCAGTTGTGGTAACATTACACCCACTACACGTCCACTACACGTAGTACTAAGCACAGGGCCTAGGGGTGTTTATTGGGGCCGTGTGCGCCTAATTCAAGCGCACAACCACAATCATTCTTTGCGATCATTGGTCCGCGTCGCTGCTCCAATCAGGGACCTGCGTAGACCTACTAACAGAGTGCCGCGATACCTCCGGCTCACCTTTCTCAACAGTAGCCAGGCACAGGGGTCCGATCGGCTGGGCATACGCGCAAGTGTCAGACCATGGAGTTCATCATTCGGCCCGTTCAAAACCTGCTTCAGGAGCATTGCAAGGTGGATCATGGAGAGCAGTTAGGATGTGTCACCGCTCCTACTGACGACCCAGTTAGGTTGTTGTCACTGTCTTGAAAGCAGTAAACTGGCACATCATCATGGCCATTAGTGTTAGTAAGCTTACCCCATGCATCAATCATAAGCAATCATCATGATTGTCAGTGTATGACTGTGTTCCAACCGTCCAGGCTGATCACTCCCCTCATTGTGCCAGTGCCAGTGCTGCCTCCTTTTCGCCCGATATCTTTTGTTGAATTGTGATCTGATGCTGATCATTTGCTCCTTTCGATCACCAGACAGCTATATCTGTTTGGTTTGGGAATGCAAATAAAGAAAGCAATAGCAATTACTTGCAAGGAAGGGAAGAGGGGGTGGGGCAAGCACACATTGGGTTGGGGCCGGGTTACCGTGATTGTGTACGTGTAGGTGTGTGTTGTGTGTGTGTGTGTGTGTGTGTGTGTGTGTGTGTGTGTGTGTGTGTGTGTGTGTGTGTGTGTGTGTGTGTGTGTGTGTGTGTGTGTGTGGTGTGTGTGCGTGTGTGTGGTGTGTATGTGTGTGTGTGTGTTGGTGTGTGTGTGGTGTGTGCATGTGTGTGTGTGTGTGTGTGTGTGTGTGTGTGTGTGTGGCGTGTGTGTGTGGCGTGTGTGTGTGTATGTGCGTGCGTGTGCACGGGTTGTATATTCGTCTGACGTCTTGTAGACACTGTCACACTATTGTATGGCCATGGGATATGGCCAATTCTAAAAGGCGGCGGATGCTCCGATCCCCGAGCCAGTGAGCCAAGCTGCAGCCAATTGAGGAGACATTGAAAACACGTCGACTCTGTTGGTTAGGCCATGTCGCATCGACTTTCAATGTGTGTCCTTGGCACTCCTTGCCCAACTGCAGAAGACTTGGTCACATCATGGGCCCCGAAAGCGGTGGCGGGACAATGTGGTCAACGGCATGAAGAATCGCCAGAGCGTGGACTGGAATGACCTCGCTCAGGATCCCGCAGGGAATGGAAAACAGCATGCAACACCATTCCTTCTCCTGGTCCCATCACCATGGACTGCCTCGCCCCGTACAGGTTCATGCTCCAGTAGCCGCTAGCCATAGGTCTACGCTAGGCCCAGACAGATCCTGCCAGCACATGAGAAAAAAGCCCCGGCATATTCGCCTCAGGCTGATCAGTTTTCAGCTACAAGTATTCACATGGCGGGGGTACGGGGCTGTCTTCAGGTGGATGACTGCGAGTTATGCGTGCATTTTACTTTTCAAATCGCACAGGAGCACAGTGGTAAATATTCGTGAAATGAATTTTGTATTAAGAAGTGCCTGGTCACGTTCCTTCTGCCTTCTAATTCTGGCCGTCACTTATTTTGCAAAAAGGCGAAGCTTTCACTGAGCTAAAATTCAGGAGAAAAATTGCCAAGAACAGAAAAAACGCACTGTCGATGATGAAATCCTCTCAGGTTCAAGAGGCAAATCGAAAAAAAATACACGAAACTAGCTTATTTCCATGGAAACAATTCAAAATAAGTAAAACTATGCAGTGCGTGGATGAGTCACTGACCCAGCCAAGTGCAAGTGGATCAATATTACTTGTACTAGTATTGTTTTATGATGAGATGACATCGGAAGTAGAGGTACACTGGTATGAGCATGACAAGAATATAACCGAGTGTGTGATGGCGAATAGATACACAGTGCTGCCTCCAATTGCTCGCCTCTTGCACAAGGTGTCGCATTATTTCGTGGCGGTCTTGCCCAGCCTTTACTTGACGGTACTTTCTGACCTGAACCTCCGCTGCTGCACTGTCTGCACGGCCCATTGTATGCACTCCAAAGCAGCACGTGCAAGTTGTTCCGACCAAACGTTGGACTGTCGGCATAGCACCAACCCAACCAGGCAGTATGGTTAGCCGAACCGGTGGTGCCGCTGTATCTGCAAACGCATGTCCCCAGACCAGAGTTTACAATCAATGATGACCTATTCTGGAGCACAGTATGCAGAAACAAGCCGGTCAACACAGGCAAGCTACCGGCCATTCCTGAGTCGCACCCGCTGCCAAAGCAAGCTCCTACCAAGGATACGACCGGCGGGGAGACCATCGGAGAGATGTGCGACATTGAAGAGTACGTTGCAACTGAAGAGAACGACTTCAGACCGGCAAGCCCCAGTCGCGTGGTCTGCCAAGCTACCACTGCAGCAAACAGCAACTAGGCAGTGGCAAGGGCGTGCCCGCCTGATGTTGCTGAAAGGCAGCGGTGCTGTGCACAGCGGCAAGCTCTCCCTGGCACACTGTGTCTATGAAGAGTGGCGGACAAGCACGTGGCAAATCACTTGACAGTGTTGTTGAGGTATTGCACATAGAGTGTCGCTGTCTGCGCAGCATCCTCAACCGGGTGCAGGCGCGTGTAGGAGAGAAACTGATTGCGCAAACGCCGCAGCTCCGCCATCGGTAGCTGGCGAACGGAGCGAAACTTCTCGTTTGACGCAGGTACGGGAATACACTCGCCAGGACCACAGGTCTGCTGTGATTTCATTATCGCCTAAGACAAGGGGGACGCAAACAGACAGATACACACACACATACACACATGCGCACGCACATGCGCACACGCACACCCACACACACACACACAGGTGTCCACCCACACAAACCAATACAAATGAATCTAAGATCTCAGAGTACATGTAGCAGATTGTTGATAGCCACTTGCACAATGGGTGCAAATCATTGCTCAACTGTTTCACGGGAAGCTAACCTTTCGGATTTCGAGAAATTCAAAAACAGACGTTGAGTGACCTACTAATGTTTGAGTATATGCAAGTTCGCTGACCGCAAAAGGTTAATGAAAGTATTAGCCGGCCGTTATTAAAACGGCTACTGTAAGAGTTGAATCTCTAGCAGGCCACAACGTATAGCATTTTAACAAGAAAAAATCCACCGTTGACGTAAGAAACGTTACTAGCGCACCATTCCTTCTCTCTTCTGTAGAAAGTTTTGCAAATGTTTATACTTTTGGCTTGTCACACTTCTTACAGTACATGTAAATAATAACATTACTGAGTTCAGAACATACCATGTTGACATCCTGGGTGCAACGGTCCACGTCGTGCAAGAATGTTGCAGATGACACAGGTTGCTGCAGGAAGAAAGAAAAATAAGGTGAGAAGAAAAGGTTCCAGGCAGCTGTGGACATCTTCCGAGTTGAGTGTTCCTCACGGTCAAGTCCCAGCAATGGAGCAGCTACGCAATGTACTGCGCTATACACAGCACCAGGCCCGAAGCCAGCTCCCCAGGGGAGGGGCGGTACGGCCACAGGTTGGCTACAGGGCCGATCATTTCGCCATGCCCAATGCCAGTGTGATGGGAGGATGCATCTCTAGCTCTATGCTGCGTCATATCATATCTGGCTGTTTCAGCTACACACTGACTCCTCTAGCAACACACAGTACAGTGTGTACAGCTAGCACAGTAGTCCTCGTTGCGCAGGAAGAGCAGTAGTGGAAGGAGAGGCTCTAGCGAGGATGGCTTGATACTAGGCAGTAGTACTGTTAAACACGATATTTTCGGTGTAACTTTAATTTCAGTGATTTCGGCAGAGAAAACAAGCACCTAAATTTAGATTACACCTAAAAGGCACCAGAGTATGCACTTTATGTGCAGGGAATGCTGGTCACCTAATTCTAAATTACACCTGAAACCTGGCAGGTCCCTGACACCGAAATTTTAATATACCTAAAATTACATGTTTTACAGTACTTTCACATACACTCATACCGCGTTTATCCGGGCGGTCCGCGACCGGGCACTGCCCGAAACTTTGAAATAAAGGCAATAGATATGGCATATGGCATCACTATTTCCACAACAAGTGACAAAAGAGTAGTGATATTTCCATTGCAGCTCGCCCAAAGAGTGCCCGGGAGACCGAAGTGCCCGTAATTTTGGGGTGCGGATAACCGAGGTGTGAGTGTGACTATAATGGTACACTGGGCCCTTCAAGAAAGTTGAAATTGGTGGCGTCGGCCCTGAACACAGTACTATTCCTACTGGCATGCAACAAAAGCTCACCGCTTGTGTCGACTGGTTTGGCCGGCGTGCTTTCCGCTCAAAGAGCGCCTCCGAGATCTCATCCATAGGAAGAGCATCGTCGCCCTACAAACACACACACACACACACGCACGCAAAAACAAACATGACACATTGCACCGGTGAGGGAAAGCCCAGAAGAGAGCATGACCTAAGGATGAAGAGGCCCAACATATATGCATCTCCAGAGCTGAAAAGAAGAATGTGGGTTGCATGGGACAGGATGGACAGGGACATCATGCAGGCCACACGGGTGTATGCCAAAAAGGGAAGAAAAGAGAAATTCTGCTTTCGATCAGGAACGAATGGCTGGCAATAAGAGCACGGCAAACCTGGTACGAGACTTCATTTCATTGCAACCGTGATTCCATAACGAACAAGTGATTGATATGACGTACGGCCGCTTTGTGACAGCGGCGGACACACGGCAATGGACAGCGCCTTGTCACTTGGCTGCCTTAAGGCCAGGGTCCACCGCGGCTCCGCTGCACGTCATCCGCGGCATGAAACATCATCATTGCAATAGTGACCGCGGCTCGGGCTGGTGCAGCGAGGCCGCAGCTCACCACGAGCTTTCACTACGCTGCTTGATCAAAAATTGTGAGCCTTGGTCGTAGTTCGGCCATTTTCCCGTATTTTGCATTGTTTCATACGCGAGAATTTTAAAATTCAAATTTTAATTCGTTGCACAGGCCAGAACACGGGGATTTTTTTGATGTCGCGCGCGCGCGCGCGCGCAGGCAGGTAAAACATAAAAAAACGTCGAGCACGACCGCGGTACCGCGAATGGCGAGTGTCAGGGGAACCGTGCTGCTCTGCTGCATGCAGCCAAGTGCCGCGGAGCAGCGGAGCCGCAGTGGAACCCGGCCCTTATATCACATGTGCGTGTGGATTATGTAGTTGGCAATGCACAAGAACTCTAAGTGGTGTGGCGTGAACATACCAGTACATGTACATGATCGTTTGAAGGTTGAACAGACATGTAATACTACATGTACTTCGAAGTAAGTTCAATCGCCCAGGCTAGACACTGGAAACAAGTGAAGGTGGCAGTGCAAAGAAAAATAGCCTACGCCCAGCAGCAGCAGCAGCAGCAGCAGACGTACCAGCAGTGAAAAGAGTGGCGAATCCCATCGGTTGCGGCTTTCCGGCTCTTCAAAACGCATCACCAGCTCATCAAAGCTGCCGCAAAGCAACAGAACAGTGGCACAGACCGGGACAGAATAATCATACACGACGTGACGTGCTGTATTGTAACTTGAGAAGTCCCAGTAGGTAACCAACATGACCGTATTGAACATAGCACTAGCTACTGGCTACGATCTACAAGTACAAGTACATTAGAGTGAGAACTCCGTGAATATAGCATGTACAGTGTAACGTAGAACATACAATGTACCTCAAGAGACATGGAAGTCTGTACACCATAGCCGATGCACTGTGTATCCAAGGTCAAATGACTAGAAAGGATACGCAGGGTCCTCAAAAGCACCTTATAAGTTATGGCCAATACAAAGTTTAAAGTAGTATGCTATATCCACTACAAGGGCACTTTATACTAATGTTCCACTGTACATAGATACTGTACCTGACTACCAGCGTGTGTGGTGCGGATTGGGGATTGATTGCAAACTACAGTCGCCGCTCACTCACATCTTATCAGAGTATCTGTCTTCTTCGGGACGCGAGGAGTTCCATTCCCGGCACTGCTCCACCGACGCCATGCAGTAAATCTATCGGCCGTCACAACAGAGACACCGGCGGCAAAATATCAATGCTGCGCACAACTCATTTGTCAATACCGACGAATATCGGTTAACTCAAGAAATCAATCTCTTTGCTTTACAAGGATAAACATGACGGCTATGATCGGTTTGATCGAGGAGTGCTGCATAAGCGGAAATATTCGTCGGGGATTTACTTTCGTCTTGTTCGTCCAAGAAGCTCCCGGACTAAATTAAACTAAAGTCGACATGTCCAGCTTTTCAGTACGTTTGATGATCCCCGGACGAAACTTTCAACCGGAAAAAAACTCCCTTTCTTTGGAGTTGGACGAATTTATTCACAGGCTAAATGTTCTGCTTGTGGAGTATGAGAACCCAAGAATCATACCATTTGGGAGGGCAGACAGAGAAATGTCACCATGGGCAAAACAAATGGCTGCGTGGAATAGACCTTTTGCGCGTTGTACAGATGTACGAAGTTCAGTACTAGGGCGGTGGTGTGTACAGACCCGATTGGGTGTTCATTGTGTGCTATGCATGCGCATTTGACCAAATTTTAGCCTCATAATCAATGGCAAACAATCCCTTTTCCAGCTTCTTCACTTTGGTAAGAACTAATAACTAGCTAGATCTTTATCAGAAAAGGTTTTCGTTTGAAATGCCTTCAGGGCCCATTTCTTAGTGGAAATAGCAGAAAACACAATAGGGTCTTGCACATTCAACACCCATTAGGTTCTACGAGATTTCGTGCATCTGTACAACGCGCAAAAGGCTTATGCTGGGCAGGCATTGCAGTATTTCACCTACATTGTAAGCAGATAGGACTGCACTCATGTGCAGTCTACCAACATGCGCATAAGCACCAACTACGCAATTACAATTCTACACTGTTCAAATCTTTGGCAAAGCACACGACTGTACACGACCTAAGGAACGTACCACACACTGCGTGCTTTTGTGCTGCCTTGCCACGCAGTACAACTCGTAGCGGAATCCTAGTAAACAAGAGTAGAGGGAAAGATAAAATAACAAAATTAGAATGCAAGATGGTGTACAACAATCACTGCCATGTATGGCAAGCAATCGCTGATATGGTGAACACATTTCCAAAGAGCATGTTCCACTATCAGGTAACACGGCCAGACATGACATCTAAAAATGAAAAGTGGGATTGAACGCCGACAGGAGAAGGAGAAAAACAACTTCGGAAACAGTGAAACAAATCAATATGTGGCGGTAAGACCTCATTGCCTGGGCTAAAGATCCTCCTGAGGGAGACGAGCTGGGTAGTCAAGGTCATGAAGCACTATACACCAAACACGAGGACGCTGAAGCCAAATTCTACGTTGATAGTGTCTCACGAATAAGCGAGAACATGTCATGGCTAAACAAGCTTCCTGCTAAGAGGTTCAGAGACAAGATGCACGGAGCTGGGTTCTTTTCCAACATTGAGGAGAGCAATGACTTGAAATGCATGGGAACGATGACGGGCAGTCCCGTTACAATGAGGAACTGGCTGTCCACATCAGAGCGGAGAAAGTCGACTGTGGGAAATTGTGCGAGATCATCAAAGACTGGGGAAGTTAGCTGCACGATTCGAGTAAACGAACAAACTCCTGCCGGTCGCTGGTCAGCTGTGAACGCGCACACAGGTAACGAGGTGCCGTTCAAATACAACAGTCTCTCACTCACCGTGTTGTTATGCCTGTTTGCGCGCATGGAGTGTGTGCATAAGTGCAAGTGTGCGTGCTCAAGCGTGCATGTGTGAGCAGCATGTACTTGCTGACCTTTTATGTAATTGGGCGAATCCACGATCACAACACTGTCCTTGGAAATGTGCCTGCAGTACAAAAGAGATCAGAATCATACAAGAACAGAGCAATGAAACTTTGAAACTTCAGTATAACGTAACTCCAAAAGGCCGTCAAAATCTGTACTTCATAGGTGAGGTATTTTATAACCAAGGTCAAAGGTCAAAGGTCACGGCATACATCAGAAATGGTCCAGGCGGCTATCGACAAGTCTGCTACATCTGTCTTGGGTTTTTCCCGGTGCCGTCAACCTGACTGGTTTTGGGAGGCAGAGTCAACCATCCAGCCATTGCTTGATGATCGGAATCAGTGCTACAACAACTGGCTTTGTAGTGGCCAGAGCCGTGACTGCTCTCAATACACGGCATTTAAGGTACTTCGAAGTAGCTACATAAAAGGCGCGTGCTTCGATATCCTCGGCTAGGGTAGACTGGATCAAAGCAAAGGCACAGGAGGCCACGGAGTCACGATTCAATGGAGCAGTTGTCTGAAAGTGCATCCATGACCTTCAGTCCTGTACCCAAGGCCTCGCCCAGTGCGCACCTCAACCGTGCTGGATGAGGATGATAACATCTGCAGTTCCCCAGAAGAACAGGTGCCACCGGTGGTGGGAGACACTTTGACGGTGTTCTCAACGTTGCAAGTTCCTGGCACCACAATGCCCTGGAGGATATTCCACAGCGACAGGAAGCTGAGCATCTTTCTGAGGCACCGACTATTCGTGAAGTTAGCCGCGCTATCTCCCGGCTACGAAGCGGCAAGTCAGCTGGAGCCCCTGGCATCCTCCCTGAGATGTTGAAGGGTGGTGGCCCTGACCTCACCGCCAGGCTTGTGGAGCTGTTTGGCGATGTGTGGCGTGCTGGGGTGGTTCCGCAGGAGTGGGTGGACGCCACGTTTGTCCCCATCCCAAAGAAACGAATTTATCTCGCTGTGATAATTGGCGGGGTATCTCACTGCTGGACGTTGTGGGCAAGGTTCTGGCGAGCGTCATCCAGACTCGTCTTCAGTCCGTGGCTGCGGATTTTCTCCCAGAATCTCAGTGTGGCTTCAGGCGTGGCCGATCTTGCACAGATATGGTTTTCAGTGTTCGGCAGTTCCTCGAGAATCAAATAGCATTACACTCCTCATCCCGCAGTGCAGTAGAGTATCAATTACCCGAACCATTCGGGGCAAATGCTGTTCAGAAGGGGTTCGGATAAGGAAAAAGTTCGCGTAATAAGAGAGATACAGACACGCATGCAGGGGCTCATACATGCATGTGATACATCAAATCATGGTTTATCATTAAAAAAAATGCGTACAAGATCATCAACTGTACTGGTTAAGTCCTGTGTCATGCATCTTCCGGAAAGAAATCTACTGTGCACAAGTCCAATCGTATTTACATTCGCAAGAAATAAACTTTGGTTTCAGCCAGGAGAATGAATTTGAAGACTCCACTGCAGCTGCATATATGGTTCAATAATACGGTGCTAAAGATACACCTGGCCAAAAGGCGGTGGATACATGCCGGCGCACACAAGCTCTCTAAGGTGCAAAGTTACACTTCACCACCGCCGCTGCCGCCACTACCACCACCACCACGAGCAGCATGGGGCCCAATCAATGCATGGATGATGGTATCTGACATAGCTCGCTGGCACATCAGGTAGCGCTTGGTGCATAGACGATGACACAGCTACGACTTGGCTCGACTGCGACGTACGTTTTGTCCCCGCTGGATTCATAAGGCAATATTCTTCTTGGACGTCTTTGGACAGAGATTGACACTCAGGAGAATGAATTCAAGAACTCCACTGATTTCAGCAAGGCTCCAGGTTTTGGTGACGTCAACCAGCTAAACCATAGGTTGTTCGTTTGTTTAAACAAAACGGCGAGGAGACAATAATTTGATACCCGCAATCAATACGACAAGCTGAATCGACATTTGTGTACACTTTATTCATGCAATGTAAAACAGCACATTGTCTCCACCGTTTTACATTGCATGAATAAAGTATACACAAATGTCGATTCAGCTTGTCTTATTGATTGCGGTTGTTTGTTTGTTGTTCGTTTTTATTTTACTTCACCAGTTTGACTGCAGTATAATGCACAATGCGGTCTATGTGCATGTTATACTAGTCGTATGACCCAAGAAGGTCCGGATTCGTTCATTCAGCCCTCCTACAAAGCACGACCAGAACTTGATGTAAAGGACCATGATGAAGCCACTGTGGCGGCATTCTGTTGGAGACTGTTTGTGGAGCATGCCTCTGGAACTGGCACCCTAGCAAATTCCATGCATTGCAAATGAAAGCCATAGTCTTACCTCTCAGCAGCGGCCTTTAGCGCGCCACGCAGCTCTTTTTCCTTTCGAGAATCTAAAAGCCAAAAAGATAAACACAGAAACACACTTCTTTGATGCACACATAACAACAGTACACTTCCTATGAAACACATCTTGAAAACGCCATGGCAACCATTGGACAGCTAACTGGCAGCACACGTCGAATTGGACAACTAATTGCCTGGGTAACACACACTGGACTGGACAATATTAACCTGGTGATCACCTTGTCACATTCGGGCAGTGGGCACTGCCAGCGTCCAATGTGCATTGTCTCCGCAAGACAATTGCATCGTGTTGAGTGCCCGGCGAGCTACCTCACTACACTAACTCCGGCGAGTTATCACGAACTCCTGGGACACTGGTGGAGCGGTGGCAAGAACCAACTCTGACACGTACCAGTCCTTGTACAATTAACGGGCCGTAATGAATCTACTAATGATGCAAGTAGGCCACCTTATTGTGGAGCTGGTGCAGATTAAATTCTGACGTGCTGCGTCGGACTGGTATGGCCTTTATTCACTGGCATATAAAAGACCGGTTTTGATCATATAAAGTTCGGATGACCAAAAAATCCCAGTCTGGCATGAGGCTTAGGGTGTCGTCGATTGGCGAATCTGGATTGAATGCGAGCAGGCGGTGTGGTCGGAGCAACGCTGGCCCAATCGAACAAAGCGAGGGTGTAGTGCGCAAAATGTATGCATATCGTACAAAGATTCTGTGAAAGCTGTCAAAAAACACCACTAAAGTCCATTTCCACTCCAGGTGTGGGGCCGGTGTGGTCAGATTCCACTCCAAGTACAGTAAAACCTGTAACTTAAGACCACCGTGACTAGCGACCAGCCTGGCACTACCGACCACTTGGCCAGGCACGGACGGTCTCACATTCAAAATGCACTGTGACTAGCGACTACCTGCTGAACGCGACCAGCGACCGCCTTTTCTTGTCCCAAAGACGGTTTTTGACCCGTAACTAGCGACCGCGATGTAGGAAATCAAATGTTGCTCGAAGCTCCTTCTTGACATTTTGCTGATTTTCAATGGTCCTGAATGGAATCTTTCGGTACTACAGCTGAACAAATGAACGCAGGCCATTATGACTGTGGAGTCGGTGTGAACTGCACTACACCTGTCAGAATTTCAAGAGCTGTCAAGAATAAACATGATAGGAAACGTCTTTGAGAGCGCATCGAAAGCGCTCTCTGCTCGATGTTACTACTCGGAGGAGAAACGAAGACTGAGCGGCTCTGTCACCCCAGTCATACAAATGAATCGACGATGGCGTCAAGGAATCCAGAAAAAATAGCAGCACCGCAAGGTCCTGATGCTGAAGGATCGCGTTCGAACAATCGAGAAGTCACAACAAGGATTGTCGGTACGATTGATCGGATGAACAAATTTGAAGCCCAGCGCAAAACGAAACTTCCACAGGGAACGTTTGACTCCTGGCTTCAGAAGTAGCAGCTGAATTTGATGTCTGCAAAAAATTTAATCTTCTGTCTCTCTCTCTCTTTTTTGTCTCTCTCCATCTCTCCGTCTTTCTCTCCAAGTGTTGTTTGATCTGAAATAAGAATGGCATTGCGCAAGTCCTGGGGAATTGTCACGATTAGCTGCATTTTGATATGCATATCATATACTGGGATCCATATAATGGTCGCACGATGCAAACCTCTAACTAAAGACCACCTGCTACTAAAGACCGCTTTTGCTGGCACCAAGGGGTGGTCGGTAGTCACAGGTTTTACTGTATACCTATTCCGGGTTCGACCGGATTCGGCCAAATGATCATGCTCACTCGAAGCACACTTGCTCGGGATTCACCCAATCGATCATGCCCTAATGCTGTAAGGAAGTAAACGCTTGCACCGGCTTAAATTCGCGATTAGCTTGCACAGACCGATTTGCACCACGGAATGTTTGGGATTGGAGTCGATTTCATCTGTTTCATTACTATAGTTCTACACGTTGCGCCGGCTTACTTTTGCGATCTCACACCCGTCGCGAAAATAGAGAACGGTTCCATATCGCAAAGGTTTCCCTGTTTACAGTGCTCCGAATGTCAACTAAAACACAATTATTTGGCCCCAAGGGGGGGGGGGGTGGAGGTGCGGCTTAGACCCCGGGGTGGCTTAGACCCCGGTGCGGCTTAGACCCCGGTGTGGCTTAGACCCCGGTGCGGCTTAGACCCCGGTGCGGCCAACACTCAGGAAAACACGGCATACATTCTTGGTTGCAACAGCGGTTCGTTTCATACGTGAATTGCACGAGATATCAAGCTCGACGCTGATTTTTTGGGCAGCACGGGCGTAGGCATATAGGGAGCCATGATGACTAGTAGATGGCCTGACACCATTTTGGTTTATCTCCTCCAAGCTTGCTGGGGAGCTTCCCTCTACAGTATCAAGCCACGTGCTTTTAACCTAGAATGATGCGGCCGTCAAAACTGACAGCATGCTGCTGCTAATGTTCACTTCCCTGCAGACGAAGTTGTTCAGGACGTTGTCAGGTTGTGCTCAAGCTCAGTACATGTACATGTATCCGGAATACATGCCTAACACTGGACAACTGTCCACTCACACGAACTTCTGATAACAAGGACATTCTCTGGCATTCGTGTCAAGTGTATTACATGTAGTACATGCCTGTATTTGTACACTGATATCATAGATAACATTTCGTCATTGCAGCGCGTTATTTACACTTACGCTACAGTGTGTGAATTCGTGTTCCGCTTACCGGCATAACACTCGTTTCTTTCAACACGGCATTGCAAATCACCAGCTAAGTGCACGGTTTTGCCTGCAGCTTCAAGCTTTTCCCGAATTTCCGTCGCGCGTCTGGTTTTGCCAGAAGAAGGGTAGCCACAGAGCACTATGAGAGGCATCTTCACACTGAAGGTACTGTGCTTTTGCTAGTGTTGTTCTTGAACGGAAATCGACAAGATCATTATTTTGTTTGAACAACGAAAATGGGTCATTCTCCTGTACTGACTCTGTTCTGTTTTGAAACTGCACCACTGCACTGTGTGTGTATGACGTCCTCGCCCAAAACAAAAACTCGACTCTATGACGCATCCATTTTCGTAACCATGGTAGCGTGCTTTATATAAAAAAATCTTTCGAAATGCTCAAAAACATTTTTGCAGAAGAGGGCCACAAAAAATGTAGGATCGATCGTCTGTTCAAGTCAACCTTCCTGTTCGTTGCGATTTTGTGTTTGGAGAACTCGACTGGAGAAGCAAGTTAGTTTCCCCTGTTGTTTTCGAGATGGCTGCGGCGGCGCGTGTAGATCGGAAGCTCCTTAGCAAGGTCTTCGACTGGACGAAGGTTCTTTCCAAGGTCCCAGAAGGGTCGGTAGCCCGAAAGGATCTGCTTGCTCTCCGTGCTAAGCACGACCAACTCCGTGAGCGTTTGGACAGCCACCCAGAGAATGCTGCTCCTATTGACTTCGACCACTACCGAAAGCTGATTGCCAATCCTGGATTCGTAGACAGCATGGAGAAGACGTATAAAGACCTGTTGACTAAAGTGCCATACCCTTCAGATCCGTTTACAGCGGAGATCAGTTCTCGCGAGAAGGAGGCTGACAAGCACTTCGCCACTGTGATTGCTGAAGCCAAGGATATCGCCCAGGAGCTGCAGACATCACTGGATGAGTTCAACAAGCTGCCACCATTTGAGTCCATGACCTGGGATGATTTCTTCGACCGCTTCCCTAAGTACGAGGAGAGGGTGGACAAGATCCTGTTTGAAATGAATTACGAGGGCAAGTTCGAACACATCAACGACATGATCAATGGCAGGCTGGAGGCAGGGCCAGAGGAGGCTAAGAAGTAACGTGCTTTCAATTTGATAGCATGTATGTGTAGAATTGTCCTGTCTGTGTATGATAGTTTTGTGGCGTGGAACGCCTGCATATACTGCTAGAACGATACGTGTACAATCACCTTTTTTATTTAAATCATATTGACAATAAATACGCTTTTCACGTGTCTGCATCCATGTACGTACGGATCGCGGAGTCGTTGGAAGCAGAGCCCTTGTTTCGATACGAGAGAGCTCTGCTCAGGACCCTCGCTATGCTTGGGTAGCGCGACGCACCGTCGGCCCTTGGCGGACCTGTTGTGTGGTTAGTGCCCGCCCGTGACGCACAACACAGACACGGAAAAAGCACTGTGCCCCCCCCCCCCCTGACTAGTCTAGCGCCAGATGCCACTATTCGAAACATCGTTTTGCATGGCTACAGCGACAGGTAGCCGGTAGATGCAGAGCCGTGAGTGCATGTGACTGCGCACTCGCCAAATAGGCATGTTAACCATTAAGCTTTGCAGTAGAGGAAAGCGCGAAAATGTGTGTGGTAGGGTGAAGAAATTGACCGCAAGTCAAATTTCTCACAACGACGGCCAGTTTCCCATGTTCGAAAAATTCATGGCCCACGTGACACTCGATAAGACCAACTTGTCCGCATCCACAGCAACGCCATCACCCTCAAGGGTCAAGACTCTAAACATGTTCAAACAGCAGAAGTATAAATCAACCCCTATGTGCACTCCGGCTGCTGCACTGAGGTGTGTAATTTCCCACATCCGTGTTGTATTTCTCATCTCAACACAGTTGTATAGCCGGTGGTAACGTGGACGTGTGAACTTTCCTCTTTTTTTTTGGCTTTACATCCTGGTCCACACCGGCTATAAAATTGTGTTGAGAAACTAATAAACCAACAAAATTGTCAAATAGGCGACACCAAGAAAAACATTCGCGGATCCCGGGCAGCACCCATGACCATGTGAGTGCAGGTGGTCGAATTTTTAGTGACCGTGCATGTTATGTATGCATAGTATGTTGGGTGTACATTTGCGTAGTATTTTACAGTATGCGGTACAGGGTTTGCCCGTACTTCAATAGAACTTTCAAGTACATTTTTTGTATTTCGCCCAGCGACGGCCCATGCAAATCAGGCACAGTGCTGCAGGTGCTATCGACTTCGAGTCGCAACATGTTGCACTTCACCTTTTACAGCGTAGATCTTCTATGTAAATGCTTGTTTACAGCACTAGTGCTACCAAAAGTACATAATCCCAAGAGTATACAACTCTACATATGGGGTTGGCGCGGCGTTGACCTACTGCCTGCATTACGTAGCTACGAACTGTGGGTCTTTGCTCCATTTTTCATCTGCTACGGTTTCTGCTTCCGAATCCGCTTTCCTTGGAGACTTCGGATGGTTTTTGTATGTGATGCGTCACGCACAGCCAGTGCCTTTGAACTTACTGCATTGCACTTGAAATTGTTGAGGCAAAACCGTAGGAAAAATCCAATCCATGCAGCTGGATCGTCATTGCGTAATGCAGGCAGCGCGCTGCACACGGCACCCAAAGCTCGGAAATCAGATGCCAAGGTATCTAGTTAGTATCTTGTGCCCTTTGGATGCAGTCAGGGGCTGAGGGCCTGTCTGCAGGGGACATAGAGCCAGGGCTAACCGCGGTTTTTAGTTCCGCGGTTTACGATACGCGCTCCCAGATCTGTTAACCAGCCTTTTCAAAGGTCTTGTTAACGTTCGTATACATTAGGCCTAGTATACATCATGAGGTGGATTGGAAACTTGCCCTGGGCTCCTCCCCCCCCCCCCCAACCCCAACCCCAAGCGTGTTTACTGTACACCAAAGACTTGTTTTCTCGTGTAAGCGGGGCCCCTAGGCTGGGCTCTAAAATCCCGGCTGTGTACTGCACCTATGATAAAATAGCGCCCGTACCACCGGACGCTACGCAGCCCTAGCAGTAGCACTACACACGCACAAGCACACACACACACGCACATACAAACACACTCTGTGTGACCCTACTTTTTTCTGTATGTAGGATTTCTCTGGCCAGAACTGTAGTGCCTACCTCCGATGCATGCATATTGTTTTAGCTGCTTGTGCTCCATGCAGTACAATATAAGCAGTCATTTGACCAAGAATCATCTGCCAATCCAGCTCGAGTAACTTGTTGTATCGCCAATCCTACAATACACACCGCACAGTCAGCACGATCCTAGTAACGTTGCACGACTCCCAAGCTGTCAAAAATTATTGTGGCTTTTCTAGCCTTCATATTGGCAAAGTATGTGGATGCACTGGATGCGTGGGTTAGGCACTGTTTAGGACTGGCCCATGCCAGCCGGCAGTGCTGCATCTTGTACCACACAGCTCAAACCAGGGGGTCATAAAATACTTTTTCTCTCACAGACTCCCTGGTTCAAGCCGTAGAATCATATTCACGCCGTGCGTTCGGTCCAGAACGACCCACAATACCGATCACCAAGATCCATATCAAGACCATCTCTCCAACAATATCACACAGGAACAAATTTGGAATACTGCCCAGACCATTGGCTGTAACTGGTTACTTGAGACTAATGAAAATAATACACTTGTGCACCCTGGTAGAATGTGAACTACGTGAGAGGGTCAAATATTAAAATAGGGGTAAAAATACGCCTTGGCTTTGATACAAGCCGACACTATTAATGAACAAAATAGAACTAGATAATTCTGTCTGCTATTTCACGCACTAGACGGCACTAATGACCGATGAGTATCTATTAGTATATTATGGACTGTGGTACAGTACAAGGCCAGGTCACAGCAGCTAAGTAGCATAGCTAAAACTAGACAGAATGCCAAGGTAAGTTATTCTTAAAAAGACTGGAGTGTAAGTTCCATATGGAGCCGATGTATAAAGCGCGTAGCTTCAAAGAGATAAGGTTATGTAAATAGCCGAGTCAAAGTGCATCAAGGCGCTTACACTTGACACAGCCGCTGCAGCAGAGTACTGTAAATTGGGCCAAACACCTTCTGGTTGTAGACTGCTAAGCGTGAGAACGAGGTTATAACCGTCCGAAGGCGCTGCTCCACTAGCTGAAAGCCTCCTGGTACGTCCAGCTCTGCAGGGTGCTTCACTTGGCTGGTGATGGCCTGGTTAATGCAGGCCTTGAGACGACGTGCTGCACGTGAAACAAATGAAAACAAACAAAACCGTCACACCAGGGCACATACTGTAAGACCACTTTTATCAATGGACATTTGGAGCGACGCAATGTATTAACATTATAGTACATGTATGTTATTATAGTTGTTTGCTGGTTTTGACCTCCAGAATTCGTTAAACATTTCGTGTCGTTAACCGACAAAAATCCGGTGATTCCATGATTTTTTCCCGACACCTTTGCCCCGCCCGTACACGAGGCTTCTTCGAAGCTACGTCAGACGCAAGTGCTTGGCTGGAAGTCGATCTCTTTAGGCTACTTAGCAATTAGCCCCAAGCACCCACACATCACTTACATAGAACATTATGCACCGGGTTCTCCAAAGAGTGGGACTGAGTAACTGCCAGCTCAACCTTCTGTCTGAGTTCATCGTCCAGAGGTGGAAGGCCGTGTGCTTCTCTGTACTTGTTGACTGAGCTGATGACTTGAACAGAAACATGTCCACGGGCTTCATCAGGATCTCTACAAAACAAAGCAAAAAACGAAAACAGACAGCCAAAAAACAACAATTTATAGAACGCAATCAATAGAGAGGTTCTGCACAACGAAAATTCGAACGAAGTTTCGCGACAGGCCTTGCGAAAATGTGTACGAATTTTCGCACGAACTTTGTGTTCTGCACATTTTCGTAGTTTGCACGCGCCAAGTGCACGTACGACATGACCCAATCTCACGAAACTTCCTACGAAAGTTCATTTCGCGTTCCCTGCAAGTTTCGCGTCCAAAGTTGCGAAAGTTCGTGCGAAGTTTCTCACTTCGTGACGTAGAGCGAAAGTTCGTACACATTTTCGTTTTGCAGAACCTCTCTAATATCGCGAAATCCAATGTCAATTTAAGAAACCCTACTACTGTACACAAATCTGTGCAACCATACTAGCTTGCACATCCTTTGAGCAGTGCATGTCAAGACATATAATAGTGTATAACATTTATATACTGTAAGACATGTTATTATAACGAGTCGCAAATTTAACGATTGTCCAAAATTCATAGGTTAACGAGAAGGTATGTTAACGATCTTGCAGTATTCTGCCATATCCACACACAGCATATATGAAGCAGTACGGCCTCAACGGATCTTATTATAACGAAGAAATGTCATCCGTTAAAACGTTAGATTTGCTTCCTCGTTATATATACATGTCTTACAGTAATAATGATCAAGTAAAGAACTATAATACTGCTGGTGATAGATTCACACAGGTGACCAGAAGAAAAAACACTTGCTCACCCCATGTTGCCATCATCCAACAGAATGAAAAGAGTGTCGCGTAGCTGTGCCATAAACTCGGCGCTGTTGGCAATTTCCCGACCAAGAAGACCGCCAATTAGGACAGATAGAGTTTGCACGAAGACTGCACACTTCAGCTGTGATGACATCATCTCAAGTCGCTTGGTATCCAGCCACCAGGTCTGAGCATTTCAGCAACCACACACACACACACACACACACACACACACACACACACACACACACACACACACACACACACACACACACACACACACACACACACACACACACACACACACAACACACACGCACGGACACACACACACATACAATACAAGAGTCAGTGACATAGTCATTGTTAGGTACTGGTAAAGTAGTAATATTACGTCATTCCATGTCACAAGGGAACAACAGGCTGAGTCAACAGTGCATCAGGTAACAGGCAAAATGCAAAGAAACACATAATTACAGAACAGGCAACACAAACTGCATGTGCCTACCTCGGGACCATGTTCCACTGACTCGGTGATAAGATCGGTAAACGCCTGGCGCAGCACACCCAAAGGCGAGCATGGCCCAGGTGCAGCTACTGCACAGCTCTGCTGGGCCTTTGTAAGCCACGCCACAGTGTGCTCAAGGCCAGAGTCTACAATAGCAGCAGCAGCAGCAATAACAAACATACACAGAAGGCTTTGCCCAACTGAACGTGAACAACGGTGATATGAGAAAGCAACCGGGTCATTCCAGGGGTTGGCAACAGTAGTTTACCAATGTGAATTGAAGTCCACAAATAGCATGCAAGCAAAAGCAGTCACGCTATCTTTCTAACAGGGCCACCCTCAAGGCAAGGTGAGAACATCTGCAATTCTGCATCATGCAAGACAAAGTTCAGTTCTTTCCAGGTGTTCCGAGCGACAAAAACGAGAAGTACATGTACCTGGAGCGTCCGGAAAGAGCTGCTCAAACTTTTCACGCTCGTAGCGAGCGGAATGCTGAAGAAGCACTGGGCGAATGCTCTTGAGCTCGTGATTGGCCAGGTCCAGACGCATCAGTGACAGCAAATCAAGAATACCCCTGTGATGACCACGCACGCACGCACGCACACGCACACGTACACACACACACGCACGCACGCACACACACACACACACACACACACACACACACACAACAGGAAAACAAAGACTCAAGCAATGAATGCACCATGGAGCAACTGCATGCTAATAGTTGGTGGAAGTCAAAACCTATCAGCAAAGAACAAGTCATTGCTCTAGTCCCGCTGTGCTGACCCATTCCAAACTGGCTGTTGCTACCTATAACATATCGAACACTCAGACTCCTGGATCACAGTATAACAGAAAGATTTTCCAGCCATCGTCTAAAACGTTCCGCTTCACAGTGCATGCATGTGCCCTCAGCCAATCAATACCAGAAGCTAATTAGCGCCCTACTTACTTGAAGATAGCAGCAATGTCCAGGTCATCAGCACCGAGCATTGCCACCAACTGCTGCACATCGGCATCTCGAGAAGGCGCACAGATGCGCTGCATCACGTCAAGAACAAACTGTGCCAGCGACTTGATGTTGAGAATGCCCTGCTGCATCTGCTGCTTGATCAGATCGATGTCCAGACCGGCGTCGATTTGCATGTGCAGCGTCGTTACCCTACGGCTCGGTAATGCTGACAGGAGGTACTGCAGCACAGAAATACAGGAACAGTGTACAACCATAGACTGTGAGTGTGGACAGTATACTTTAAAGACTAGCTGCTAGGACGTGTCATGAGTTGCTAAAAAGAGTGAAAACTTGAGTCGTCAATGACCGGAATATCGGAAACACAAAAAACTTGTACAAGCAGATGAAAAACAAGTTACGGCGGAGCTGAGAAAGGCACAATATCCCGTGTCATGACCTGCACCAAATGGATATCCAACTACGCATGGTGCCAAGGGACAGACTTGCCAACCCTACCGGATTTTCCGGGAAAATCCAGGTAAACTCGCTTTCGTTCCGGTATACCGGAAAAGTTATACAATCTACCGGATTTTCGAAAATGTCCGTCAGCACCGGAATTTTGTTGACTTTCAGTGTTTTTAACGCTCCGAGCGCAGCTCGCGAGCAGCGCTAGACCCACAACGAAACTCTATACTAGCGAGCAAAAACTCTCGAGTCAGCGCTTGGACAAGTACGTTTTATCGCACATGCTGTAGAATTTGAGAACATTATCTGTAAAATATTAATAGCAGATCAAGGAAAAATGGGCACAATGAAGGAAAAACCTCGTCGGTGTCGAGGAAACTTTTTGCCAGGGGTTGGCAAGTATGTATAGGGCCTATGCGTAATCTTCTTGCCAAGCGGTTTCGCAGGCAGAAAAATCACGAGCCGCGTTCAGTCATAATCACAAATAGAGCTAGCTGTACCTGCCAAGAGTGGGATCCCTCAAGTCTCAAGTCTCAAGCCCCTGTCCTTGCCAAGGCGATGGGCCATGCTTTAACAACACATAGGTGCTCTTTTTTCGTCAATGCATTTTCAAATCCAAGAAGTTCCGTCCTGCCCAAATTCAAGAGGGAACACAGAATGGACATGGTCACGTCTCCTACCTCCTTGACATCATGCAACAGGTTGAGCACCTGGTCAAACACGGGAGGATCCTGCTTCAACTGCTCTCGAAGCAGATCCCAGAACGCCACCATCATTGTACTGCGCACCTGTGCCATTAAGCTGCAACAACAAAGAAAAAAACAACACACAGGTGATTTAGACACATTGAAGCCGCTAAATGGGTACAAAGCGTGTCGCAAGCACATAAAGAACAGTTTCGAAGAGAATGGCTCTGAAATAATTATGCTAGACTGCAACATTTGATGAAGTTAGATATCAGGAAAAATGGAGTTTCAGCACCCCCCCCCCCCCCCCCCCCCCCCAATACACACACACTCTCACCTACGCGAACACACACACACACACACACACGCACACACACACCAGTAGCACTGACCTGCCCGGTGCAGCCTCTGGCTGTCGCAGTTTGTAGTCTTCATCCAGCACCAGCTCGTGGGCCATCTCCAGGTTTTGAGCAATGGCTGCCACATCCAGGTGCGAGCCAGCCTCCCCACCGTCGTCAGCAACATGCTGGCGTCCAGGTGGCGCATTGTTACCACCTCCGCCGCCGCCGCCAGCTGACGCAGCATCACCCTCCTGATTGGAAGCAGCAGCACCACCAGGACTACTACCCTGACCAGCGGAGGCCGGCGCAGAGGATGTCCTTGATGACTCTGCTGCCTGACTGCTGTCGGAAGTGGAACCCTTATTGGCACCATCATTTCCTGTAGGGTGCTCGATGGTTTGGACGACTGGGGCTACTGACAAACTAGCAATGAAGTGACTAACACCGGCCTGGACAGAATAGAACAAGACAATGACATATTCTAATGTAGTGATGTACAGTATATGAAATGACACCGAAATCAAAAGTACTTTTATACAAACCTGTTCCGTACATCTAGTGCTCACTACATACTACATGTGCATGTGGTGCTAAAAATCGGCCGCTGGCATTAACACTTCAGCTGCGTTTACAACTGACACCAAGAGTACATAACGAACTGTACTCTTGCTGACACGTGCATGCAGTACGCTTGCGGTTCATGCATGCCATTCAAGCTTTCGAAGCGAGAAAAAAAATTCTAGCAACGCACAGCACTCGCATATCCATGTGGCGTTGGCAGTACTACTTATTATGTGTGGGCCACAAGTCAAAGTGACTAGCAGGTGCGCTGATAAACACGTCAAACGCGCTGAAAACACATGATGTTGGAATATCCATTACAGTGCATTTCCATTCGCATGATGCCTCAAAAGACAAAAAATCATGCACGGTCTTGTGCAACTTGATTAACAGTATTTCCAAGTCCACTGAAACAAATTCCGCATGACCACTGCCAAAGTGTCTTGCCTTACCTGCCCAGCCAATCGCCGCACAGCCACAAGAATATCCTGCTGCTGCCTTTCAATGTTGGGCACAAACTGTGACTGTGCCTCGTCGTGCTCAGTGCCCTCCTGGCTCATCACGGTCTGCTTCAGTGCTGCAAGCTGCAGCCAGTGCTCACGGTAGCTAGCTATGAGGCGCGCCGAGTCCTGCTTCTTCCACGCTGAGAATGCGCCTTGAAAGCTGTGCCAGTTGGCGAGGAAGAGCATGAGTCGAAGGCGACGTGTTGACCTACGCAGACCCACCACTTTGGCAAAGGCAGTGAAAAGTCCGGCGGCACTGGCCTTCAGCTGGTCCGCAGCTGCTTCTTCCTGCTCGATGACGTCTTTTGGGAAGAACTTGATGATGAGAGAGGACAGGACAAACCTCGCTTGCCGGGTTGTACTCTTGCAGTCGGTCACACCGATGTGAGGACAAACCTGGCAACATTGCACAATCACAACAAAACATAATATCTTTATGAGGTGCTGCACAAAGTCTGCACCATCAGACACAGACAGACACAGACAGACACAGACAGACATTGACCGTGATCAGTCGTAGTTAAGCTCTCTCGCTCTACGCTTTGATAGCAATATAGACTAATTCTTGCATACTAGAAAATGCTGTCTCACCTACGTAAAAGTCTAGGTATAGCCGACAGTATAGGTCAAGCCACATCAAACTATACACGCCAAAAGACTCTTAAACCAACCTGGGCCAGCTTCCAAAGCAGGGTTTGTGTGGCAGCCACAACTTCGGGCAACGACACAATGTGCTGCGCAATAGGGTAGGTCAGCTTCTCCACAGGTTGACCGCGCAAGAGGCGTATCAAAGTGCGTGGAACGGCTGCGCGGAATGCCGCCGCAGCACGCTTCACACACACGCGCCTCCACCAGCGCTGGATGGCGGTAGCTGCATAGTTTTCATCAGCAGCCAAGCAGCCACCAGCCTGCGACGCGTGGCCTTCGTTGCGATTGCTCATGTTGGAGCGCTTGCGCAGGTGATTGCAGCGGCGCGCTTCATTCTCCTGCAGTCGATCCCGGTATTTCTGCATCTTGATAGACTTGCGCTCATTCTCCTTCTCGCGGATTCGAGCAGCCACAGCTTTAGCATGTGCGACCTGTTCCCAGATAGACAAACACACGTGCACACGCGCACACACACACACACACACGCACGCACACACACACACACACGCGCGCGCGCAGTAAAAATCAGAATAGAGCAGTAATAAAAATCCTTCACAAGTTCACATTTGCAATTTCACATCCAATGGTGTGTGTAAGGATTTACGCCATACACCACTGGTCGGCCGAGAAAACACAACAGCTGATGGTGATATACAGTAGGTATCGGTTATAGCGTGGGTGTTTGAAAAACGACATTTGATTATTATTCCCGATATTTCTTACACACGATAAATCACGTGTGACGTATCATATGCACGTGTGACATATCATATGCGCGCACGTTTGGCATGTGGACACGTACACATGATACACACGGATCAATCAGACTCGCGGTCGTGCTAGGCGACTGCGGAGCAGCGGATACGAGAGAAGTCGGAAGAAAGAGTCCGACTGGACAGAAAAAGTGATTCCCCAATGCTCCCTTGGGCATAACTCTTTTTGTGTTGAATATTATTGTATTGAGTATGCACAGAGCACAGATGTTATCACTACCGGCGATACACTTTGCACTAATCTGGCATATTTTGCTACACAAAATCCATTCTTAGGGCCGATATATTCCACTATGCGATAATACTGCTTGTAAGAATAATTATCGCCTTCTTAGTATTTGACCCCACTAATTTCCCTGATACCTAAGCGGTCAAATATATCGCGTATTTGACTGCTTAGTCAAATACACGATATATTTGACTACTTATATTTGACTCCTTAGAATTTCTTGGACTTAGAAATTTTCTCTCCAACTTAGAAAAAGAATTTTTTGAAGAAAGCAGAAATACACAAGATGGGATTTGAACCCACAACCTTGTGAATCTCAGTCACTCTTCCTTACCACCCAGCCACTGTGCTACCGATGCTGAACCTAGTTTAAACAATGATCTTGACTTTCAATGCAGTACAATGCGGTATAGGCTATAGTATAATACTAGAATTACAAGGATATGTCGTATATGAAAAGAAACTATTGCGTGGAGAACACGATAAATAGATTATAGACCTCATAGTTGGTCTATACAGGATATATAGACCTCGTAAAAGACCTCGGGGGACCTCGGTCTTTTACTCGGTCTATATATCCTGTATAGACCTCCTAACCGGTCTATAATCTATACATATACACATAAAATATGTGTTATGATTATGAAAAATGAGTGTTAATTCTTGTAAGCAGTATATTCTTTTATCACTCTTCTATATCGACCTCCACTAATTCTCGTGATCCTTGACTGGTCCTATATTACCCATATCGCCGCAATATCGACCGCTTGTATCGACCACTTCGGCATTGTAATCTTTCGACTTTGGAGGGACTTAGAATTTTTCTCTCCACTTCAAAAAGAAAAATTGAAAGAAAGAAGACAAAGGAAGAGAACAAGCAGGATTTGAACGCGGACCTCGGTCTTTTACTTGGCCTATATTTCCCATATAGACCTCGTCTTGGTCAATATCCTATACGTATACGACCACACTATAACCGATACGCACTGTACAGTGCCAGCTTATTCCCGAACATATGTATAAGACGTGTGACATCACAAAGTGTGTCTGGCATAGCCAGGGTCAACAGCCTTTATAACAAACACAGACAAGGAATCGAGTATCCAGTATCTTGGCAGAAGTGTAGAAGTTGCAAAGTGACGAAGTGCGTTTGGCATAACCAAGGTCTAGAGCCCTTTTTCCTATCTATGTGTGTGTGTGTGTGTGTGTGTGTGTGTGTGTGTGTGTGTGTGTGTGTGTGTGTGTGTGTGTGTGCGTGTGTGTGTGCCCCCACCCCCACCCCCACCAAGAGTGTTCGTCTGTGTCTGCGGCCGCGACTTTCGCCGTCCGAATGATTTATCCCGACACAAGAACTACTGCCTCGCGTAATAGCTATCATCGCCTTTGGCGATGGGCTTTCCAAAGGTCCAAAGGTGTGTGTGTGTGTGTGTGTGTGTGTGTGTGCATGTGTGTGTGTGTGTGCTTGCGCGGATACGTGTATGTATGTGTGCGTGTGTGTGTGTGTGTGTGTGCGCGCGCACTGCATGCACGTTGTTTGTGTGACACGGGAGCAAGTGACCACGTGTGCAGACACATGTGTGACCGCACGTACAGGTGAGCGCGGAGGTCATATACATGCATGTCCAACGATGCAAAGGTGCGGAGCTCCGGCTTACCACTCAAAAGTCAGCATTGGTTGTATGGTTTGCCACTCACTTCAAATTTGCCATGCAAAAAAATCAATAGATGCGCTGCTCAATGAAATCCAGTCGTGTCACTCAAGTTTGCGCCTTGCGTTATTTCGCAGCCCAGTGTTCGCAGTTCTAGCGCAATGCCCGGTGCGTACTTGAGTGACGCGACTGGATTTCAATCATCGAGCAGCACTGCAGCACTGTTTCCCACTCAATACAAACCTGGCATTGGTTTCCACTTTGTGCCTTCATGCCTACCATGCAGCACCGTGTAGATCTACCAGTTGAGCGCAAAATGATAATTATTGCAAAAAAACTCACTCGTTCACTGCATTTCTCAGTTGTGCTCTGCAGGCGTTGTTGCTTTCCAGCGCATGCCATTTCTAAGCGCCGCTGGACATCACGACCCTTCTCTCTCAGACGCTGCAGCTGCTCTTCTCTTAGTGATCGTGTACGGTCCACTCTGGCCAAGCCAGCAGCAAGTCGCTCTCGCCTTTGCTCCAGAAAAGCGTTCCTTCTCTCCGTAGCTGCTGAGTGTGAAAGCTCGACTTGATGAACCGGCGAATCCATCATGTTCTGCCGCTGCAGGAACGATCTAGTAATCACCATCACAAGAACAAAATAACTGCACTTGACCTCCTGCTTCTGTCTTTTCTGCTCCACAATAAAGCTCGTCTTTGTTAGCATACACGTGTGGAGAAGAGATTTGGAATGAAAGGAAGGAAGTGAATCCTAGGTTTATCTATTGAAAGCTCCTGTATATTGCGGACCGAATCAAGACAATGGCAGTTTATTTCGCTTCATTGAATCATGAAACAACGAACGTCAGCAAGATGAGTCACGGCATCGTCATCTTCTGACACACAAACGCCACGGCCGTGTGGGCTGCAAGGCCTGAAGGCTGAAGTCTAGTTTAGTTTGATGATTTCATTTTCATACACAGTTTCAGTGACAACTGACAAGACACTTCATGTTGTGGCACTCACGACACTCCTTAGCTAATATAAGAGAGAGTTTAGTACTTCTTTACTTCACATGACAAGGAGTGAGGTGACCTAGCGCAACAAGCAACCAAATAAAATAGTTACCTGTGGAATCGACAATGGAAAAATCGAAAAGATGACGCTGTCAGTTCATTGTCATCTGCAGCTTCGTCTCCGGTTGCTGGCACAACCCAGAATGAAGGACTTTGGTCAGACATTTTACCTGATGTACATTGGGAGATAAACTAAACTTCGAAGATAAACTCAAAGAGAGGAAAGAAATCATATCCAGGGGAACTCTAGTACCAAAGTGCTGGTTTGTTTCATGACTGAAAGACATGCACGCCCAAACAAACGAATTCGCGAAGAGCTGGCTTGGAAGCGTCCCCAAGCTGTACAACTGGTACACCTCCGGCATAATGCCTGTGACGAAGTGTGAGTCATGGATATGCACCACGCGCCACACAGTACAGCTATACATGTACTAGGGAGTCGTTGAGATGAGAGGCAGCATACGCTGAAAATATCAAGTCGTTGTACACACCGTATACGCAAGCGTACCGGCTTTCACTACCGTATCGATTATATCGGCAAGGCGGTATCTCGCTCGCTAGGGCCTAGGCGGTAGATCTACCCGCTAGTGCTGCTTGTTATGGTAGATCTACAGCAGTACTTGCTAGCTCGATCGAGAACACGGTTCGATGCACGATCACAAGTCTTGTACTTGTGCCCACAATTACAAGTGATCGTATCCCGTGTATCAGCTGATTCGCACTTGAGGATCAGGTGATCGCTTGCTAACTACTACTCAGTAGTAGTGCTTGTAAGGAGGTACACAATGGACCGCACCGTCTCAGTTCTGGTCTTTGTGATCAGTAATAACAAGAGTGCATAATGTACTCTTGGTAATGAGAACAAGCAATGAGCAACAAGCAATGACAACAGCACAGTGCCATCACTGACTCACCAAGAGTCCATGGACTGTTGGTGCCATGGCATGAGAAACAAGCATCACACACTGAGAGCACACAAGAACAGACTGAATGACATCCTTGGCACGACAATAACACGCACACATGCACAAACTCACACACACACACACACACACACACACACACACACACACACACACACACACACACACACACACACACACACACACACACACACACACACACAAACACAAACCATACACACACCACACGCGCGTGCGCGCGCGCGCGCACACACACACACACCTTGACCTTGCCCATTGCGAACACAATGATAGCGAATGTCGGAAAGTTCCAAGTGAGAACACAAGCGCAGAACTTGGCATGTCGTTTCAGGTCTCCTGGTCGACGAAACGGGCGTCCACAGACACAGAGAAGAGGATCAGGAGCGGGCTGTGGCAGTGGAGTGCTACTCGCAACTCGTCTCCAGCAGGGACGATCTTGGCAACTCTCAAGCCAGGTGGTCACGCCGAGGTCCGCCAGGTCACTCGACACCACATCTCGCCACCTCTTCTTCGGACGGGGGGGGGGGGGGGGGGCAGGCAGCTCGCCGAACAGCAATTGCTTCGGTGCGCGGGAGTCGTCCATCCTGCCGACATGACCCAGCCAACGAAGACGGTGGCGACGGATGATGCTGGTGATGTCAGGGTCAACACCGAATGAAGCCGCTAATGTGGCCGTTGTGATCCGATCATCCCACTGTCGACGACGGCCGATACCCACGATGGACCGAACACACTGATGGTGAAACGTGTTTAGCTTCTGGAGGTGGCCTGCCTTGGTGGTCCACGTCTCCGCACCATACAAGAGGGTCGTGAGGACGACAGCCTCATACACACGCCTCTTGCTGCGAAGCGACAGGGTCTTGTTGGTCTCCGAACACAGCTGAGGCTTTCGCAAGGCGAGAGCGGACATCAGCACAGGCAAGACCATCCTAGGAGAGCACACTGCCAAGGTAGGTGAATTGGTCCACCACCCCAATCGTGTCAGCTCCGACAACAACGTCATGGCGATCAGCAGACTCACCCACAACCATACCCTTGGTCTTTCTCACACTGACCGTGAGGCCCCAGCTGCTTGCGCATGTGATGAAGCTGGAAGTCATCGCTTCGATTGCAGGCCGAGATGTTGCGTAAAGTGCAGCGTCGTCAGCAAACTGGGATTCTGTGACCGTTGATGACAGGAGCTTGCCCTTCGCCGTTCGGTCACCAACTAGCTTCCTCCCGACTTTATATCGAAAGGATATGCCAGCGTCCGGACAACTGGACCTCCAACTGGCAACGACGGCAGTCAAGTACAAATTGAAGAGCATTGGCACAGACACACACACACACACACACACACACACACACACACACACACACACAGACACACACACACACCTACACACACAGACACAGACACACAGACAGACACACAGACACAGACACACACAGACACAGACACACACAGACACACACAGACACACACACACACAGACACACACAGACACACACAGACACACACACACACACACACACACACACACACACACACACACACACACACACACACACACAATACAATACAATATGCCCATCCGGAGATGATAGCAGGTCCCGGAGGGACCAACAGTGTTCAAGTCACGAGCAGAATCGGGCGTGGCGAGTCAAGTCCTGGCGACGGCGATAGCGCTTTCCACAAGTGCAAACGAAGTCTAAGGTGACGGGCTCGGTCGGAGGGATGGTGCTGCATGCTGATCTCCATTCTCTGCGATCCTGGGCGAGGTCGTACCAGTCCGCTATCTGGCGGTCCTTCATGTCGGACACAACATTGTCTTGCCACCGCTTCCGGGGTCCATGACGTGGCCGGGTCTTGTCCAGTTCGCCGAAGAGGATACACTTTGGCATACGGGAGTCATTCATTCGGGCAACATGGCCTAACCAGCGGAGTCGACGCGTTTTCAGTGCCTCCTCGATCGGCTGTACCTTGGCTCGTTCAAGGAGAGTGGTGTTGGAGATGTGCTCCTGCCATTGTGTTACATACACACACACACACACACACACACACACACACACGCACACACACACACACACACACGCACACACACACACACACACACACACACACACACACACACACATCAGTGTTTACCAGAACGGCAGAACTGCCAGAAGCCATCAAATCCGTGCTACTTCAGGAGAGCAATCCAGCACAAAACAACAACAACAACAAAAAACCCACGATGAACAGAACCAGAAGCAAAACAAAGTTAACAAAAGAGAAGTGGAGCGTTGGACTTTGACGTATCATTATTATTTTATTATCGAAAAGAAGGAATGGGAGTCACTCAAGCACAAAAGGATAAAGCATAAAAATGAAACAAAATAGCGCACAATGGCGCTGTTGGTAGATTCTGAGGTTAAAAAACAGGTCCCAGTATAAAATCCACTTTATCCAAATTGGTGTCTTGCAAGTAAAATAAGCTTATAAAGAAGTCACTCATCAAGGCATGAAGAGTGCTGCAACGAACCGTTATCCTGTCATGTGCACACGCATACAGGAAGCCAGCTCTATTTCTTCATGGATAGCGTTCTGCACCCGCACCGGCTGCTCGACTTACACGTGGACTTGCTGCTAACCTGGTGCGGGGGCGCATAGCCAATGCTGATAACAACGGCTTTGGTAGTATCTGCTCACTGTACGTACGGTACTTTAAAAGTACGATGCTGCTGAGAGGAGACCAGGATAAGACCAATAACAGGGCCGAGCCACAACGGATGTGCTGTATGCATCAACGTATGAACGGAGATGCTGGACGGTACGTGGCCAACAGGCCCCTGTGTTGCTGGTGGCGTGGCGATGGAGCAAGGGTGAAGTAGTGATGCTACATCTCACTCCCAGTACTGTAAGAACGGTGTCAAGCGTTGCTGGTTGTCCGCCGTCAGCGTGAAGTTGTGCAAATGCTCACGAAACGTGCACGTAATCTGGTAGATGCCCGTTTGCAACGCCGAGACCAAGGAAAGTTGGAGAGGGTGCACAGAGCCGTAGAAAGTTCGCGCCGGCGGCTGTATGTTGATACCAACACCACCAGAGGGAGCAGTGAAGGATGGACGGTTGGGCATGGTACTCTCAACAGCCTGCAAACACAAATGGAATGTAAGTAGTAAAACAAAAAAAAGGCTGGAAAACACGCACACAAATGAACGTTGTCGATTCAAGTCCCATGAAGAAGTAAAGCACATAAGGATATTTAAAAAACATTTTGAACAGTGAAGCAGCCAGTAGTCATATTGGCCGTGAAGTGTAAGCTGATTCTAATAGCTGAAAGGCTACTTTAGCTATTAATAAGAACACCTTCATAAACCAACCGGGTGCTGTACAGGGTAGATGAATCTGTGCAGAATTCAAAATAATAAATGTAAAGGAGAACACGCTGAGAGTACGCTTACCCGTAATAAATCCAGCAAGGAGTTCAAGATATCGCAGAAGGACTGAAACAACAAGTCGAGAGCACAAATAGACAGCAATAGGTACACAACAATCAGATTCAATTACTGTAAAACATGACATTTTAGGTGTACTACAATTTTTGGTGTCAGGAACCTGCCTGGTTTCAGGTGTAATGTAGAATTAGATGACCAGCATTCTCTTCACATACAGTGCACTCTGGTGCCTTCTACGTGTAATGTAAATTGCTGTTCACCCATAATTGAACTCAATAAAAACGGATTTACGTCAAACGAAAAGCCATTTCTCCTTCATCAAATTTTGGGCATGGCCCATTCTCAGGGTGAAACAATAAATAAAAAAAATTTCTTTCATTTCAAACCGCCTGAATTCGGTGAAAGAGAAACGACTTCTGATAGTCTTGCTAGCTTATCGAGACGAGGGTGCTGGTGTGTACAGTGCCAGCTGGATTCACATGGCACGGCTGTAATTCATACCTTTTGAACCACACCGTAGCGATCTTCCTGGTACGAGGCTATGACCAAAGCACAAAGTCCTGGATAACGTCCCAACGAAAAAAAAACAAAAAACACAGAACACATAATAAATCAGTCGGCCAAAGCCATGGCGAAACTTTCTCCGGGGCATTAATGAAATGTTTCACAGTACTGGCAGGACTACAGTCAACTTCGCTTATAACGACACTCGGCGGGGCATCAGAAAAGTGTCCTTATTCGCGAAGTGTCGTTATACCCGAAGTCTCATTATGTGTTACAGTTGGACGGGACTTTGCTCTGAGCATAGAAATGATGTCGTTATTCGCGAAATGTCGTTATATCCGCAGTCGTTATTAGCAAAGTTGACCGTACTTCGAAGTAGCAGTACCGTGCACGGTGCCTGTGTCAACATAGGCTGAGAACACAAGAGAACCCAACGGTGACGACACTCAAGTCATGTCAGCACAGGCACTGCATCATCTAATCGCACCTGCACATAAGCAGAGTGCAATCATGCACAGGCGTGGGCAAAGAAATCCGAGCCGCGCGCCGAAAGCAGCACAAAGGTTCATGCGGCCTCTGCGGCCTTCGGATGGGGTTTTGGACCATGCATGATGTAATTGAAACGAAAACACTTTTGACTCGCGAGTCGGATTCCTTTGGCCACAACTTATATCAAATCGATCTATATCGATCTACGATTCCAAGAAGAAAAACTGCCAACTTTGTCCAAGGGTTCGTGTGCAAAAGGTTCCAAAATGGGGGGGGGGGGGGGGGGGAGAGAGAGAGTCTTAACAGCGGCTGAAACTGAGCTCGATACGCTGAGCATTTCACACATAAAAGACAGATGATCACTCGGAAGCTGTTGCAGCTTCGGGTTTCACGCCCAAATGACAATCCTTATGCAACTAATTCCGAGTGGTCTTTCGTCTTCCCAGGATATGCCTGAAAAAAAGGAGAATTGAAAAATTTATAACATCCTATGCTTTTTTGCCGTCAGATACGGATAGCGCCAGGCGTGACACAAACAAACAAACACACAAACACCAAATTAAAGCTGTGTGGACCCTGGCTAGCGCCAGACGTTACTGAAGTAACGTCTTCTGCATAGCTACGGGAATTAAATATTATTTTATTGATATTCCACTACATACAGTTTGCAGCTTATGCGTCATGGAATGTGTCGAAAAGGAACGTTCCCATTTTCGCAATCTGCGGACAGAACTGTCCCATTTTGTCCCATTTTCTCAAAATGTCCGTAACTCTGATCAGCTTCAAAAGAAGTGCAGCTAGGAAAAGTGTTACCTTGCACAGCCCAGATATGCTTTTGCGATCCAGCGTAGCTAACTCGTAACGCCATCTCCGATGAAGTTGTTGATGCATCCTGTGTGCAGTCATGTAATGTCAAAACAACAACAAATCAGATGAGGAAGCCGGAAGAGGACTGAAGAGAAGAGCAGATGAGAGAGAGAGAGAGAGACCACATGTCTATTCCCCATCTTACATACTACATATGTCCTGACCCGCGGTCGACGACACGCAGCAATCGCGACAAGCCTGGCAGGCGAAGGATCGACACCAGCTGACAAGCGCTCGGCAAACTGATGAGTCGCGCCAGCACCACAGTACGGTACCTCACTACATCATTATGACTTAATATAACTACGTAGCCTTACGCACTTACAACATTATACAACTGTTATGAAAATGCAATAATCTGGCGCCTTGTTCTCCAACTGTAATACAATCTACAGGTATCTTCTACCATTCTTACATTCTGTTATCCCGCCGTTATGAGGCGCTCAATTATTATGAAACTAGATTTTTACCGTTACTTGTCCCGCCGTCTAATATGACTAGTGAGTACAGTACGTGTGGTCTGATTGGCTGTTGTTATGATTATAAGTCCATGTCTTTGTCACATTCGTCCTCTCGCTCCGGCACTGCTTCTATCTGTTATCTCCTCTTTCCTATTCTACCTCTGACCTATCTACAAGGTATGTCCTTGGAAATGGAACTCTTGGTGGGCTGTTGAGCAATGGCGTACATATATTGTGCACTTGGGATTCTGGGTCTTGCTCACACTTCGTCGCGGTCCTATTTGGTGTTGTTCGCAACGCAGGCTTTTGACTGACCCTGGAGGTCGGGTCATGACACATACTTGGTGCAATGCGTCATGCATACAGGACAGCAGGAGGAGGATCTGCAATACATCACGTGCGCGCAGTACAGCAGGATGGGGACGCATACTAGTAATAAACATTCTGCGGTTACATGTGAGCATGATGTAACCCACCGTAGTGTCTTGTATTAAAGCCTGTCTCATATAGAAGCCTGTTTTGAATACAAGCCTGATTTTCTAGATATGCTGTCGGCACATAAGCCTGGTTTTAGTGTCGACACACATAGAAATACCTGGTTTGAATAGAAGCCTGATGTGAATAGAAGAACGGCCCTGACATCGGCTTCTACAGGAATAAGCCCAGCTTTAATACGCAACATTACGGTATGCAGTTTTCCATGGTCTGGAAGCACACTGCAGTGAGTTGCAAGTGGAATTAAAGGAGCCACTTGCAGAAGTCATCCCAGTCTTCCAATTGCAAACGCGACGACTCCACTACAGAGTGTACGCATCCAAGACAAACTGTCAACTTATTCCTATTGCTAATACAAGCCTTCCGGTCCTCAACCGTCTTGCAAAGGTGCGCGCACCGACCTGAGCGGATACTTAGATCAAACTATTTTCGTTGATAACTTCACTGGGGGTACAACCGACTGCATGGGGAATGTACTGTATACGCTGTTGCCAAGCAATGGGTTTTTCAGATAGGAGGCAAGACACAAAACTCATCTAAAGAGACCAAACTCTGTACATGAACACCCACCCACCCACACACACACGTCCCTCCCCCCCCCCCCCCCCCCCCCATACGCACACACGCACACAGGCACGCTCCCGCACATACGCACACACGCACGCACATTGGCATTTCAACAGGAGAGTTCACTTGCCTTGTTGGGTACAGCAGCCGTGGATACAAGACTTTGAAGCTATTGGCAACGCAACACAAAGATGTACAAACGAACACAACACAGCATACTGTAAGCAAGCACAACAAGCACAACAAGCACAACAAGCACAGCAAGCACAGCAAGCACAGCGAGCACAGCAAGCACAGCAAGCACAACAAGCACAACAAGCACAACAAGCACAGCAAGCACAACGAGCACAGCGAGCACAGCAAGCACAACAAGCACAACAAGCACAACAAGCACAACAAGCACAACAAGCACAACAAGCACATGCCTGAAGGAAAATAATAGCAATCAATGTCACGCGCTGAGAATGAAGAATTTGAATTTGAGCACAAGTCAAAATAAGAGACACTTGCATCAGCAACATGTTCATCACACACATCAGGGAGACGTCACAGACAACTGTAACGCTAAATAACGTGGGTTTCGAACCCTTGGCTGCCCATTACAGTCGCCCTCGGGGCAGGGCTGATCTATACACACTGGCATATATGACAATGCTTGTCTGGGCCACGCTTGGGGTCAGCAGGTCAAGACCGCGATCCCGAGTTGTATAGACCAGGGATGATGTAGAACTTCTAAATCCGGGGTTGGAACGCACATCATTTCTGGTCCTGTGATCTTGTGTCGTCTCCCTCTGTATGCTATGACCCCCTGATACACATACACCACATATGCACAGACAGACACACCCATAACACATGCACAGACAGACACACCCATAACACATACACACGCACACATACCCACCCACTCACACGACATCCACACATAGCTCTGTGAAAGAATATTGCAATGTGCACAACGTCCACAAACTTACATAGTTTACAAATCCAGTCAGAATCGTCACCACATTCCCGATATTCTACAAAAGAGGCAGAGAAAGCAAGCAGTCAATGTACCAATCAATAGGCCTGGAACTGTGACTTGACCAGTATCAAAAAGCCTTCTCCATTACAGCAACGTCTTTCAGCACAAATCCTTCACTAGAGGAAAAGAGAAAATCATTATTATTGCCACCGACAAGAGAAGCCAGTCTAATATAATTATGGCGTCCTCCTACGCCAAGACAAGTGCCTCAAGCACCGATAGGGCCTGTGAAGAGCTGGGGTGATTTCAGACTGAATGCTGCACTAGCTTGAAAACAACAATTGCGACGGGACAAGGCCAATACAGACAATACAACTACAAGACGACTTCTCTCTCTCTCTCTCTCTCTCTCTCTCTCTCTCTCTCTCTCTCTCTCTCTCTCTCTCTCTCTCTCTCTCTCTCTCTCTCTCTCTTGCAACTGATGGCAAACCGGGTGAAGCAGTCCAATAAGTCGATGATGACACCGCGGGAGGCATGCTCATTTGGGACGACAGGGTCGGTGACAAACCTGTTCGAGATATCCTTGCAGCAAAAGGAATCGCTGGCAGAACCAGTTCAACTGGATGCCGTCTTTTCCCGGTACACCACCACGCCCTGTACGGTTTGATACGCTCACTTGTGATGATGGCTCGCTATGCACCACTAAACACCCATGGAGTAGCACTACGGCATACTCATGTAGCATCCATCAGCACAGGATCTAGGAGACAAGACACCTTGACCGCACATGGATATCTACGGGTATACTACCAAACGGTGATAGCTGATGGGTGCCATCCGTAATCATCAACGCTTTCCATGAAGCTAAAAACTTTCTTTTACGGCCGGTGGGTCAAGACCAGTTTCATTTTGAAAGATGGCTTGTGCACCGGGTTTCAATCAATACGTTTCTCGCATCAGAGGGTGGCAAGGGGTGGGTCGTAAGTAATACCATAAAGTACCGCCAGAGCGCCCCACCTTAATTTTACAGCCAGGGAAAGGAAAACCGTATGGTAGAGTGCAACGAAGTTTGTACGGTGTGAGAACCTTTGTGTACTAAGGTCACACTTAGCAGATTTTCGTGTGGATCTCGTGTCCGCTCGAAGGTAAGCTGAGTACGGATTGACTGCACAACGTGTAATGTGTGTACAAGGTTCGTGTTGTATGACCTACAGACAGGACACCACCTCCACAATACGACCACGAAAGGATGAGATGGTGGGGCGCTCTGGCGGTACTTTACGGTACATGTACTGAGAAACTAGGTCATCTTATTCCAAATATAAAAGAACCAAGGGAGGAGTGGCACTCCCTTGTGCTACAGCAACATTCCTACCGTTGTGAAGTTCTCAGCTGGTGTTGGGATGGGATTGGCTACTGGAGCAGCTGGTGGTGGGGGAGACACCGTCTCCGCGCCTCTGGACACTGAACCACAGCAGCACAAAGAACAACACAGTTTGGCCAAATGCGACAATACCTGTATTGTTATAATGACATACGGCAAACTTGAAGGCTCACAATACTGACATACTAATGATGAGGCCCCAACGTCGGTGAGTACTCCCGAAGCAAATTGTCTGTTGCTCAGGAAGCACAGTTTCATAAGGAGGTGGCGACTTGGCTGGACAAGGGTTTCCTTGTACCTTTCAATCCGGATAAACACGCAGAGCCTGCTTCTGTGTTGCCGCTGATGCCTGTCGCCCAGGAACACAAGCCCAGCACTCCCGTACGGCCGTGTCTCGATTACCGACAGCTCAACAACCACATCCTGTCTCATCCCGGCGCGAATGCTCCAGCTTGTGATCAGACAATCCGCAAGTGGAGGTCTCGCGGCATCAACTGCGCTGTCCTCGACATCAGCAAGGCATACCTGCAGGTACGCCTCGACCCGTCTCTACAGCGGTACCAGACAGTTGTGTATGGTGGTCAGCGGTACGTGATGACCAGAATGGGTTTTGGCATGAACATTGCCCCAAAGGTGATGCACGCAATCGTCAAGTTCGTGACCGCTGACTTCGCGACAACCGACAACTACATTGACGACATGCTAGTTCCTGATGATGAGCTCGACCTGGTGGTAGCTGCCCTGAATCAGTACGGCCTAGCAACGAAACCGGCAGAGCCACTGCATCATGCCCGTGTCCTAGGGCTCCAGCTGTCTGCTGACGATGCTGCAGAAGTTACATGGTGGCGGCAGGATGGTGTTGACCTAATGTTGCTAACAGACCAATGCAGCTCCAGGCCATGTGGAAAACATAGAAGTAATCTACCACTTTGGATCTTGGAAGCACTTTGTGCATCTAAGACCAGATTATTTGTGGATCTTAGACAAGTTCGGTTGACCTCTTCCCATTTCAAAATCTGTGCAACACACAAAGCTGCCCAGCAGCCAAAGTCGCCGTAACACTTACAAAGGCCGACGGAAACCAGTAGCCACTTACCAGGTGATTTAGACCACATCTCTGCACCCACATTGACCGGACGTCGCACCATTGTGTCCGTATTGGGCAAGGGGGACATTGCAGGCCAACCGGGCTTGCTGACAAAGGCTACACATTAAGCACAAGTAGCAGAACAAAACACACGCAAACATATTGCAACAAGTGCAGCAACTAAAGCTAGTGCAACAACTGCAGCAAGAGCAGCAAGAGCAGCAGCAATATAGTGATATGAGTACAATACTCCACAGCAATGCAACAGCCAAGTCTTTCTTTGCCGTTACTTAGAGTTTTGTGTTAAAACACACCTCAGCAACACACATATGAGCATATAAAATTTATAATATCTTTAATTTTCAAACACACCGGTTTTTCCAGCAGGAGTTTGCGGCAGGGTGCCACTAGAACCATGGGTGGGAGACGCTGCTTTCTCGTCCTTGGATTTCTCGGCCTTGTCTCCTTGTCCCAGTGTGGCGTTCTGAAGCACCGACGTCAATGTGTTGATGAGCAGCAGGCATTCTTGACTGAGACTCTGCCAAATAGCTGCTTGCCCACCTGCAATAAAATACAAAATTTCAAAGAAGCACGCAAATGAGAGTTACGAGACACGTCTTGGCACCCTTTCTTTCACAGTCCCACAGTTCAGTGCAAACAGAATCATTCACGGAGGCTCAAAGGTACTTGCCACCAGGCCTACCGACAATTCTGAGAAGATTTTTCTGTTCTGTGGCGACAATACCCCCACGCAGATAAACAGCAGCAGCAGAAGAAGAAAAGACACTTACTTGCAGAGAGACTGAACACAGGCGCTCGCCGAGAGGAATCACTGGCTACTTGGGCAAAATCCTGGTAAGCCAGATACTGTGCAAATAATACACACACACACACACACACACACAATGGTTAGACATGCGGAGCGAGCGAGAGAGAGAGCGAGGAGAGAGAGAGAGAGAGAGAGAGAGAGAGAGAGAGAGAGAGAGAGAGAGAGAGAGAGAGAGAGAAGTCGAGGGAAAATCTGCCATATTCAATGGGCATCAATCTAGGTGCCCTACATTTACATCCAAGCATAAACTGCTCAAGAAATATGTTACCTGAAGAATAGCGTGTTTCGATTTGAGAGCACTTGACAATAAGCGATCGTTGTCAGCCGTCAAAGAAGACTGAACAACGAAAGACACCGGCTGAGAGTTGAAAACGAGGAAGAGTTGAAGGACCAGGCGATGACAAAACAGTAAGAATACTGTGGTGAAGAAGAAGTGCCAGCTGGACGAAAAGCTCCACAGTCCAAACGGACCGGATGATGCATTGATCCTGTCAGCACACAACATACAACACAAGTTAGTATGTGGTAATGTGCTGATTCAGTTTGCACTGACTTTAATATACTGGCAATCAATCACACGCATTCAGCACATGCCCAAGACAGACACTAGACAAATCAAAACGTTTCCAGAAAGCTGAGGAGCAGAGGCGCAGCAGATCTACCTAGCCTGCCCACAGCCTCAACAACACTGGGCTTTCCATAACACACACATATACATAACTTTACACATAAGAAATTAAACACGGTGGCGGTTAGACTTACCAAGTCAAGCCCAGCATCCAGCGGATGTACTCGAGCAAGGCATTTCCTGGTGTACGAACGAGTGCAAGAGCATCGCAGCACACAGAAACAGACATGTGCACATATACACACCACATCACACACACACACACACACACACACACACACACACACACACACACACACGGACACAGGCGCGCGTGTAAGCAAAAGAGCACAGAGTTGAACATATTGCAGACGATCTGGCTTTCCAACCCGTGTACGAGTCATTGAACATGCAGCGCTGCAGGGTGTACCAAACAGGGCACACTACCAGATACAATAATTGACACTGCATAGATGCAAGAAATGATGCCAGTAGTGATTGTGTAAATCTGAGCTATCAAGAATGTGCATATGCACTGTACACTGCACCAGTACTGTACTACAATCTGCCAGAGATGCTCACACCCACACTGCAACTTACTTACCACACACAACATAGAAGAAGAAACAGAACAAGGTTATCTGCAGAAAGGCACAGTGAAGCAACATGAAACAAGACACACGTGTCATGAAACTCTAAAGCATTACTTGTGGCGTGTAGCAGAAGTATCCTCAAGTATAATATTATGTGATCATTGGCTCATCCACACTATGGATGAATGCTATTCTTTACATAGCAAGAGCACCGGGATACACATATTCTCGCAGTCAGAGCAGTCTGACTTTGACGCATGACCAGATTCAAAAAATGTTTTGTTCTTCACTACACTTCATTGTGCCAGTCACCTGGGAGCTCCTCCGCTGATGGGATCTAACAAGGTGGCAACAGCTAACTGTCCGGAGATTGCAATGGTCTGATGATTGCAGTAGCATGAAACTTCGAGTTATGACAAATCCAAACTGAAACCCCTTTCTCTTTTTTCGTGTCCGGAGAGTGCGTAGTCTGTACTGTATGGGCACACACTGCAGGCACAATCGGTTACCTTGAATGCTTGAATGACTGCCTTCCTCAGACACGTCACCAGGCTGGCACGAACACGAAAGTACCTCCCTTGCTGCAGAGCACGTGACAGAGAGCAGCACAGAGCCATACAATGGTGGTTTCTCCAAACATACACTAATGACTTACAGTGCCGGAGCAGTACTACACTAGTCTACACAGAGTTCCGAGCCTAAAGTCTAGGCTGCTGAAGCTTGCAAATATTCCCCCCCCCCCCCCCCCCATACACACATGTGCACACACAGTAAAACTACTGCACACTGTGCTGAAATATGGTAAAATGTCCCACAGCATCCGGCAGCACAACACACCATGGCATACTCCAATGGCAGACCCCACCACAGCATTAAACAGCATTACACAGCACAAGGATGAGGTTTATGGGGATAGGGCGGTTACACGACCGTTGTGCTGAGAGACTTATCCCCCTCTCCCCCGACTCACTTGTGAGGTCTGCATTCAACACAAGGATATACGGCCGAAGTGGTGGCCCGCCGATGCGAATGTCTAGGTGTTCCTCAACACGTCAGGTGATGCGGCCGCGAACCCTGTTGACTTTACTTTTATTTTTTTACAGCCCAGAGTGGACTGAACAAGAGCAGTCCAAGCAGCACCAGATGACCGGATTGAACTCACCGAAAACGAAGGGAATGCTAGGCAATGCTCCATATCAGCCAGGGAGGACAAGCTGTACAAAACACCCTGTAAAGAAACAGAAAATAAATGAAGAATATCTTGCATTGTTTTAGAATGGCAATAAACAGAAATCAGCGGAAGCGTTGTGTTACGAAGGTTTTATTGAGATGTCACGATCAAATTCTCGAGAAAGTGGTGATGGACAAAGAAATAACTATGATGGAAATGTAATGTGAAGAACAATAATAGGAACGATAAAATATAAAAATGCATCGAACTAGCTTTCGCACAACGCTCATCAGGAAGCATCGTTGTACTATTTAACAAATTGCAACACAGACTATTATAAAGGATCAATAGTGATAAATAACACCTAAACAATGCCAAAAATCTTGCATTGTGCTATACTAACACAGGTTGCCGTACACGTGAACAGTATCCAAGAAATTTTCCAGCTTTCACCGGCCATCACTTTAGTAACAGGCCTGATATCATCAAGAGTACATAACCAAGAGTGTGCAACTCGACAATCCCCCAGCCCACAGCAGAATTTTTTTATGACATCAGTCTTTGGCGGCTGTTTGGCTCGCTGATGCCATCATGCGTAGCCAGAGATCAAAGTACAAAGAATCTGTACATCACAGCTACGGTAGTCGAAGCAGAACAACGGACGATAGATCGATGTGTCCTGAACCTGGTGAACTCTCACCGTATCTACAAAAATGCGCGAGAAAGCATACGCACTTGATCATACTTCAGCCAAAGAATGACGCAATAAAATTTTTTCGCCGTGGGTGAACCCATCGCAGCTCGAGATAGGAGTTGCACACTCTTGGTTATGTACTCTTGATATCATCAAGTGTCTGGAGCCAGGGAGTAGTAAAACACCGGTATTTTACTACTCCCTGTTTGAAACTACCGTAAAGTACCGCCAGAGCACCCCACCATCTCGTCCTTTCGTGGTCGTAGTGTGGAGGTGATCTCCTGCCTGTAGGTCATCGACACGAACCTTGTACACATATTACACGTTGCGCAGTCAATCCGTACTCAATGTACCTTCAAGCGGACACGAGCTCCACACAAAAACCGGCTAAGTGTGACCTTAGTATACTAAGGTTCTCACGCAGTACAAACTTAGTTGTACTCCGCCATACGATTTTCCTTTCCCTGGCTGTAAAATCACGGTGGGGCGCTCTGGCGGTACTTTACGGTATAAAGCCTACGGAAATTTATTGTAAAAATCATGAAGTGCATTCAACTCTCGGTTACGTGGGCAGCTTGGTTTTGAGCAATATCCGTAACTCATGAAGATAGTGCACGGACACATACATGAGCGTGTTGTAATCCTCCTGGGAAGAAACCTGACGCTGAGCATGAGCACAAACAGTTGTAAAGTGTAGGTGCCAACTTTCTCGTGAATTCGCAGTGCGTACAAAACAGAGAGTGACACAGTTACCTTGTTCTATGCCCATGGAAGACTAAATGCATACGAAGACAGGACTCACAAGTAGCTAAATATACATGTACAGTCTGTTGTTTTGACCAAGATGGCTGTGTGAATCCCCTATTGCAATACCCGTACTTACCACGATGGCACTGTTGACACAGAATGCCACAAAGTCACCTGACATGCACATGCCCTGCGAGCTGCATGAACAATATCGTGGGACATACCATGCATGGGCACGTGCACACACGGACACCCACCCACGGACACACACACCACACACACACACACACACACACACACACACACACACACACACACACACACACACACACACACACACACACACACACACACACACATGTAAGAAGATTTAGGCAATTGCCTGCAGATATACAACATTATGTATCGGTATACCCCGGCGGTATATTTTACACAAACACACGTAACACGTCAACCGGCAGTAGTCAATGTTCACCAGTAGTACCGTAGTGGAGCGGAGATTGAGTGTCATGAAGTGATCAGATTGCTCTTACCCATTGCATGGGGCATACCACTGTGCGATGGGTGCACAACTGCTCGACACCGACAGCAGAGTAGAGAGCGCACCAATGCAAAAACTAACAGCACCGTATACCAGATGACGGCCAAGACGATGGACAGGATGGAACAGACGCACTACGGCCACTAGTGGACTGGAGTGAACTTCCTTCTCGACTAGAATCGCAACCGAGAAGACACACGAACACACGTGCACACCCGCACATCCACCACAAACAAGAGAGGATTTGCACAACAGGGAAAATTAATGCAGCGAAACCTATAGCCTATGCCCTGAGGGATTAGCAGAACAATACAGAGAAATCCATAGTCTATCCAGAGGGATAAGCAACAATACATGTACATGTACCGAGATATCTCCAGATAACTGGGAGTTCAATCATGGAAAAGAGTGGAGTGTGAGCATTGATGTGCAGATAATAACACCAAGACTACCCAAGGCATTGCTCTCTGGACTTAGATTCCATGATGCAGTCAGTCTTCGGCAATGGCTTGAGTGATACGTACAGGGGAAATCAAAAGTGGTGTATCTCTCACCTGAAACCATGTACATATGCCACTGACCAACCAGCGTGAACAAAAGACTGCATAGCAGACAGCAACCCCAGAACGACAGCTTAGTAAGCTGGGACACTACTCCTGTAGGGGAACATATAAAACACACAAACATCAGCCATAATGGAGACAGGATGGACCCGCAGCAGTGGCAAACACTATCAAGAAAGACAGAAACAACGTGAGGACAGGAAAGAACGAGAGAGAGAGAGAGATAGAGAGAGAGAGAGAGAGCGGGAGAGAGAGAATGGCTGCTCAAATTATAATACGAGCTTCTCTTTTTCTAAGTTGCTAGCTTACCGGCAACGAAGGAAAGGGGATGAGCAAGGCTGAATGATACGCTGGCTGACAAGATCAACAATAGAACAGGTGACGTAATCCAGAACCACACCAAGCTGGCAACAGTTCGCCACCATAGAACCTGGGTACAAGGGAGAGAAAAAAGAAGGAAAATCTGGGTCTCAGATAATAAAGGCTTGTGAGAGTGCATGGATGTACCACAGTACGAGACGTTTTTTTCAATTGGGGGATGCGCATATTGAATACCCCTTTGAGAGTATGCTTGACGTCTGTAGGCCTCTCATGTGCATGCTCACACATCTAACATTCTTGAAGCACACTGCAGAGGAAAATGTACGATATGGTTCATCACGGACGAATTCCGATTGATTTACGTAACATTGGTAAACAAACGTACATTATGTCAACATGCATACGCATGGATCATCCTGTATCGTATTGTTTATTTACGGATTCTCCAGAGGTAAACGGATACCTTCCATGGGAGTCTCTCCAAACCAATAGAATAATGAAAAATAGAAGTGGATAAAACTCAAATAAAATGTAGCGATCCTTTGCATCCAGACAGATGTGACGGCACACTCGGCAGAGAGAACAGGGTAATGAATTTGGCAAGTATTTTCCGTGATCCTGAGTATTCAACCAGCTGTAAGCATGTGCGCAGTCGCATTAGAATGATACTGCTCCCCAGGCACCAGCTACATGCCAACAAGATGATGTCACAGGTTTCGAGCAAACGGCACATTGGGAGAGAATTTCTTTCAACCTCAAGTGTGGGACCAGGGGCGGCAGTCTTCGCCAAATGTCTATTTTAGGCTTGGCCTACAGGCTACAATGGGATACAGAAGGACTTCTCTTATCCGGAACTCCCTCAACTAACTTGCAAATCTTGACATTGTCATCTCTGAAAGTGCCTTCTTTCCATGGCAATCAGCTGAACTACATTTATTTCATGTCACAGGTCATCCGATTTAATAACCCTCAGCTCCAATTCGGCATGCTTTTGAATATTGATCTTGGTTGAGTGGGTCCAACTTAACTTAAGAGAATGATCCACCATACCTGTTGTGCCAGTAGTGTTTTCCAAGCTACATAGTATTGTGATCCTGAGATTCGGAGATCCTGCGGCCCCGACGTACCCGGACAAGCGAGTGTAAGGCGCGACCGAGTGAATGCAGATATCAACGTAAAGGCTAATGTAGCAAGAGAGCTGAAGGCGCATGTAGTACAGGCATTGTGACTGATATAGGGGGAAGTCAACTCACAGCTCGGAGTGAGGATAACAAGGATGCAGTTTACAGGGTTATGGGCTGTTACACGCCCGATTGGTTGAGAGACTCACCTCCTCTCCCCTGACTCACTTGTGAGGTCTGCATTCGCCACTAAGGTGAAAAGGCATAGTGGTGGCCTGCGGAAGCGAAGGCTATAGCTTGTGTGTTTCTGAAAATGCAAGTGATGCTTACGCAGATCCCACGAATATTATTATTATTATTATTGTAGGGGGAAGTCTCTCTACTACATACTGGTTCAACTGCAGTACTACAAGCACAGTTTTTCTGTACTGCACGCTCAGCCTGGCTAGATCTAAACATAACACAAAATCGGAATGCACGAATTTTAAAATAAATCCAAATATTACTACAATACAACCACATCAGCCACCCTGCTCTTTGCGTTCAACATTTGTTGAGAAACATTTGTTGAGAAGCAAATGTTATTTGAAAAATTAATTACGTGAAGACCAAAGTGTAGCAACAGTATTTCTTCTTGTTACTTTCAACCAATTCGTGCGCAAACTAATTTAGCTATGGAAGTCTGTTTGAATAATACACCCACTCGTCCCAAAATCAAGGCCAAGGTTCAGTACTCTCGTATTCACTCTACTGCCACAATTGATTACCTCTTTCGTGAACCACGAGGTCACGCCAGCATCTTCGGGAGTCATCCTTGAAAGGCTCCAAAGAAAAATGCACTTGTCAGGGTTTGTGCCAAATCACATGCTTGAGAAAAACAAATGCACCAGTACGAAAGAAAAACTTGAGAACTTCGTCGAACTGGAAGTAGACATTTTCTAATCAGACAAAAATGAAAGAAGGCTACCGCGCGCGTCATGCATGTGCGCATTCAAATAATTTATTTTCAGACCGAAAAAAGCAGACTTTTGTACGAGCTACAGCTGCTAATGCCGCTATGCGCAGTGCCAGTGTGCTGGATGCAGGCTAGGATGGACAGCTTTGCAATCAAATGTCGCGCCATTTCCGAAGGCTGATAGTGATAAGTCCAGTACAGATCATGGTGCCCTTCACTTTACAATGACTATGTAGTTCCGTCTTCACTCTTCACTTCAGTTCAGTCTTCACCACCTCTCCTTGGCCGGTCTAGTCTGGGCAGCTAGCAGTCGCCTATCACGAATATTGTGGGCCAGATCAGCCAGACTCCAGCTAAACACATGTCACAATGATTATGACAATAGTACCGGCAGACTGTACTATGCCATACAATCATGTACACCGTGGCAGAGGGGGAAACTGGAGTGGATCGCTGTACAGGGAAGCTGGAGCACAGACTGTCAGTCAGTACAGCCTAGCAAAATCTACAAAAGAGCAGGAAATTCCTGCTCTCTCAGTGTGGATTTTGCCTACTACTACTACATGTACTAGGAAACAATGGAGAAGTAACAACTTACGACTCCCCGCCGATAGAAAATGTGAAGGTTGAACAGGCCAGACTGCGCTCCGATGGTCACCCCAGCAGAAACTGGGACTTGAAGTAAGTAAGTTGGTGGCTATAGGTTATGATAAATGTAGCATACTGTCTGTAGAATCGGATGCATGTACCAGTATATACTTTGGAATAGACCGGCACATCAGGTACACACAGTACATGTACAGCTGGGTACGGTTGATCCATGGCTGTCCCAACATCCACACACACAGATATATCTGCAAGATTGTGTGTACATTCCCCAGTGTACTGGGTATACTGAGCCACCTGAACAGAAACACCTACAAATTTGAAAAGTATAATGAGACCAGGTACATGTGCGCTACAAAAATTGGAATTTAAAATACCAACATGTGTACTTCGTAAAAAAAATTCATGGCTGAATCAAAGATGAAAAGAACACGAGTGTTACGGAACACAGAAGGGCAACGGTAAACAAAAGATTCACACCAAATATGAAACACGTACGTGCTTCTAGAAACGTCTACTTGGGTCATGTGACACGAGGGAATGATAAAGAAAGACGAGATAGAACTGATGGATTTCATAAGTGATAAAGGATAAAAGCGGTTTAGCTTGACAAAATCGTAAAAACTGCCCGCAGTTTTCTTGTCATATCTATGTCAGTTATGCACAATGCAGATAATTTCGTGGCGCTTCATGGTTCATGAGCAAACACAACACAAAAATAATGCGAAGTGCATGTGGTATCTCAACTAAAATATCAGTCATAAAAAAAACACGCAAAGGCACGCGGAAACACACAAAAACGCACACATGTACCTATACGTATACAGGGAAAGAGAAGACAACATTGACACACCATCTCAGAGTCAGAGCTTCGACTACGACAATCTGAAATCCGGCGGAGTGTATAGAGAAAGGGTGGCGAGTACTTTAGGCCTGGTGCAAATGTACACTAACAACGGTGGCTCGACGCAGCACAACAACAGGGAGGGAAAGAAAGACAACACGTAGTGAGAGCTGAGCGAGAGGAGGCGTAGCATTATTACCAGTATGACACAGGCAAAGATTGGCCGCATCGACAAGCGCTGTAAGGCTAGCAGGTATCCCCACTGATACGAAACATAGACTAGACCCATAAAGAAGAGAATAAAGAACTTCAGGGCCAGGAAACCAGAGGCGACACTATGGAAAACAACCTCAAACAGCACATGGAGGAGATCATACCGGGGCTCGCCAGATAGCTTAAACGAGTGCTCCAGTAGTCCACCGCCGCCACCACCACCACTGCTGGTGGGTGATGGCTGAAGGAAAACAAGGGTGACATATCGGCACACCACGTGGAACACGAGACGGCCAGGCACCAGTCGGCACAGAACAATCAACACCAACAGGCCCCACAGCGTCAACAACGTGCTTCCCAGCGTGACACGATGATACGAACTAGTCACCGACAACCTTGCCGCCACAATCTTAGCATTGCCCAAGGAGAAGCCCAGAACCAGTAGGAGACTAGCCAATGAAGTGGCATCCTTCTGGCGATCAGATCCGTAGATAACAGTGGCAGGATATCCCAGCACACCAACAGCACACAGAATCAACAGAGATGCTACATCCATGCATCCAAACGACCTGCGCTCAATAGCAAAGCAGGCAACGACTTGGAGGAGAAACGTTACTACAATATACTTTCCCAAAGCCAGAGGAGTCAGGGCACCAAACTGTGTCAGCGCTGACAAGGACGCCACGGCAACAAGTAAAAACAGAGTGGTCAATACAAGCAGCTTTGGGACAATATAACTTAGGCGAGTTGGCCATACACTGTTTAACCATAGCAAAACTGCACACAGGCTCGCAGCAGCCACCGGTGCAGTCCAGAATGTCCCGTCCAGTATAAACGTGTCCACAAAGAGTAATACCTCGTAAAACACGTGTGCCAGGGCTATCCATGAAACGTTGTTACCTATTCTTGACTTCAGCCGGGTTAGACCAGCGAGGATTTCTGTCAGGTGAATACCAAGGTCACTCTGGAACAAATCTTCCCAGGGTAGATTGGCGAATACCTCCTCCGCGTCCACATCATCTCGACGGCGATTACGTCGTCTCTCTTGCTTTGCCCGCTTTCCAGGTTTTCCTGAAGCCTGGCGATGGCGTGGCTCGCGACCTCGCCGACCATTACCACTGGCTCCATCATCCATGCCATCACCTTCATTGTCAGCGCCTTGCTGCCTGCGTCGTTGCTTGGCCTGATTCTTTCGAGCTGAAGACATTGCAGACCCAGTGTTCGACCACTACAAATACACCATACACCACTATCACGTTGCTCAAGCCATTATTCGAGGGTAGACATGTTGTAGTACGCCTAAGAAGAAATGGCTGAACATGAACTCCAAATATTTCAACAGGTAAATTAATTGCCAAAAAGTCAATAAC